GTATCTTCTGTATACCACCCTTAACTTGTCACAACACAACTGATTTGCTCAAACGCGTTAAGGAAAGAAATTCCACAAATCAACTTTTAACAAGGCACACCTGTTAATTGAAATGCATTCCAGGTGACTACCTCATGAAGCTGGTTGAGAGAATGCCAAGAGTGTACAAAGCTGTCATCAAGGCAAAGGTTGGCTACTTTGAAGAATATAAAATATATATAATATATTTTGATTTGTTTAACAGTTTATTTTGGTTACTACATTATTCCATATGTGTTATTTCTGATTTCTGATTTCTTCACTATTATTCTACAATGTAGAAAATAGTAAAAAGAAAGAAAAACCCTTGAATGAGTAGGTGTGTCCAAACTTTTGACTGGTACTGTATGTTAACGTGGGCTATTTTTAGCACTTTTCTTGGATGTTTGATTGTTTTCATTGCTTTACTGGGAAGCTTAGCAGAAGTAGACATGCTCATATTATTTATGTTAGTGCAGGGTGAGCTGCACACAGTGGACTTCTAATAGGGCACGCCGCCTCAGTGCTAACAGTATAACTCTGGTTCATAGGCACATGATTACTGCATACAATAGCTGTAGGATCAGCAGAGCCATTCAGGGCAGTTAGAGGGACATAAATTAGGTTACATACATTGTGTCTACCAACACCCCTGGTATAATGTACATTTGCTGAAGCATTATGACAACTCAGCGACACAACGATAGGGATTAACTGAGCTGGGCTTGGGTCATTGATTAGTCATTGTCCCAAAGTAGCCTTATAATGCTGTGAAAGGATCCAGGAACCCAAATTATTCACGTGGATCCCATCCTCCTTCAATCTTGTTTTTTTTTTTTTTCCCAAAAGGTATCGAAATTGTCAACAAAAGTTACACCCATTGAGCTGCAATAATCACGTAGCCAGTTGTGAAGAGAGAGAATCCTGCTAAAGCGTTCAATGCCACGATTCAGAGAGGGCACAGGGCCAAATATGATGGGTCTTTTATTAGTATATAGCAGAGAATCAATCAGTTCTTTAAAATCCAGTTTCAACAGTTCAGAGCTGCCCTTCATAATGTCATTAAAACCCACATTAACTACGATAGAATCGATTTCCATGTCCTGGCGTAGAACATACGGGAGCAGCTTAGTAATGTCATTTACTCGTGCTCCGGGAAGGACGTTGTTTTTGAACCAGGAACGGTGACATTTCTTACCCTGGAGCTGCCCAAAATCACGGCTGGCGAGAAGGACGAGGAAATCCGCCTTCACAGAATTCGGAGAACCCCTTTAGGACGGGCGAGAGGCAGGAAAACTTGAGCCCGTAGCTCCCGGCGCCTGGTGCAGGCCTCCTACAGATGGAGAAGCCCCGCTCGATCCAGATCAGGGACGGAAGGTGGGAACGTCAACTTCGAAATCGTAGGAGGAGGAGTAGGCACAGCGGCCGCAGACACAGGTACCCCCAGCATCGAAGGTACAGGAAGATGAGACTCCAGGGCGATGAAACTATTAGTTGTTTGTATCCGCTCCGGGCATCTCGTTGGGAGTGTAGCCTGCTTTGCGGGAGGCCGCTCTCTTCGGCTTCCACGGCTCGTGACATGCGACCATCGTTGATTGGCTTGCTCCTCTTGCTGTGCTCAGATGAGGCAGGAGATGGCTCCCCTGGCGAACGAAGTCCAGGCAACACCGACCAGTCGGACAACGACAAACGACAAGGTGGAGATGCATCCAACAAGCGCGAACGCCGTCCAGTCACCGGCGTAGAAAAGGTAAACATTTCACTCTGCGTTTTCCCCAGTTTTTTACGTAGGCTGGCGACCTGCTTGATCAAGGAAGCCACCTCAATCCTATAATCCTTGGCAAGCAAACAACTGCCGCATTGGAACTCCGAGTGAGCCAGTTTGTCCCTAAACAAAGCGTAGTAGATAGAGATCCTACATCGCTGGAAACATTAATTTACTTCTCCAGACAAAAAGGGCTCCATTGCAAAACTCATCTGGGACTAACTTCGTTATCTTGATGGCTAGCAGCTAGTGGCTCTGTCAAGCAGGCTTCAACCTGTCTGTTAAGCAGGATTCCGGGACAAGAAATGGCGGTCCTAGCTGTTAAAAGCTAACCACGTCGTGGAATCCATGCAAGAACAAGTTCAGTATTTATATCTAATGAAGAGTGGTTATTTTTATGTCAAAAACAACAAATGAAGTGTTTCCTGCATACAGTGTTCGATTTAAAGCTACGGCGACAATTTCAGAATGTAAAAGGCTATTACTACAATTTCAATAAAACAAGTCTCCAACATAAGGAAAATGTCTGTACATTTCAGCTGTTTCAAAAACATTGCTTTGCTATTTTAAAAAACATACTCTAAAAGTGTTGGCTCAATGAGACAATTCTGTTTACACTGCCCTGCTTAAGAGTGGGGTAACTGTCGGGCGAGTGTCGTGCGCTTCCTCCGGAGGTAGCGGTCTAGCATGACAAGTTCACAAGTTTACATTGTAGTAATATGTGTAGCCTAGGGTATTTTTGCAAGTCTAGTGAGTGTGAAGACCCTCTTTGTTAGGAAAGAGGCTCCTGTTATTCTTTGAGGTGTGATTATGCTATAAAAAAGTTTGCCTATCTGTATGAATATTTTTTTCTGGGAGACTGCAGTGAAAGTGGGCCATTTAATTAGCAGCTGTCAAGCTCTCTCTTCTCTCTGAGTTATGATGCATGCTGTCACACTGGAGAAGTCTGCCTAGCAATAGTTTAGCTAATTCCCAAAACACCACAGCAGAGACCCACACTTGACACAGTATGCAGATCATAATAATATGCCATTTAGCAGACGCTTTTATCCAAAGTATGTGTGCATACATTTTTTACGTATGGGTGGTCCTGGGGATCGAACCCACTACCCTGGCGTTACAAGCGCCATGCTCTACCAATTGAGCTACAGAGGACCATAACAGAGGCATAACAGAAGATAAACAAGCGCTAATAGTAGTTCTCAAGGACAAATACATGCGTGAGGAGTCATGGACACGACTGTGTGTGTTAGCATGGGTGTATGCAAGAGAAAAAATACAGGCTTATTATGGTAGTCTCCGGGTTTTCTGCCGAATAGACAAACAAACATCACCTTGAATGACTTGATGGTGAGTAAAGGCTTGGACCTGAAAGTGACTGACTGAATCTACTGCAATGACACAGACAGGGGCCTGCCAACAATATAATGATGTGGCAGTTCTAACGATACGTCTGTACTTAATCTGCCGGGGCAGGCACGACCAGATTGTACAAGTAGATCAAATTACTGTCCACATCGCTCACATGAGGTGTTAATCAGTTTTTTTTTGTCACTTAATCTATGTCCCTCTGCATTAGCAGACATGAGCACTGAGCAGGCTTCTGGACTTCTGGGTAGGGGGAGATAAGGGGGGAGGGGATGTTATGCATTTAGTCCAATTGGTTTCCATGGTTACTTGGGGATAAAGGCGTCCGCATGCTTCCTATCCAAAACAGTTCATGCATACTCTGAGTATACCAAACATTAGGAACACCTTCCTAATATTGAGTTGCACCCCCCCAACCCTTTTGCCCTCAGAACAGCCTCAATTCATAGGGGCATGTCCTTTACAAGATGTCAAGTGTTCCACAGGGATGCTGGTCCATGTTGACTCCAATGCTTCCCACAGTTGTGTAAGTTGGCTGGATGTCCTTTGGGTGGTGGACCATTCTTGATACACACGGGAGTGTGGAAAAACCCAGCAGAGTTGCAGTTCTTGACACAAACCGGTTCACCTGGCACGTACTACCATACCCAGTTCAAATGCACTTAACTATTTTGTCTTGCCCATGACCACACGCATAATCCATATCTCAATTGTCTCAAGGCTTAGAAACCCTTCTTTAACCTGTATCCTCCCCTTCATCTACACTGATTTGAAGTAGATTTAACAAGTGACATCAATAAGGGATTATAGCTTTCACCTGGATTCACCTGGTCAGTCTGTGTCATGGAAAGAGCAGGTTCTTAATGTTTGGTATACTCAGTGTATATTATGACAACATTTTGTGATGTTTTTGTTAGTTTTGGTCTTCAGCAAGGTTTTCTTTCGCCTGTTCGTGCACACAACATTTTTCCCTGAGGCAAGCTGAAGTTCGGTAGACGAAGTCTACGCCCCTTCGTCAGTGATTGGTCAACAGTAGGGATTCTTCAATTAAGTGTTTGTTGTCATTCAACGAGACTTGTTTTCATACAAATGTTTTCACTTGAGAAATACTGCACCAAACATCTTAGTTAGATATAAAATTGCGTGACTAAAACCTCCTCGGCATAATCATATAAATTAATTACAGATTTCTTTATCTTGGATTAATTCAGACTATTTTCAGGAAGTGTATACTGGTTACAGCGTCTCAAGAGGGACAAACAGTACTATTGCAACTTTTTTTCTCGTTTTCCAAGCAAAGGTCTTTTTAAGGGAGTATGCGAGGCACAGATGTTCACTTCGCCTAGCTGAGGTCTGCTAGGAGCAAACTGAACCTAGTATGCAGACGCTTTAAGAGGTCACTGGCACTCTGGTTTTCCAATTTTGACTCGGAGTCAGTCGTCTATGAAGCGCTCCTGTCTGTATGTCAGATCTGAGACTGCTTTGTGCAGTGGAAGGATGGATGGTCCAGATGTAACCTTTCATATTTGACATTTCCCCAACACATCTCTGTTAGTTTATGAGCTCCTATGTCAGCTATGTAGACTCACTGCATGGGACTCTGGGGCATCGACCAGAGATGGAGGATTTTAGTCCATAGAAAACTATGCTCTGATTGTATACTGTTGGGCAGTGATTTATGGTTGTCTTGTTTTTCATTTAGAATAAGTGGATTGAGAACATGAGAAGAAGTTAGGGCTATAGCCTAACGTGTACTGTATAACCTTACATTACACTAAAATAGGCCAGAAATGTCCTATTCAAAACAAATTACGAGGGAGGTAACATCTATCTTCTGCTTCTCCTCCAGTTCTCTCTCAGCACCCCGAGGGCATGTGGAACTCCGTTAGAGTTAACGATCATTAAAATGCTCCATCTTAGACTCACCTGCTTGCTGGCACAGCAGAGCCCCGTGAGGCCTAATAAAGTGGGGTTTCATTCAGTAGAACAGAGCCTTCAACCTCCTTAGATAATGACACTAGCTCTCTCACTGATGGCTCTCTCCATCAACTCGGAGCAGTAGTAGTACTGGGGACCTGGCTATTGAGACCCCCACTGTGCATCTGACCCATTTGATTAAAGAACAGTCTAAGGGTAGGAGGCAGCTGAACACGGCGGCGCCAATTTGCAGATGTTATCGCAGGTACAGCAAAATCCTTGTGTTTCTAGCTCCAACAGTGCAGTAATACCTAGCAATAAAAAAAAAACACTACACACAAAATCCAGAAAAATAAGGAAATGTAAGAAGTATCAGAACAAGCAATGTCAGAGACCGGAATATAAAGCACAGCAGTATTTCAGTATAGCTGTAATTTATGAGCTTGGCTAGACATAATTACCAACCCCATTGTGTCTGATTTGGCTTTAAAAGATTTCCTCTCTGTCAAGCTCACAACACCACCACTGCTGGCTGCAGCCAGGATGAGTTGTTTTAGGATAGCAAACGTCATGGCAAACCTGCACTGTCAAGTCTTTTGGTGTCCCCTGAAGCTTTGGTACTGTCTTGTGTGGGTGGGGAGCTGCCACAGCATCTCAGATTGGTATGATGAATATGTCATCCACATCATACAGGGTCTATCAACCTATCATTATCAAATGCATACATGTATCATTACTGCATAGAGAGAGAATACACACCATCTTGCAACAGATGATTAGTATTTTGCTCACTGTTCAGACTGTCAAGCCTGTGTTCTCCCCACTTTTTAATGTTATTTTATAGAAAAGTGACTTACGTGTTTCATTCACACCACCCCTTAACATGTGGTAAACATTTGAAAGAAGTCTGTGTGTATCTGTATATTACTCATTGCAAAGCTATTATACAACATTTTATAGACCCCCCTCACCCTTTATGCTGTGACTTCTCTGTTTCCTCTGTTTCTGTGATGTACTCTTTGTCTGGAGGCAGTCGTAATGATCACGGCTGTTTCTGTGTTCTTTCAGTACTGGATCAATGAGTTCACCACCAATCTGGGAATTGGCGTCTTTCACTCAGGGATCGAGATCTACGGCAGAGGTAAGGAAACCTCCGCTGCTATGATAACAGCCCTTGGTGGGGCTGGCTGACCAATGTTCAACCACACAACAAGGCACTCCAGTGAACTGCTGGGCTGTCAGGTGCTGCTTGGTAGAACTTCTCTGTCTGCAACGCCTCATCATCAAGTAGAGAGGGCAGTGAGTCAGATACTATGGTACTTTTAGTACCTGACATTAGGATTGTAACAGATGGTGGTAGAAATAACATAAGGATGGAAGGATAAACATGTAAGAAGGGTTTCAAATAGCTGTATCTGCTAACTCGTTGTTACTCATAATGCCTACTCATGTCTCAGATAAAAACAAGCCACATCAACCCAACCTGAGGAATCTTTGTTAGCTAATTACCAGCTTCACTACAAACCGGACACACTTTTGCCATTTTACTGTTTCTGGCTATTTCTGTTATTTAGGATCATATGGGTTCTTCCTCGAATTAAAAAAATAGACTCTAAATGACATTGCCACGAGCTGCACCGCAGATATTGAGATTAGCAAGTTGCAAGACTGCTGTCACACACAGAATCTGCGCATGTGCACAGGTTCACTTCACGCTGTAACAGCGTGGTAGCCAGGGCACCAAACCAGCAGAGAAGTTGAGCCTCGCGCTTCAACACTCTTAGTTGTTGTGGAAATTGACCAACTGCTGTTTACTTTCTGCATCTGTCATATCGCTGAGTCTATCTTTTTAAAATCGATTTATTCTAGAATCAGCCTCCCAGTCGCTCAGCTTTATTGATCAAGGAGAAGTGGAAGTGGTAGCTTGTCTTTTAGTTGAAAACACTGGTGGTTCATTCTGTTAAACTCAGCGTCTCGCCTGTGGTTTGAACCTCATAGCTCAGCCTATTAAAAGCTGCTTTCATCTATGCATTTTAAAAGAAAGCTCTGAATCCAAATATATCCTCATGGCAACCCCTTCAGTTTTATGGTAGGACGGACCTGGGTATTTCTAATGCCTGGCTTGTTTACCCTTAATTGGGCTGATTCAGGGAGACTGACAATCCCAGCAACAGATGGTGTAGATTAGGCACACAATTATTGCCTTTTACATTACTTTATGAGCAGCGCAAGCTGGCAATTATTTACTGTGTGTGTCTTTATGAGAGAGTGAGTTTGCCAAAACTGACACAGTTTATAAATTCTGTGCAATGGATGTGCCGTGTGTCTCTGTGTCATTCATGGAGAGAGTGCATGAGTTATTGAAATTCTGATCAGCAGGCAGCCCAATTAGTGAACAGGAGTTAGTAGCAGGGTGGATCAGAGGGGCGGGAACAGGGCTCTGGAGATCCCCATCAGCTACACCCATCATGGAGCTGGGAGCTATAAGGACTGATGGAGCTATAAAGACCTTCCACTACCTTCCTTAGACTGCCTCAGCCCGTCACAACAGACTACAATACTACCCCCACACTCACCTCAAACACAGCAATTCCGTTCTTTTACTTTTAGATCTGTGTGTATTGTTGTGAATTGTTAGATATTACTGCACTGCTGGAGCTAGGAACACAAGCATTTCGCTACACCCGCAATAACATCTGCTAAATATGTGTATGAGACAATACAATTTGATTTCATTTGAACACCCCCCCACACTCACCTCAAACACAGCAACACCACCCGCCCCACACTCAACGCCACTCACCCCAACTAACCTCAAATACGGCAACACCACCCCACACTCACCTCCACCCACCCACACTCACCTCCACCTGCTCCACACTCATCTCAAACATAGCAACACAGCCCCACCCGCCCCACACTCACCTCCACCCGCCCCCACACTCATCTCAAACACAGCAACACCACCCCCACCCGCCCCACACTCATCTCCACCCGCCCCAACTCATCTCAAACACAGCAACACAGCCCCACCCGCCCCACACTCATCTGTGAACTTCCCACCCACCTCTACTAGTACTACTGTTGTGTGCTATGAATCTTTGTATAGTGTTTTTGACTTCCTCTGTGTGATCTGATCATTGTCCTGATCTTTCAGAGTTTGCCTATGGAGGACACCCATATCCATTTTCAGGGATATTTGAGATAACGCCAGGGGATGCCACAGAACTCGGGGAGACATTCAAATTCAAGTGAGTATCACGGCTTAAATCGAGGGTTTCTTGAAAAACAAGGTATGGTTAGTTGCCTAGTTGAGCTAAAACATGAGAACATCCTTAAACCTGTTTGTAGTGGAACCAGTACTGTTGTTGACGTTTTGGTAGATATGTTTACTTATGTGTTCTTTCTTCACTGCTTGTGATGGATTCTGAAAACTGGTCATTTCTATTCATAATGGTCAAGTTTTTTTTTTCTTCTGTTAAGCAGAACATAGGATCACGAGAATACCGAGAAGTCACATAGGATTTCTGCCTCAAGCGACACTGAGGATCACATGAATAGTTAATGGTTACTGACAGTTTTTTTCTTCAGTTGTTGTAGAGACAACCTGCATAGCCAATTTATTTTCTTTATCTAGCAATAATTTTGTGACAAGGATGCTCCCTAAAATGGTCGTCATTATTTACTGGCTTGTTGAAGTGTCTAGCCTTTACAGCTATGTTCAATGAAGCACACTGTTACAATTATAGTGATGGAGGAGGAAGAAGAAGAGTGAAATCTCAGCTGGACTTACATAGAATGTTATTTACACACTTGCCTGTATAAGAGTACAGAAGAACGTGTGTGTGGAGTTGGGGTGTTTCTACAGCATGTCCTTGCCGATGTGCGTGCATTCATGCAAGCCCCTAGTTGCCGTCTGGCTACTTTTGATTGTGTGTGTACTGTGTGTGTGAGGCTTGAGCGAGTGGCTCTGTAGCTTGTTTGCATAAATGATGCTCTAGTTGAGCAGCCCCATGGCACTGGAGTGTCTCTGCTACTGATGCCAATGAGTAGAACATGTTCTAAATAAACGTTCTGTGTATGGTTTGTTTATTTCTTTGTGTGTGTGTACACCTGCTATGGGAGGATACTATATGGGAGAGACGATAAAACATCACAGTAATGTTGGTTGGATGACGCAATTGTTTTGCGTTCTACATAAAAACAACTTGCAGGATCTTCTATATAATCATTTCCAGGGGTTGCCTAACTATTGTCATGTCCTCCCTCACATAATGCCTCCAGCATCCATTTTCCTAACTTACCTTTATCTATATAGCTCTATGTGCACTCTACTTATTTGTATATAATGTATGTAAACTCTGTGTAAACTCCTCTGTCTGTATTCTGTCTCTAAATGTTGTCTATCACGAGCAGCACCATATCACTAAGTAACATTCAGAGTGTGTGTAAATGTCCTTGGCGAATGAAGATGATTCTCATCTTCTGATGGTGGTTGTTGAGTGATAAGGCTGCTCCTGTTTATGTACAGCAATGCTCCGAAGATACTGTAGTTGCTAACACCGTGGTCCATTTCTCGCCCACAGCTCAGACATGCTGCATTTTGGTTAGGCTGAGTCACTTCTGTGAAGATGAAGAGCTTCAACTATAATTGAAGTGAACTCTGCCTGTGTAGTCATTACTCAGATGGGCCGGTCTGTTGTGTAGATTCCATGCATAGCATTTTTTATCTAAAATGATAAAAGGTAGATTATGAAGTCTTTAGGCAACATTTTACATCCGCAAAACTGCCCTTGAGCTCTGCAAATAATCTTGAATAGTCACAATAAGTAGGAATTATAATTTCTCATTTTAAAATGTAAAACATTGCCTTGTATGGTGAAAAAGGGTGCTTAGAATTGACCTTCTCCTCTGTGTTGATCCTGTTCCTGGCATCAGAGAGGCCATTGTTCTGGGCAGCACAGACTTCACAGAGGAGGATGTGGAGCGCATTGTGGAGGAGCTGGGGAAGGAGTACAAGGGGAATGCCTACCACCTCATGCACAAGAACTGTAACCACTTTTCCTCAGCCCTGTCGGAGGTAAGGGACGCTCTGAACATTCACACACACACACACACATATATTATTTATGCCCAAGCTCTCCTTAAGGAAAGACAAAGGCCTATATCCCTGCGTTGTCCAGGGTGCGTCACAGTGGTCCACATAAGACAAGAATTCCATCCTCCCCACCAGCTCACCTCTTGTCACCAGGGCTAGAGCATTCTAGGTCAGGGTGCCTGGATGTAGTGCCACTTTGCCCTGACGTTGAACCTGCCAGATGCCAGGTCCAGCCTAGCACAGTCTCACAAAGAGCAGAGAAGGAGAATCCCCCACACCCCACGGGACAGATGACAAATATCTCAACCTGTGTTAGTTCAGTGTGTTGAGTAGAAGCCAAGCAATTTGAGTTTATAAGTACAGTGTTAGAGCAGATTGGTGGAGCGGGTGAATAATGAGTATGATTACACCCATCATTTGTGTGGCAGACAGGAATTAGAGAGCTCTGCTGCAAGCCCAGACACACTGCCCCAGCTGCCAGGCCCACTGCCCCAGCTGCCAGGCCCACTGCCCCAGCTGCCAGGCCCACTGCCCCAGCTGCCAGGCCCACTGCCCCAGCTGCCAGGCCCACTGCCCCAGCTGCCAGGCCCACTGCCCCAGCTGCCAGGCCCACTGCCCCAGCTGCCAGGCCCTGTCATACACCACTGACAGAAACTCCTCCTGACTCATACACCTACATATGCAAATACAACACACACACATATACTAGCAAACACCTACATATGCAAATACAACACACACACATATACTAGCAAACACCTACAGACAAACTCACTCTCTCACACATGTATGCTCACACAATGTGACTGTTTGAATAGAATTCATTGCATAGTTCAATGATTTCCTCAGAGAACCCAGTGTATTTGAACCAAATTGTTCTAGAGAGAGGAAATTAGGCTAATTGTCAATTCTTACAGAGCATTCTGTCTTCTCCCATCATTTACACCCCTTGGTCTTGTTGATTCCCATCTTTATAATGAAACACTGCACTAGTGCAGTGGGTATTCACTTCTGTGGCCGTTCCTGTCTATTAGGGACTGTCTTTAGCTGTGAAGTACGTGTGAATGTGTTTCCTGGGGACGGTGAAGAGGGAGGTGACTAATACTCAGATGTCTCTAACACTGATAATCCTCTCTTCATTTGAAAGGCAAATGAAGTGGGCCTGATGACACTCTGGATAAGAACATATTTACAGTGAAACCAGCACCTCTTCCTCTTGAAGTGTTGAAACACTCATTTAGCTCGTATCATCTTGTTAACACTGCTACAACCACACACGTCTAGTATGACTCAATGTATGACTATATTGTGTAGACTGAGTCAGAGCGTTGTTTCTAGTCATTTGCGATTCCCACCCAAAAAAAAGTATATTAATGTAGCAAATAATTTTAAGATGTATCTATGCATAGCCTAGATATGTAATCTTGTTGTAGAGTCCTCTCCCTATTGGATGATAGAATTGTTCAGGAATAGAATGGAGATGTCTGCCTCAGGCATACAGCGCTTCTCTCTCTTCCTTGTTGTGTGGGAAGGATCTGTTTGACAGTTTCATTTTCTGACAGCCTGATTTGCTCGTGGGATTATGCGTGATTGCTCCACAGTGAAGGAATCTGTGAGAGAGAACTTTGAATGGGATTAGCTCTGCAAAGACCACCACAGATCCCCAGCTCTAGGTGTGATAGTTATTTATTTCAGACCTGTTAGGTTTCTGTACAGAAATCCTACATCCAGGACGGCAGCCTATCATTGTCTTTCATTTCTCTGTGGTCTATTTTAGGTGATAATTTGCAAAAAAATGATGATACTGTATGGGAGAACACAGCATTCCTACTGAAACTGATTTCTCAACCGCAGAGAATCAATCGACCGATTGGTAGCCTATTTCTCATGGGTAGCCTATATAGACATATTGTCATTGGTAGCCTACATCAAGCCTCATGAGCAATGTCTTGCCTTTTCATGTGAAATGTAGGCGAAGACTAACAACCTCACAATTACATTGTGCAGTTGTGAACATTAATGTCACTGCTCACAAGGATGTTAACCCACACACAATTGAAGCCCATCACTGCAGGCTTGTTTGAGGCGTTAAGGCTATTTTATAGCTCCATCCCATCAGGCCACAGCCTCCAGAATGATTATCCTCCTCTCTGCCTCAGTGCTGCTGCTGTTATCATCACACTTAGCTTGTTTTTCACAGCCAGAGGCTTTTCCCATCCAATACCTGGTTTTTCCAAAGTGGAATACTTCCATTACACGTCAAGAGGACTAAAGATACAAATCTACAGCTAATACCACTTTGAAAGAAAGGGCAATTTGTGTTTCTCTGCATTTACTGGGTTGGTTTGGTGTTCGCTTTGGACCACAAGGTTTGAAAATATTGGTTTTATGGTTGCACTATTTTCACAGGAAATATATTTTTATCGTGATGTGAGAAATTCTAAGAATGTTAGAGAAGCGAGAGGGGACAGATAACAATTCAACACCGGTGTCTTTGTCAGAGTCTTGACCTCTTCCATTCACTGGGGTGATAACATGTTACTGTGCTGAGCAAAAGGAATGGTCCTGGCTAGTGGCCATTAATGAAGTCATTACATTGTAATGATGTCCGTACTTAGCAAGACGATACATCCACACTATTTTCACATTGTAATAGCACCCAGTCCATCAGATGAATAAGGGTCCAATTGAATACAGTCTAGTGGAGTACATTCCAATACCTCAATGACCATTAGCTATATCCTGCTTAGTAGGGCCAAATGCCTTACTGCTACAGTATCAGCAGATCCATTTCCAGTAAGGCCTAGCACTCTAGTATCAGGTATCAGTGCTGCATGTCTCTGTTCTACTCTGCGCTCTTCCTGTCTGTCCATCAGATCCTGTGTGGCAGGGAGATCCCGCGCTGGGTGAACCGGCTGGCCTACTTCAGCTCCTGTGTGCCCTTCCTGCAGAGCTGCCTGCCCAAAGAGTGGCTGACCCCGGCCGCCCTGCAGTCCAGCGTCAGCCAGGAGCTCCAGGGGGAACTGGAGGAGGCAGAGGACGCCTCCGCCTCTCTGGCCTCCATGAGCTCCATGCCTTCCCCATCCCTCTCCTCTCCTTCCCCATCCAGGCTGCCCAGGGTTCCCCGACATCAGCCCCGCCGATAGGACTAGTCCCAGGGTTCACCATTGCCTTCAGTGACAGGCTCTGGCAGGGCCCCTCCACATGGACAGGCTTACTGTACTGTACACCACTCTGCCAATAGACACTAACCCCAAACCCAACCCACCCCCTACCTACCACCCCTGCCTACTGCGCTCCTGATGAGACTTGCCATCCACCAGCGGCATTGAAGCCCCGCCTACACTGACTTGACTGGCAGACTTGGGGTAATGGCTACAGGCTCGGAGTACTGTTGTTTTACACGTAAAAAACAACATTCAGTTCATGTTTTGTGTAATTTCTTCATTTTCTTGGCCTTTATTTTATATACTCAGGACTCTAAAAAAAATATTTTCTATGTTTAGCTTCTTTTGCTTTTCTAACGCTTTAGTCATCACTCTATATAGCATTTTCTAAAATGCATTTTTAATCCTCTTTTGTTTACAACCTGTTTGTGTGTGTATGTTTATGAGTGTGTGTTTTACAATTACCGAGAAGCTACCACCTGGGCCAAACACCTCCACACTTTTCTTACGACACACACAGCTGATGTCTACCCCCGTGGCAGCTGTGCCTGGAGATTTTTACTGTACCTGCTCGTTGAGCTCTGCACTGTTTCTCTATAGTTTACCTGTTTCTCTCTTTGTAAAGCAGCGGACTCCTTAACCTAGAATAACTAACTTACTTCAGATGTTTTACACCGTTTTTAGAGTCTTCTGTGTAACTGAAAATATTTGTATCTCGTTTTAAAGTTATTAAAGAAAAATATATGACATAGATTGTTGTTTTAATGAGTTATTAACTAAACGTATTCTCCCTACTGAACATGGTGCTGTTGTCAATATAGCTTAATTACATTTCTAATAGCCAGGAGGGAGTCAGCCTATTTGCATGCAGACTCCCCCCTCCTCCATCTGGGTTGCTGCTGTTGCCCTTGACTGCAATAACATCTCTGTGACAGAAATCTGATTGGCCTCCATTGTTTGGATTGTACTTGGCACATACCTATGGCTATTGAACAACACTCAACTTGTATTAACATGAGTTTTCCTGTTGAAGTAGCAGTTGTTGCCCAAACAGGATATTTTCCCACAGTATATGAAGGCTCCAGACTGATTTAATGTTAGCAAAGAGACACTGTAGATTTCCCACCATTCATGACTCCAAAAAAAGCTAGATTCAAGCTTACTGTATTTTCTCTCAAGATAAATGTTCTGTGAAACTGACCAACCTGCTCAGGATGTGCTACCTCAATGGGAATTTTCATGGAACTTTCTGTCAAATGGAGAAGTTCTGGAAAAGTGAGCTGTCCATCTTAACTCAAAAGCAGTAGAGCTAACTACTAAATGTGATCATTAATATTTACTCACTGTGCCTTTTTGACCCTAGATACGCAATCCTGTTAGCCAGAATTTTCCATTTAGAGTGAGGTAGCTCAGATTTTCAGACCACCAAGGTCCTTGCTCGGTTGCCGTCAGTGTCAACTGTCTTCACTCAGATCTCTGTGTTGACATATTTCCACCTCTCATCACCAGCCAAGGCACCAAAGGATCAAGCCCCTAGATCTACTCTGTCATGGTGACTTGAATGACACACTTCAGATATGTCAGGATGGCTTTTTCCTCTGGAAGTCCTGTTTCTGTTACACCTCTGAGGTGTGATGACCCCTAGTGGCGTAGTGAACACATTGCCCTGTTTAAATGAAAAATATCTCCATGAACAGTGCGCTCTGTAGCATCAGTTTATTGAATGATGAGGATGAATCTATTGAAATTGACCGATCAAAATCAAACAACCATTTTTAAAATGATTATTAAGCCCCATTGAAACAGGAGGGGACAATTATTGACAGAATTGAAGAATTCTGAATTTTAGTGTTTTAGAGGCGGGTCTCAGTGACGGTCTCCGACAGAGTAACCACAGTCTGTGTCTCCTCTGGCTGCCTGCTCAGATTATTTTTACAGCAGAGTAAAGCCTCCACTACCTCTCTGGGGCCCTTAGTCATGAAGATATAGAGGAACGGGTCCATTAGAGGACTCAGATACAGCAACAGATTGGCAATCAGCCCTAAGTATCGTACTTCCTCCTTCAACGACTTGAGCAGAATGTTCAGAATGAAGGGAAGAAACAGCACGGTATAATTGGTCAGGATGACCGCCAGTACGCCCACAGTCCTTTTTATCTGGAAATGACGCCAAAATAAAAGATGAGGGTAGCAGTGTCAGCCGATAGGATACTCCCAGTGGCAGCCTGTGGTCTTCCAATGAAACTGAAAATGTCTGAAACAAGAAGGCTGATGACATGGACAGGTACAGGGTTGGGACCTTTGACCAGGTTCTTCATGGTGTAAAGGGCCAATCCAATGGCAGGTAGCCCAACGGCAAATGTTATCCAGCCAATGACCTCGGCAACGCGGTCAAAAGTAGTGTCAGCGTTTGTGTTGTTAACATATCCTATATTCATATAATTATCCATGGGGTCTGGTCATTTGAGGTGGTTTATTATGTCTTTTCGTTGTGTTTAGTTGCATTTACTAGTATAGTCATGAGTCATGTGACCGCGTCCTCTCGTCTTTCACACACTAGAATGACAGCAACATGGAAGAATGTATTAAATTCATTTAGGAGTATGTGTACAACATTTTAAATAATCACATTTGTTTAGTCTGTCAGTGACAGGCTACAGTACATTCTAGGCTACAAACAGTACGTAGGCATTCTCCCAATATCACTTCTATGTCACTCTACTTGTCCTTGAGCAGTTTAACTGTTCTTTCTTTAGTAAGACCTGTTGCTTAAAGGCTACTCACATACTTCCATCCCGTGTTCATGGATATTTTATATTTAAAATGTTTCCTGAATTCCATTCATCCCCATAGCATTTAGATCCTTTGGTATTGCCTCCCCCTGCCAAAAATAGACAGAGATAATCCATGGCCTTACCTGAAGTAGGTTTGGAGAGAACAGCATGGAAAGAGCGTTGTGTGTTCCTCCTCAGTGTATTTTACCTTGCAGTTGATGGGTGAACGTCAAATACTGTACCTGGATGATCCCCTGTACCTGGATGATCCCCACAGTAGGTGATGCGACTGGTACCAGGTCCATGCTATGAATTGGATTGATTTGCTTTTGGCTTTTTTATATAAATGTTTTATTGGTGCTGAATAGCATGGTCACTTATCTTCCTAGAACTGCTAGATAAACGGTTTCAATTAAGCTATACAGACTCACATTTCCCTAAATTCCAGTTGAGCTATGCTGATGGTAATGTAAAGTGTCAATTTGCATTTTGTACTTTGCTTAGTTTATATGTCAGGGCCTAGTTCCTCCTAACAGACACTGATGTCATTTTAACACATTCCTGTAACACATCAATGAATCTTAAAGGAGCTCAGTCATCCTAACCAACAACACTCAAAAGAGTGGTTGAACTCATGAACTTCCCTGTCAAATATCTTTCTTTAGTTAATCAACTATGTGAGCCCACAATTTCAACATTAGTGACAAGGAAGTCATTTTTCTGAAGTATTTGCTCAATAATTTGTTTAAGTTGCATTTGTGTGTGGTGGCGGACTGTTCTGACTTCAGCATTATGTCTCAACATATTTGTCTTAAGTCTGATGGACAGAGACATTGTATCTGACCTATAAAAGTGTGGTGCAGTATTGCTAGTAAGAGTTTGGTTTTTATTCTCAAGTAGCTGCCTGTACTACATACAACACATCAAGTCTGTGAATATAAAACTAACAGCTTCTTCACCCAAAATGGTGTATGCGTATTATAAGATGTATGCATGAAGTGTATTATGTTATATGTAAGATTTAATATTCCTGTTGTCATTATGAAATACAAAGCAGTGAAGTGGAAACTTTGTGTGGAATGGATTAGGATCGGGGTCTTTTAACCACTGTTAGTAATGTCATGGTTATCTCCCTGGCCAATCATCTATCTAAGACTGACAAATATATAGTCACAAAAATTGTGCAATGACTTTTGACATCCTTGGATGGTGAAGGACTTCCTGTCTAACTGTATTTAAGGCCCAGCCACTGGGTGCGCACAGTGAGTATCTGTGGCATAAAAAAAAAACAGTTACTGGACAATTTTTTGCATGTTTCTAACTTGCATTTACACTTCCTGATAATTGGTTGATTTATTGTAAAAGGCTTATTGCCTCTTCTGATAAGAGCTACAAGACAAACAGAAATTCATATAAATTAACCTCCAGGTAAGACCGTACTGTAGATTTCACATGATTGCTAAAGGGCTATTTGAACTTTGCTTGTGCTACACATGTTAAACACTGAATTGCGCAGTGATTACTTTAATTGTTTTCTATTAGTATGTGATATTCATAAATGTGATTATGGCTCTATTTGTATTTATTATGGATCCCCATTAGCTGCTGCCAAGGCACCAACTACTCTTCCTGGGGTCCAGCAAAATTAAGGCAGGTATACATTTAAAAAAACATTACAATACATTCATAACAGATTTCACAGCACACTAAGTGTGTGCCCTCAGGCCCCTACTCCACTACCACATATCTACAACACAAAATCCATGTGTACGTGTGTGTATAGAGCATATGTTATCATGTATGCATGTGTCTGTGCCTATGTTTGTGTTGCTTCACAGTCCCCGCTGTTCCGTAAGGTGTATTTTTATCTGGTTTTAAAATCTGATTAGTTAATTGCATGAACATTGCATAAAAAAATATATTTAAGGTATCCTAACAATTACACATTGATGTAAGAATATGACTTTGAAAATGCCTTTAGAAAATGTATTGATTACGGAATGAAAAGGAGCTAATTTTTTTTATTTTTTGTATATTGCTAAGGGATATTGTACTTTGACAGGTCATTTTGTATTACATATTCAGTTTTACAAAGAATACGCAGTGAGTAGAGCTATATTGAGCCTACTTCCTTATTTTTTTAAAGGAAATGCTTAAGATATTCTAAGGAAAAATACATGATGCAGCTCAACACTAGATCTATTTCAAATAATCATTACAGGAATCTTAGATGTCATAGAGTAAAAATTGTAACCACATATTTCACACTTTTTTTTTCTTAGTGTAGACACAGCAGGAAAATATAAAGTACCTTGAACTTGGAATCAGAAGAACCCTGCCATTCACTAGTTCCTGCAACAACAAGCACCATCAAGGATGGAAGCAAACCTCTCCAATATTTCTGACAGCATCACATCAAATAAGAGCCTCATTGAAACCATTGTATGTTGGACAACATTCTCCATTGGTCTTCCTCTGATCTGTCTGGCCATTTATGCCATGTACTTCCTGATCAGAGCTGATCACATTGCTCCAGTCTATGTTATCAACCTACTTATTGCAGATCTCATTCAGATTTGCATGAGGCCAATCATACTGTTCAGTAACGGGGAATTTGTAGTGATTTTGATTGAATTCTTTGGTATCAGTGCAAGCATTGGTTTCATGGTATGCATTGCTCTCGAGAGATACCTTGTGATTGCATTTCCTCTCTGGTACCGTTTTCGCCGTAACATCAAGTACTCGCTCATAGTGTCCTCCATTATCTGGGTGTTTCCTTTTATCCAAATCTCCCTGTTTTTCCTCTCACCGACTTTTGAGATTTCACTTATTTTGTTTGCAGCTATCCTCCTCATCCCCATCCCACTGCTTGCGTTCTTCCTAGTGGGCACATTGAAAGCTCTGTCCGTCTCCATCGCTGTGCCAGCCGTTGAACAGAGACGGATTATTGGTACCCTGGCCCTTGTGCTGGGCAATTACACAGTCCTGTTCCTACCCCTCATCATACAAACTCTGATATCAGGGGTAACAGCCCAACACAATGTGGAAATTGGGACAATCTTAGAGAGTTTCAGCCCCCTTGTGGATCCTCTGCTCTATGTGTTCATGAGAAAGGGAGCTAAGGAGACTCTTCTGGCCTTTCACTGCTTCGACAAGCTGATGGGTGACCAGGAGCAGAGTCAGGTCACAAACACTATGACCATGACTGATACTGGAGTAGAAGGCTCCAGGTAGGACAGGTCCAGGATAATGGACTGTAGCTGTATGATTCACTATGTATAGTTCCTATCAAGCAACCAAATATGTATTTTGTTAACATTATACCTTGTTTTTGTTGTTGTAGTTAGAATGTGAAGAGTACATGCCTTTATAGTTAACATACAATGCATAACATACTGTATTGTACACAGGCCTATTGTGCATTGCCCTATCTTTGATGGGCTTGTATTGCAGCTTTTCAGAAATATATGGACTTTCCTTACTTCAATAAATTGATACTGTGGATATTTGAGATTGCTCTTTCTATTATTTTATCCCCATTCTCTCCCTGAGTCCCTCTAAAAAGAGAACACTAAAAGTGGTCATGTTATAGACAGTTTATTCAGATCCCAATATGAGTACAAGTGCATTCACATAGACATACAAGCCCATGTCTGTCGTAGCTATGACATTTGAGTTCAGTTTGAGTTCACCATACATTGGGCAGACATAACATAACATGTCATTACATGGGCAGGTGTAATATTACATGTCATTACATAGGCAGAGATGTTGGCCGACATGTCACCACATGTCACCATCCGCTAGTACTCTTTGAGTCATGCAGAAGTCTGGCTGCAGGCTCTCAATGGTACAGTCGGAAGTGTCCATGTTACAGAGGCTGCAGTCACAGCTCAGAGCCACAGGGTAGGTGACATGAGGGTCCACCCAAGGGGGACAGTCAGGTAGGCAGATCGAGATCTACGGCAGAGGTAAGGAAACCTCCGCTGCTGTGATAACAGCCCTTGGTGGGGCTGGCTGACCAATGTTCAACCACACAACAAGGCACTCCAGTGAACTGCTGGGCTGTCAGGTGCTGCTTGGTAGAACTCCTCTGTCTGCAACGCCTCATCATCAAGTAGAGAGGGCAGTGAGTCAGATACTATGGTACTTTTAGTACCTGACATTAGGATTGTAACAGATGGTGGTAGAAATAACATAAGGATGGAAGTATAAACATGTAAGAAGGGTTTCAAATAGCTGTATCTGCTAACTCGTTGTTACTCATAATGCCTACTCATGTCTCAGATAAAAACAAGCCACATCAACCCAACCTGAGGAATCTTTGTTAGCTAATTACCAGCTTCACTACAAACCGGACACACTTTTGCCATTTTACTGTTTCTGGCTATTTCTGTTATTTAGGATCATATGGGTTCTTCCTCGAATTAAAAAAATAGACTCTAAATGACATTGCCACGAGCTGCACCGCAGATATTGAGATTAGCAAGTTGCAAGACTGCTGTCACACACAGAATCTGCGCATGTGCACAGGTTCACTTCACGCTGTAACAGCGTGGTAGCCAGGGCACCAAACCAGCAGAGAAGTTGAGCCTCGCGCTTCAACACTCTTAGTTGTTGTGGAAATTGACCAACTGCTGTTTACTTTCTGCATCTGTCATATCGCTGAGTCTATCTTTTTAAAATCGCTTTATTCTAGAATCAGCCTCCCAGTCGCTCAGCTTTATTGATCAAGGAGAAGTGGAAGTGGTAGCTTGTCTTTTAGTTGAAAACACTGGTGGTTCATTCTGTTAAACTCAGCGTCTCGCCTGTGGTTTGAACCTCATAGCTCAGCCTATTAAAAGCTGCTTTCATCTATGCATTTTAAAAGAAAGCTCTGAATCCAAATATATCCTCATGGCAACCCCTTCAGTTTTATGGTAGGACGGACCTGGGTATTTCTAATGCCTGGCTTGTTTACCCTTAATTGGGCTGATTCAGGGAGACTGACAATCCCAGCAACAGATGGTGTAGATTAGGCACACAATTATTGCCTTTTACATTACTTTATGAGCAGCGCAAGCTGGCAATTATTTACTGTGTGTGTCTTTATGAGAGAGTGAGTTTGCCAAAACTGACACAGTTTATAAATTCTGTGCAATGGATGTGCCGTGTGTCTCTGTGTCATTCATGGAGAGAGTGCATGAGTTATTGAAATTCTGATCAGCAGGCAGCCCAATTAGTGAACAGGAGTTAGTAGCAGGGTGGATCAGAGGGGCGGGAACAGGGCTCTGGAGATCCCCATCAGCTACACCCATCATGGAGCTGGGAGCTATAAGGACTGATGGAGCTATAAAGACCTTCCACTACCTTCCTTAGACTGCCTCAGCCCGTCACAACAGACTACAATACTACCCCCACACTCACCTCAAACACAGCAATTCCGTTCTTTTACTTTTAGATCTGTGTGTATTGTTGTGAATTGTTAGATATTACTGCACTGCTGGAGCTAGGAACACAAGCATTTCGCTACACCCGCAATAACATCTGCTAAATATGTGTATGAGACAATACAATTTGATTTCATTTGAACACCCCCCCACACTCAACTCAAACACAGCAACACCACCCGCCCCACACTCAACGCCACTCACCCCAACTAACCTCAAATACGGCAACACCACCCCACACTCACCTCCACCCACCCACACTCACCTCCACCTGCTCCACACTCATCTCAAACATAGCAACACAGCCCCACCCGCCCCACACTCACCTCCACCCGCCCCCACACTCATCTCAAACACAGCAACACCACCCCCACCCGCCCCACACTCATCTCCACCCGCCCCAACTCATCTCAAACACAGCAACACAGCCCCACCCGCCCCACACTCATCTGTGAACTTCCCACCCACCTCTACTAGTACTACTGTTGTGTGCTATGAATCTTTGTATAGTGTTTTTGACTTCCTCTGTGTGATCTGATCATTGTCCTGATCTTTCAGAGTTTGCCTATGGAGGACACCCATATCCATTTTCAGGGATATTTGAGATAACGCCAGGGGATGCCACAGAACTCGGGGAGACATTCAAATTCAAGTGAGTATCACGGCTTAAATCGAGGGTTTCTTGAAAAACAAGGTATGGTTAGTTGCCTAGTTGAGCTAAAACATGAGAACATCCTTAAACCTGTTTGTAGTGGAACCAGTACTGTTGTTGACGTTTTGGTAGATATGTTTACTTATGTGTTCTTTCTTCACTGCTTGTGATGGATTCTGAAAACTGGTCATTTCTATTCATAATGGTCAAGTTTTTTTTTTCTTCTGTTAAGCAGAACATAGGATCACGAGAATACCGAGAAGTCACATAGGATTTCTGCCTCAAGCGACACTGAGGATCACATGAATAGCTAATGGTTACTGACAGTTTTTTTCTTCAATTGTTGTAGAGACAACCTGCATAGCCAATTTATTTTCTTTATCTAGCAATAATTTTGTGACAAGGATGCTCCCTAAAATGGTCATCATTATTTACTGGCTTGTTGAAGTGTCTAGCCTTTACAGCTATGTTCAATGAAGCACACTGTTACAATTATAGTGATGGAGGAGGAAGAAGAAGAGTGAAATCTCAGCTGGACTTACATAGAATGTTATTTACACACTTGCCTGTATAAGAGTACAGAAGAACGTGTGAGTGGAGTTGGGGTGTTTCTACAGCATGTCCTTGCCGATGTGCGTGCATTCATGCAAGCCCCTAGTTGGCGTCTGGCTACTTTTGATTGTGTGTGTACTGTGTGTGTGAGGCTTGAGCGAGTGGCTCTGTAGCTTGTTTGCATAAATGATGCTCTAGTTGAGCAGCCCCATGGCACTGGAGTGTCTCTGCTACTGATGCCAATGAGTAGAACATGTTCTAAATAAACGTTCTGTGTATGGTTTGTTTATTTCTTTGTGTGTGTGTACACCTGCTATGGGAGGATACTATATGGGAGAGACGATAAAACATCACAGTAATGTTGGTTGGATGACGCAATTGTTTTGCGTTCTACATAAAAACAACTTGCAGGATCTTCTATATAATCATTTCCAGGGGTTGCCTAACTATTGTCATGTCCTCCCTCACATAATGCCTCCAGCATCCATTTTCCTAACTTACCTTTATCTATATAGCTCTATGTGCACTCTACTTATTTGTATATAATGTATGTAAACTCTGTGTAAACTCCTCTGTCTGTATTCTGTCTCTAAATGTTGTCTATCACGAGCAGCACCATATCACTAAGTAACATTCAGAGTGTGTGTAAATGTCCTTGGCGAATGAAGATGATTCTCATCTTCTGATGGTGGTTGTTGAGTGATAAGGCTGCTCCTGTTTATGTACAGCAATGCTCCGAAGATACTGTAGTTGCTAACACCGTGGTCCATTTCTCGCCCACAGCTCAGACATGCTGCATTTTGGTTAGGCTGAGTCACTTCTGTGAAGATGAAGAGCTTCATCTATAATTGAAGTGAACTCTGCCTGTGTAGTCATTACTCAGATGGGCCGGTCTGTTGTGTAGATTCCATGCATAGCATTTTTTATCTAAAATGATAAAAGGTAGATTATGAAGTCTTTAGGCAACATTTTACATCCGCAAAACTGCCCTTGAGCTCTGCAAATAATCTTGAATAGTCACAATAAGTAGGAATTATAATTTCTCATTTTAAAATGTAAAACATTGCCTTGTATGGTGAAAAAAGGTGCTTAGAATTGACCTTCTCCTCTGTGTTGATCCTGTTCCTGGCATCAGAGAGGCCATTGTTCTGGGCAGCACAGACTTCACAGAGGAGGATGTGGAGCGCATTGTGGAGGAGCTGGGGAAGGAGTACAAGGGGAATGCCTACCACCTCATGCACAAGAACTGTAACCACTTCTCCTCAGCCCTGTCGGAGGTAAGGGACGCTCTGAACATTCACTCACTCACACACACACACACACACACACACACACACATATATTATTTATGCCCAAGCTCTCCTTAAGGAAAGACAAAGGCCTATATCCCTGCGTTGTCCAGGGTGCGTCACAGTGGTCCACATAAGACAAGAATTCCATCCTCCCCACCAGCTCACCTCTTGTCACCAGGGCTAGAGCATTCTAGGTCAGGGTGCCTGGATGTAGTGCCACTTTGCCCTGACGTTGAACCTGCCAGATGCCAGGTCCAGCCTAGCACAGTCTCACAAAGAGCAGAGAAGGAGAATCCTCCACACCCCACGGGACAGATGACAAATATCTCAACCTGTGTTAGTTCAGTGTGTTGAGTAGAAGCCAAGCAATTTGAGTTTATAAGTACAGTGTTAGAGCAGATTGGTGGAGCGGGTGAATAATGAGTATGATTACACCCATCATTTGTGTGGCAGACAGGAATTAGAGAGCTCTGCTGCAAGCCCAGACACACTGCCCCAGCTGCCAGGCCCACTGCCCCAGCTGCCAGGCCCACTGCCCCAGCTGCCAGGCCCACTGCCCCAGCTGCCAGGCCCACTGCCCCAGCTGCCAGGCCCACTGCCCCAGCTGCCAGGCCCACTGCCCCAGCTGCCAGGCCCTGTCATACACCACTGACAGAAACTCCTCCTGACTCATACACCTACATATGCAAATACAACACACACACATATACTAGCAAACACCTACATATGCAAATACAACACACACACATATACTAGCAAACACCTACAGACAAACTCACTCTCTCACACATGTATGCTCACACAATGTGACTGTTTGAATAGAATTCATTGCATAGTTGTCACGATCGTCTACAACAGGAGACCAATGCGCAGCGTTGCGAGTGAACATGATTTATTAAATAACGTAACCACGAAAAACAAAAGACGATACGTGAAGTTCAACACTGAATACAACTATCAGCAACAAGGAAACAAAAACCCACAAACACAAGGTGAAAACTGACAGTTTAAATATGGCTCCCAATCAGAGATAACGAGCCGACAGCTGACACTCGTTACCTCCGATTGGGAGTCATCGACGACAACATACAACATAGAAATACAACCACCAGACCTGCAGACATAGAAATACACCCAACAGACTACCAACATAGAAAAACACCCAAATCCCCAACAAAACAACATACACTCTAGCTCACAATACCAAGTCCTAGAGCCAGAGTGTCACAGTACCCCCCCCTAAAGGTGCGAACTCCGGGCGCACCAGCCCACAGTCTAGGGGAGGGTCTGGGTGGGCGTCTGTCCACGGTGGCGGTTCTGCCCCTGGTCGTGGTCCCCATCCCACCTTAGTCACCACCCGCTTCCCTAGCCTCCTCCCAATGACCACCCTCCAACTAACCCCACCTGGACTAAGGGGCAACACCGGACTAAGGGGCAGCCCCGGGATAAGGGGCAGCACCGGGATAAGGGGCAGCACCGGGATAAGGGGCAGCACCGGGATAAGAAGCAGCACCGGACTAAGGGGCAGCACCGGGCTAAGGGACAGTACCTGACTAAGGGACAGTACCTGACTAAGGGGCAGCACCGGACTAAGGGGCAGTATCGGACTAAGGGCCAGCACCAGGATAAGGGACAGCACCAGGATAAGGGACAGCACCAGGATAAGGAGCAACACCGAGCTAAGGGGCAGCACCTGACTAAATGGCGGATCCTGGCTGGCTGGCTCTGGCGGATCCTGGCTGGCTGGCGGATCCTGGCTGGACGGCTCTGGCGGATCCCGGCTGGACGGCTCTGGCGGATCCCGGCTGGACGGCTCTGGCGGATCCCGGCTGGACGGCTCTGGCGGATCCCGGCTGGACGGCTCTGGCAGATCCTGGCTGGACGGCTCATGGCTGGCTGACGGATCTGGCTGCTCATGGCTGGCTGACGGATCTGGCTGCTCATGGCTGGCTGACGGATCTGGCTGCTCATGGCTGGCTGACGGATCTGGCTGCTCATGGCTGGCTGACGGATCTGGCTGCTCATGGCTGGCTGACGGATCTGGCTGCTCATGGCCGACTGACGGATCTGGCTGATCCTGTCTGACGGAAGGCTCTGGCTGATCCTGTCTGGCAGAAGGCTCTGGCTGATCCTGTCTGGCAGAAGGCTCTGGCTGATCCTGTCTGGCAGAAGGCTCTGGCTGATCCTGTCTGGCGGAAGGCTCTGGCTGATCCTGTCTGGCGGAAGGCTCTAGCGGCTCCGGTCTGGCGGACGGCTCTGATGGCTCATGGCAGACGGGCGGCTCTGCAGGCTTCAGGCAGACGGGCAGTTCAGGCCCCGTTGGGCAGACGGCAGACTCTGGCCGTCTGAGGCGCATCATAGGCCTGGTGCGTGGTGCCGGAACAGGAGGTACCGGGCTGAGGACACGCATCTCAGGGCTAGTGCGGGGAGAAGCAACAGGGCATGCTGGACCCTGGGGACGCACCGTAGGCCTGATGCGTGTTGCCGGAACTGGAGGTACCGGGCTGAGGACACGCATCTCAGGGCTAGTGCGGGGAGTCGGAACAGGGCATGCTGGACCCTGGGGACTCCCATAACGCCTAGTGCGGGGAGCAGGAACTGGCCGGGCTGGGCTGCCGACGCACACCGTAGGCTTCCTACGTGGCACAGGAACAGGCCGGGCTGGGCTGGCGACGCACACCGTAGGCATCCTACGTGGCGCAGGGACAGGCCGGGCTGGGCTGGCGACGCGCACCGGACACTTGGTGCGGGTGGCAGGAACAGGCCGAACCGGGCTGGCGACGCGCACCGTACGCTTAGTGCAAGGGGCCGGAACAGGCCGGGCTGGGCTGGCGACGCGCACCGTACACTTGGTGCGTATGGCAGGAACAGGCCGAACCGGGCTGGCGACGCGCACCGTACACTTAGTGCGAGGGACCGGAACAGGCCGTACCGTACGGGGAACACACACTACTGGCTGCACCTCGGGACTAGGAACGGGCCGGACCGAACTGGTTACACACCCCAGTACCTCACGCCGTGCCTCAACACCTTCCTTCCCTGCTTTACCCAGTAGCCCCCTTGACCTGGTAGCCCACTGAATCCGTCCCTTCTCTGCCTCCGTCAGCCCCCTTAACCTGGCAGCCCTCTGACTCTGCCTTGTGGCAGCCTCCTGCTGCTCCGTCGCCCAAGCCATGTGCCCCCCCCAAAAAATTTCTTGGGGTTGCCTCTCTTCCACGGGCTTCCAGCCTCGCCTTCGCGCTGCCTCCTCGTACCACCTCCTCTCGGCTTTGGCTGCCTCCAGCTCTTCACGAGGGAGGCGATATTCTCCCGGTTGTGCCCAAGGACCCTTTCCGTCCAATAACTCTTCCCATGTCCAGACCCTCGGCTCCTGGACACGCTGCTTGGTCCTTTGGTGGTGGGTTTTTCTGTCACGATCGTCTACAACAGGAGACCAATGCGCAGCGTTGCGAGTGAACATGATTTATTAAATAACGTAACCACGAAAAACAAAAGACGATACGTGAAGTTCAACACTGAATACAACTATCAGCAACAAGGAAACAAAAACCCACAAACACAAGGTGAAAACTGACAGTTTAAATATGGCTCCCAATCAGAGATAACGAGCCGACAGCTGACACTCGTTACCTCCGATTGGGAGTCATCGACGACAACATACAACATAGAAATACAACCACCAGACCTGCAGACATAGAAATACACCCAACAGACTACCAACATAGAAAAACACCCAAATCCCCAACAAAACAACATACACTCTAGCTCACAATACCAAGTCCTAGAGCCAGAGTGTCACAATAGTTCAATGATTTCCTCAGAGAACCCAGTGTATTTGAACCAAATTGTTCTAGAGAGAGGAAATTAGGCTAATTGTCAATTCTTACAGAGCATTCTGTCTTCTCCCATCATTTACACCCCTTGGTCTTGTTGATTCCCATCTTTATAATGAAACACTGCACTAGTGCAGTGGGTATTCACTTCTGTGGCCGTTCCTGTCTATTAGGGACTGTCTTTAGCTGTGAAGTACGTGTGAATGTGTTTCCTGGGGACGGTGAAGAGGGAGGTGACTAATACTCAGATGTCTCTAACACTGATAATCCTCTCTTCATTTGAAAGGCAAATGAAGTGGGCCTGATGACACTCTGGATAAGAACATATTTACAGTGAAACCAGCACCTCTTCCTCTTGAAGTGTTGAAACACTCATTTAGCTCGTATCATTTTGTTAACACTGCTACAACCACACACGTCTAGTATGACTCAATGTATGACTATATTGTGTAGACTGAGTCAGAGCGTTGTTTATAGTCATTTGTGATTCCCACCCCAAAAAAAAGTATATTAATGTAAGCAAATAATTTTAAGATGTATCTATGCATAGCCTAGATATGTAATCTTGTTGTAGAGTCCTCTCCCTATTGGATGATAGAATTGTTCAGGAATAGAATGGAGATGTCTGCCTCAGGCATACAGCGCTTCTCTCTCTTCCTTGTTGTGTGGGAAGGATCTGTTTGACAGTTTCATTTTCTGACAGCCTGATTTGCTCGTGGGATTATGCGTGATTGCTCCACAGTGAAGGAATCTGTGAGAGAGAACTTTGAATGGGATTAGCTCTGCAAAGACCACCACAGATCCCCAGCTCTAGGTGTGATAGTTATTTATTTCAGACCTGTTAGGTTTCTGTGCAGAAATCCTACATCCAGGACGGCAGCCTATCATTGTCTTTCATTTCTCTGTGGTCTATTTTAGGTGATAATTTGCAAAAAAATGATGATACTGTATGGGAGAACACAGCATTCCTACTGAAACTGATTTCTCAACCGCAGAGAATCAATCGACCGATTGGTAGCCTATTTCTCATGGGTAGCCTATATAGACATATTGTCATTGGTAGCCTACATCAAGCCTCATGAGCAATGTCTTGCCTTTTCATGTGAAATGTAGGCGAAGACTAACAACCTCACAATTACATTGTGCAGTTGTGAACATTAATGTCACTGCTCACAAGGATGTTAACCCACACACAATTGAAGCCCATCACTGCAGGCTTGTTTGAGGCGTTAAGGCTATTTTATAGCTCCATCCCATCAGGCCACAGCCTCCAGAATGATTATCCTCCTCTCTGCCTCAGTGCTGCTGCTGTTATCATCACACTTAGCTTGTTTTTCACAGCCAGAGGCTTTCCCCATCCAATACCTGGTTTTTCCAAAGTGGAATACTTCCATTACACGTCAAGAGGACTAAAGATACAAATCTACAGCTAATACCACTTTGAAAGAAAGGGCAATTTGTGTTTCTCTGCATTTACTGGGTCAGTTTGTTGGTTTGGTGTTCGCTTTGGACCACAAGGTTTGAAAATATTGGTTTTATGGTTGCACTATTTTCACAGGAAATATATTTTTATCGTGATGTGAGAAATTCTAAGAATGTCATATGTGTTAGAGAAGCGAGAGGGGACAGATAACAATTCAACACCGGTGTCTTTGTCAGAGTCTTGACCAGAAGTAAACTCTTCCATTCACTGGGGTGATAACATGTTACTGTGCTGAGCAAAAGGAATGGTCCTGGCTAGTGGCCATTAATGAAGTCATTACATTGTAATGATGTCCGTACTTAGCAAGACGATACATCCACACTATTTTCACATTGTAATAGCACCCAGTCCATCAGATGAATAAGGGTCCAATTGAATACAGTCTAGTGGAGTACATTCCAATACCTCAATGACCATTAGCTATATCCTGCTTAGTAGGGCCAAATGCCTTACTGCTACAGTATCAGCAGATCCATTTCCAGTAAGGCCTAGCACTCTAGTATCAGGTATCAGTGCTGCATGTCTCTGTTCTACTCTGCGCTCTTCCTGTCTGTCCATCAGATCCTGTGTGGCAGGGAGATCCCGCGCTGGGTGAACCGGCTGGCCTACTTCAGCTCCTGTGTGCCCTTCCTGCAGAGCTGCCTGCCCAAAGAGTGGCTGACCCCGGCCGCCCTGCAGTCCAGCGTCAGCCAGGAGCTCCAGGGGGAACTGGAGGAGGCAGAGGACGCCTCCGCCTCTCTGGCCTCCATGAGCTCCATGCCTTCCCCCTCCCTCTCCTCCCCCCTCCAGGCTGCCCAGGGTTCCCCGACATCAGCCCCGCCGATAGGACTAGTCCCAGGGTTCACCATTGCCTTCAGTGACAGGCTCTGGCAGGGCCCCTCCACATGGACAGGCTTACTGTACTGTACACCACTCTGCCAATAGACACTAACCCCAAACCCAACCCACCCCCTACCTACCGCCCCTGCCTACTGCGCTCCTGATGAGACTTGCCATCCACCAGCGGCATTGAAGCCCCGCCTACACTGACTTGACTGGCAGACTTGGGGTAATGGCTACAGGCTCGGAGTACTGTTGTTTTACACGTAAAAAACAACATTCAGATCATGTTTTGTGTAATTTCTTCATTTTCTTGGCCTTTATTTTATATACTCAGGACTCTAAAAAAATATTTTCTATGTTTAGCTTCTTTTGCTTTTCTAACGCTTTAGTCATCACTCTATATAGCATTTTCTAAAATGCATTTTTAATCCTCTTTTGTTTACAACCTGTTTGTGTGTGTATGTTTATGAGTGTGTGTTTTACAATTACCGAGAAGCTACCACCTGGGCCAAACACCTCCACACTTTTCTTATGACACACACAGCTGATGTCTACCCCCGTGGCAGCTGTGCCTGGAGATTTTTACTGAACCTGCTCGTTGAGCTCTGCACTGTTTCTCTATAGTTTACCTGTTTCTCTCTTTGTAAAGCAGCGGACTCCTTAACCTAGAATAACTAACTTACTTCAGATGTTTTACACCGTTTTTAGAGTCTTCTGTGTAACTGAAAATATTTGTATCTCGTTTTAAAGTTATTAAAGAAAAATATATGACATAGATTGTTGTTTTAATGAGTTATTAACTAAACGTATTCTCCCTACTGAACATGGTGCTGATGTCAATATAGCTTAATTACATTTCTAATAGCCAGGAGGGAGTCAGCCTATTTGTATGCAGACTCCCCCCTCCTCCATCTGGGTTGCTGCTGTTGCCCTTGACTGCAATAACATCTCTGTGACAGAAATCTGATTGGCCTCCATTGTTTGGATTGTACTTGGCACATACCTATGGCTATTGAACAACACTCAACTTGTATTAACATGGGTTTTCCTGTTGAAGTAGCAGTTGTTGCCCAAACAGGATATTTCCCCACAGTATATGAAGGCTCCAGACTGATTAATGTTAGCAAAGAGACACTGTAGATTTCCCACCATTCATGACTCCAAAAAAAGCTAGATTCAAGCTTACTGTATTTTCTCTCAAGATAAATGTTCTGTGAAACTGACCAACCTGCTCAGGATGTGCTACCTCAATGGGAATTTTCATGGAACTTTCTGTCAAATGGAGAAGTTCTGGAAAAGTGAGCTGTCCATCTTAACTCAAAAGCAGTAGAGCTAACTACTAAATGTGATCATTAATATTTACTCACTGTGCCTTTTTGACCCTAGATACGCAATCCTGTTAGCCAGAATTTTCCATTTAGAGTGAGGTAGCTCAGATTTTCAGACCACCAAGGTCCTTGCTCGGTTGCCGTCAGTGTCAACTGTCTTCACTCAGATCTCTGTGTTGACATATTTCCACCTCTCATCACCAGCCAAGGCACCAAAGGATCAAGTCCCCTAGATCTACTCTGTCATGGTGACTTGAATGACACACTTCAGATATGTCAGGATGGCTTTTTCCTCTGGAAGTCCTGTTTCTGTTACACCTCTGAGGTGTGATGACCCCTAGTGGCGTAGTGAACACATTGCCCTGTTTAAATGAAAAATATCTCCATGAACAGTGCGCTCTGTAGCATCAGTTTATTGAATGATGAGGATGAATCTATTGAAATTGACCGATCAAAATCAAACAACCATTTTTAAAATGATTATTAAGCCCCATTGAAACAGGAGGGGACAATTATTGACAGAATTGAAGAATTCTGAATTTTAGTGTTTTAGAGGCGGGTCTCAGTGACGGTCTCCGACAGAGTAACCACAGTCTGTGTCTCCTCTGGCTGCCTGCTCAGATTATTTTTACAGCAGAGTAAAGCCTCCACTACCTCTCTGGGGCCCTTAGTCATGAAGATATAGAGGAACGGGTCCATTAGAGGACTCAGATACAGCAACAGATTGGCAATCAGCCCTAAGTATCGTACTTCCTCCTTCAACGACTTGAGCAGAATGTTCAGAATGAAGGGAAGAAACAGCACGGTATAATTGGTCAGGATGACCGCCAGTACGCCCACAGTCCTTTTTATCTCCGCTGTAGAAGTTGACCTGGAACATAGCAACGCTCTCCACGAGTCGAGGAAGAAAAACAACAATAAAGGGAAGGGAGTGAGAAGGGCCACTGCAAACCAAAACAAGTATTTAAACACTGCGAGGGCCAGAACAGCGATGGGCGCTCCCCACATAGCCAGGGAGATGATGGAGGACTGTTTAATCTTACTGCAGCAGCCGTAGCACTGTGGGTACGCCACCAGCAGGTGTCGCTCCTCTGCAATGCAAACCATAAAAGTGATGTTGGAAATGACGCCAAAATAAAAGATGAGGGTAGCAGTGTCAGCCGATAGGATACTCCCAGTGGCAGCCTGTGGTCTTCCAATGAAACTGAAAATGTCTGAAACAAGAAGGCTGATGACATGGACAGGTACAGGGTTGGGACCTTTGACCAGGTTCTTCATGGTGTAAAGGGCCAATCCAATGGCAGGTAGCCCAACGGCAAATGTTATCCAGCCAATGACCTCGGCAACGCGGTCAAAAGTAGTGTCAGCGTTTGTGTTGTTAACATATCCTATATTCATATAATTATCCATGGGGTCTGGTCATTTGAGGTGGTTTATTATATCTTTTCGTTGTGTTTAGTTGCATTTACTAGTATAGTCATGAGTCATGTGACCGCGTCCTCTCGTCTTTCACACACTAGAATGACAGCAACATGGAAGAATGTATTAAATTCATTTAGGAGTATGTGTACAACATTTTAAATAATCACATTTGTTTAGTCTGTCAGTGACAGGCTACAGTACATTCTAGGCTACAAACAGTACGTAGGCATTCTCCCAATATCACTTCTATGTCACTCTACTTGTCCTTGAGCAGTTTAACTGTTCTTTCTTTAGTAAGACCTGTTGCTTAAAGGCTACTCACATACTTCCATCCCGTGTTCATGAATATTTTATATTTAAAATGTTTCCTGAATTCCATTCATCCCCATAGCATTTAGATCCTTTGGTATTGCCTCCCCCTGCCAAAAATAGACAGAGATAATCCATGGCCTTACCTGAAGTAGGTTTGGAGAGAACAGCATGGAAAGAGCGTTGTGTGTTCCTCCTCAGTGTATTTTACCTTGCAGTTGATGGGTGAACGTCAAATACTGTACCTGGATGATCCCCTGTACCTGGATGATCCCCACAGTAGGTGATGCGACTGGTACCAGGTCCATGCTATGAATTGGATTGATTTGCTTTTGGCTTTTTTATATAAATGTTTTATTGGTGCTGAATAGCATGGTCACTTATCTTCCTAGAACTGCTAGATAAACGGTTTCAATGAAGCTATACAGACTCACATTTCCCTAAGTTCCAGTTGAGCTATGCTGATGGTAATGTAAAGTGTCAATTTGCATTTTGTACTTTGCTTAGTCTATATGTCAGGGCCTAGTTCCTCCTAACAGACACTGATGTCATTTTAACACATTCCTGTAACACATCAATGAATCTTAAAGGAGCTCAGTCATCCTAACCAACAACACTCAAAAGAGTGGTTGAACTCATGAACTTCCCTGTCAAATATCTTTCTTTAGTTAATCAACTATGTGAGCCCACAATTTCAACATTAGTGACAAGGAAGTCATTTTTCTGAAGTATTTGCTCAATAATTTGTTTAAGTTGCATTTGTGTGTGGTGGCGGACTGTTCTGACTTCAGCATTATGTCTCAACATATTTGTCTTAAGTCTGATGGACAGAGACATTGTATCTGACCTATAAAAGTGTGGTGCAGTATTGCTAGTAAGAGTTTGGTTTTTATTCTCAAGTAGCTGCCTGTACTACATACAACACATCAAGTCTGTGAATATAAAACTAACAGCTTCTTCACCCAAAATGGTGTATGCGTATTATAAGATGTATGCATGAAGTGTATTATGTTATACGTAAGATTTAATATTCCTGTTGTCATTATGAAATACAAAGCAGTGAAGTGGAAACTTTGTGTGGAATGGATTAGGATCAGGGTCTTTTAACCACTGTTAGTAATGTCATGGTTATCTCCCTGGCCAATCATCTATCTAAGACTGACAAATATATAGTCACAAAAATTGTGCAATGACTTTTGACATCCTTGAATGGTGAAGGACTTCCTGTCTAACTGTATTTAAGGCCCAGCCACTGGGTGCGCACAGTGAGTATCTGTGGCATAAAAAAAAACAGTTACTGGACAATTTTTTGCATGTTTCTAACTTGCATTTACACTTCCTGATAATTGGTTGATTTATTGTAAAAGGCTTATTGCCTCTTCTGATAAGAGCTACAAGACAAACAGAAATTCATATAAATTAACCTCCAGGTAAGACCGTACTGTAGATTTCACATGATTGCTAAAGGGCTATTTGAACTTTGCTTGTGCTACACATGTTAAACACTGAATTGCGCAGTGATTACTTAATTTTTTTTCTATTAGTATGTGATATTCATAAATGTGGTTATGGCTCTATTTGTATTTATTATGGATCCCCATTAGCTGCTGCCAAGGCAGCAACTACTCTTACTGGGGTCCAGCAAAATTAAGGCAGGTATACATTTAAAAAAACATTACAATACATTCATAACAGATTTCACAGCACACTAAGTGTGTGCCCTCAGGCCCCTACTCCACTACCACATATCTACAACACAAAATCCATGTGTACGTGTGTGTATAGAGCATATGTTATCATGTATGCATGTGTCTGTGCCTATGTTTGTGTTGCTTCACAGTCCCCACTGTTCCGTAAGGTGTATTTTTATCTGGTTTTAAAATCTGATTAGTTAATTGCATGAACATTGCATAAAAAAATATATTTAAGGTATCCTAACAATTACACATTGATGTAAGAATATGACTTTGAAAATGCCTTTAGAAAATGTATTGATTACGGAATGAAAAGGAGCGAATTTTTTTTATTTTTTGTATATTGCTAAGGGATATTGTACTTTGACAGGTCATTTTGGATTACATATTCAGTTTTACAAAGAATACGCAGTGAGTAGAGCTATATTGAGCCTACTTCCTTATTTTTTTTAAGGAAATGCTTAAGAGATTCTAAGGAAAAATACATGATGCAGCTCAACACTAGATCTATTTCAAATAATCATTACAGGAATCTTAGATGTCATAGAGTAAAAATTGTAACCACATATTTCACACTTTTTTTTTCTTAGTGTAGACACAGCAGGAAAATATAAAGTACCTTGAACTTGGAATCAGAAGAACCCTGCCATTCACTAGTTCCTGCAACAACAAGCACCATCAAGGATGGAAGCAAACCTCTCCAATATTTCTGACAGCATCACATCAAATAAGAGCCTCATTGAAACCATTGTATGTTGGACAACATTCTCCATTGGTCTTCCTCTGATCTGTCTGGCCATTTATGCCATGTACTTCCTGATCAGAGCTGATCACATTGCTCCAGTCTATGTTATCAACCTACTTATTGCAGATCTCATTCAGATTTGCATGAGGCCAATCATACTGTCCAGTAACGGGGGAATTGTAGTGATTTTGATTGAATTCTTTGGTATCAGTGCAAGCATTGGTTTCATGGTATGCATTGCTCTCGAGAGATACCTTGTGATTGCATTTCCTCTCTGGTACCGTTTTCGCCGTAACATCAAGTACTCGCTCATAGTGTCCTCCATTATCTGGGTGTTTCCTTTTATCCAAATCTCCCTGTTTTGCCTCTCACCGACTGTTGAGATTTCACTTATTTTGTTTGCAGCTATCCTCCTCATCCCCATCCCACTGCTTGCGTTCTTCCTAGTGGGCACATTGAAAGCTCTGTCCGTCTCCATCGCTGTGCCAGCCGTTGAACAGAGACGGATTATTGGTACCCTGGCCCTTGTGCTGGGCAATTACACAGTCCTGTTCCTACCCCTCATCATACAAACTCTGATATCAGGGGTAACAGCCCAACACAATGTGGAAATTGGGACAATCTTAGAGAGTTTCAGCCCCCTTGTGGATCCTCTGCTCTATGTGTTCATGAGAAAGGGAGCTAAGGACACTCTTCTGGCCTTTCACTGCTTCGACAAGCTGATGGGTGACCAGGAGCAGAGTCAGGTCACAAACACTATGACCATGACTGATACTGGAGTAGAAGGCTCCAGGTAGGACAGGTCCAGGATAATGGACTGTAGCTGTATGATTCACTATGTATAGTTCCTATCAAGCAACCAAATATGTATTTTGTTAACATTATACCTTGTTTTTGTTGTTGTAGTTAGAATGTGAAGAGTACATGCCTTTATAGTTAACATACAATGCATAACATACTGTATTGTACACAGGCCTATTGTGCATTGCCCTATCTTTGATGGGCTTGTATTGCAGCTTTTCAGAAATATATGGACTTTCCTTACTTCAATAAATTGATACTGTGGATATTTGAGATTGCTCTTTCTATTATTTTATCCCCATTCTCTCCCTGAGTCCCTCTAAAAAGAGAACACTAAAAGTGGTCATGTTATAGACAGTTTATTCAGATCCCAATATGAGTACAAGTACATTCACATAGACATACAAGCCCATGTCTGTCGTAGCTATGACATTTGAGTTCAGTTTGAGTTCACCATACATTGGGCAGACATAACATAACATGTCATTACATGGGCAGGTGTAATATTACATGTCATTACATAGGCAGAGATGTTGGCCGACATGTCACCACATGTCACCATCCGCTAGTACTCTTTGAGTCATGCAGAAGTCTGGCTGCAGGCTCTCAATGGTACAGTCGGAAGTGTCCATGTTACAGAGGCTGCAGTCACAGCTCAGAGCCACAGGGTAGGTGACATGAGGGTCCACCCAAGGGGGACAGTCAGGTAGGCAGATCGTTTCATAGCGGACGTCCCTGTAGGTGCACACGTGCTGGTACACAGTGGAAAATGGGCTCTTGAAAACCAGCTCCTGGTAAATTAATACACAGGAGGAAAGGTAAATGTAGATCAATGTTTTCTTTAGTTTTTAAGCATTAGGGGTTCTGTTTCTAGTCTTTGATACACTTGGTGTACACAGTGTCAATATAAGAAAGTTATAAGGCCTAGCTAAATAAGATTATACTAACACCTGCATAGTACATACAGATGATACTAAACCACTGTATAGATTGTACCTTGGTGAAGCAGTGGCCACTGCAGATGGGGGTTTGAATGACTAAGCACGTTGGGCAGCCTTCCTTCTCCAGAGACACAGTCTGGTTGATGGGCTGACAGGGCTGCATGAGAGACCCCTCAACAGGTTCCAGGAGGATGCACAGGAACAGGGAGATCATCAAGGTGCCTACATGAAGACCTAACATCCTGAAAGAGAGCCTAAGTGAAAACAAATTATCTTCTCTGGCATTAGAAATGGTGCAGAGTGTAAATAGCTTATTATGCACAAATTAATGTTGTAATAACTATATATAACAGTAAGAGAAGTCTGATTAATATAGATAGGTTTACCTGAAGGACTCAAAGGGCTCAGCAGGCAGCAGAAAGTTGTGTTCTAATGGGCAGTGTGTTTGGGCATTTATACAGTGGAGGAGGCTAGTATCCAGGGTTGGATGCTCAGCTCATGATTTCTCCCCCTTCACAACAACCTTGAAATGAATCCCATGTTTGTAACAGAATGGATTACTTTGACACAATGACTTCCTCCTGACCTCTACGTTGCACAGTTTAGACTTCTATGTGGACAATGACATTGCATCAAAATATTCATTCATTAGACACCCTAATCCCTCAAGAGTTGATGGCTTTATAGGGTCAGAGTGACATAATTGTCGTAGTTTTAGATCCCTGCTGTACACAGGAAGGATGTGTTTGGATGTTAATGCTGCTCATGTTATCAAGGTCCAAGCAAGTACATTTTGTTGAGATAGAATTTCATTGACAGGATTAACCCTATTAATCACACACTTGTTCATTGGGACAATTGGGGTAGCCATTTTAGTTAGTGTGTGTATAGCCCACTGTTGGCTACTGCTCAAGGTTTTGGTAAAACATGCTATATCAGTTTGAAAGATTTACCACATATAAAAAAACATTAAATATATCACATTTTAATTTTGAAAGTAGAGCTTATTTTTCAATAAATAATTATGTGTCAGCAAAACTTGGAGAAAATCTTCCCGGAACACGAAAGCTTTTGGCCACTGTTTCCTTTTGTCAACCCGTGGGTTAATATCTAACGAACCTGATAGTGCGCATGCTCAGTGTCCAGTGTTGTTACGAAAGTAAATGCAGGCGATGCTGAAAGTAATTTCTTCATAACAGGGTAAATCTAATGCCATAATGGCCGGTGAAGAGGAGAGTGACAAAAAGAAGGTAAGTGTCCAGGACAATGTCTATCAGAAAACATTGTCTGTGACAATGCTAACTTAGCTAGCTAACTAGCAGCAACTCAGTTGTTGAAGGTCAACATATTGGTGATGTTGTCGCTCCAGTAGTTGTCTAGTTTGCTTAACTTGGTAAGTTAGCTAGCTAACGGTAGTGTGCTATAGCTGAATAGATGTGTTTCTTCATAATTCTTTAACTAGCTGGCTAGCTACCCCTCTTTCGCGTCTGCCAGCTAACAGTATGAATGTAATATCATGTGATGATGTGTACAACATGTGTACAACATAAACAACCGTGATCTCGGTAAATCTCTGCATATTCTCTGTGTAGTTTCATCAACCATAATGTGTTTCATATATCGTATGCCACTTAGGGTTTCAAGGTGCTGGGTATTCTGGACGTTCAGAACACACCTTGTGCCAGAGAGGCTCTTCTACATGGATCTGGAGGATCCCTGGCTGCTGGCCTTTTGCACTTTTTGGCCACAAGTAAGTTTGCTTTCCCTGCAGATTCACAGTCTATCTCAGAACCCATAACCTAATCTCGTGCCAGGTACATGTAACTCTGTCTTGAGCGATTCGTTTCGGTAAGTCTCTGCTTATTCTCTGTGTAACCCACTGTCCATTAATCTGAGCATAGTAGTAAGAATATTATATTACTTCTGTCATAGGTTTCTCCATTGATGATCTATTATATTGACAAGATAGCTGAGTGACTGCTCTAACAATGGATGTTGCCACGTGCATCCACATATCAGTACATTTATAACAGCATAAACATTACGAAACTTATATTAGATCAAATACCCCAATACTCACTCATAGACCTCCATACAAAAAAGGGCTTATCAAATCAAATCACATTTTATTTGTCACATACACGTGTTTAGCAGATGTTATAGCGGGTGTAGCGAAATGCTTGTGCTTCTAGCTCCTACGGTGCAGTAATATCTAACAATTTCACAACATATACCAATTCACACAAAAAAGTAAGGAATGGGATTTAAGAATATATACATATATGGACAAGCAATGACAGAGCGGCATGCACTAAGATACAGAATAATATTATAGAATAGAATGAATAGAATGCAGTATATACATAAGAGATGAGTTGTGCAAGATATGTAAACATTATTAAAGTGACTAGTGTTCAATTTCTTAAAGTGGCCAGTGATTTCAATAGGCAGCAGCAGCCTCTAATGTGTTAGTGATGGCTATTTAACAGTCTGATGGCCTTGAGATAGAAGCTGTTTTTCATTCTCTCGGTCCCAGCTTTGATGCATCTGTACTGACCTCGCCTTCTGGATGATAGCGGAGTGAACAGGCAGTGGCTCGGGTGGTTGATGTCCTTGATGATCTTTTTGGCCTTCCTGTGACATCGGTTGCTGTATGTGTCTAGGAGGGCGGGTAGTTTGCCCCCGGTAATGCGTTCGGCAGACCGCACCACCCTCTGGAGTGCCCTGCGGTTGTGGGCGGTGCAGTTGCCGTACCAGGCGATGATACAGCCCGACAGGATGCTCTCAATTGTGCATCTGTAAAAGTTTGTGAGGGTTTTAGGTGATAAGCCACATTTATTCAGCCTCCTGAGGTTGAAGAGGCTCTGTTGCGCCTTCTTCACTACACTGTCTGCGTGGTTTATCTCAGGCGGACAGATTTTGGGCGGAGTAAATCCTCTCCTTCACCTCTTCCTCTCTGGTTTCTCATAGTAATTCTCAATTTCTTACCCAAACCTTTAATTTGTAATTCACAGGTCGAGTGAAGCGGTCCTTTGACGTAGGTTTTGCAGGATTCATGCTTACCACACTGGGATCATGGTAGGTTTTCAAGTCAGTGTTGATGATTTATAAGCTAACTTGTTGGCTAGTTGATGCCCATTAAAAGCTAGAATCCTTAGTTGCTACATCAATTTTTGGACTTATAAATTAATGATATATATACCCACTGATTTTACATTCTACATTATAATATTTATTCAGCATGAGATGTTCTCATCTATTTTTGTGATACTACAACCCCTATGCAGCCTACACCCCAATACAGCCTGTACCCCTATGTAGCCTGTACCCCTATACAGCCAATACAGACTATACCCCTATGCAGCCTATATCCCTATACCCCAATACAGCCTATACCCCAATACAGCCTATACCCCTATGTAGCCTATACCCCTATACCCCAATATAGCCTACACCCCTATAAAGTATATACCCCTATGCAGCCTATACCCCTATATAGCATATACCCCTATACACTTATGCAGCCTTTACCCCTATGCAGGTCCCTGTGTATTGACCAGCCCTTTACAGTGACGGTCTATTTCTGCTGCCCCTCTCAGGTTCTACTGTAGAATTACCAATGCCCAGCTCCGTATGCAGCAAAGGTTGATCCAGGATGGCATCAAGAACAAAGTCATGTACGAAGGCACGAGTTTGGACACCGTCAGTAAACCAAAAGAACAGGAGCCTTGCCCTTCATGCCCTTGAAGTGATCACATGATCCTGTCATCAAATCATTGTTTCTTTCACACACCCTTGACTGCAGTTCACAATGTCCATAGCCTTTAACTGTTCTAATATTTATTGTCCTATTGGATCATGTTGTCAGGCATGGTTTGTCTGACTGATTTGTTTTATTTCTATGTAAAATAGTCTGTAACAAGTATTGTTTTTGTCCTCAATGGTGGATCCATTCATAATTATTTAAAAGATGATTGATTGTGCGCTGAATAAATATTGATTGACTTTCTGTATGGTGATGTTGTGTGTGGGCTAAATAATAAGAGCACTGAAATACAGTCTACTACCGTATCACCAGATGGCCACTAGATGGCAATCTGCATCATATCATACCACTGCACTGTGCTGTCCTAAATCCTCCACACCTCACTGCCTCTCATCCAGCCCTCCTCACTCATTCACTCCTGTTGGAGTGCAAAATGTGTGTTTCCAGTACAAATGTGTCTGACTGTGTGTATGTGTGTGTTCTGGGTCTCTAGGTCCAACAGAAAGCCACAGCGGAGAACTAGTCCTCTCTCCTGTCCTTATCTCTCTCCCTCTTGCACTCCTGTTGCCACTAAAGAGGCATGCATTTCATCTGACTGCAAACTGTGTGTGCGTCTTAGCCCCTAGTCTAGGTGTGACAGAAGGCCACAGTGGAGAAGCGGACCTCCCTCTCTCTCCACAAACTCCCGACACAGGTGCTGCATCAGTGATGACGGGATGGTTGTCCTGGGTGTCTCGATAGCTCACTGGCCCCTCCATCCTAGGGTTTAGCTGGGTGTCTCCATAGCTCACTGGCCCCTCCATCCTAGGGTTTAGCTGGGTGTCTCCATAGCTCACTGGCCCCTCCATCCTAGGGTTTAGCTGGGTGTCTCCATAGCTCACTGGCCCCTCCATCATAGGGTATAGCTGGGTGTCTCCATAGCTCACTGGCCCCTCCATCATAGGGTTTAGCTGGGTGTCTCCATAGCTCACTGGCCCCTCCATCCTAGGGTTTAGCTGGGTGTCTCCATAGTTCACTGGCCCCTCCATCCTAGGGTTTAGCTGGGTGTCTCCATAGCTCACTGGCCCCTCCATCCTAGGGTTTAGCTGGGTGTCTCCATAGCTCACTGGCCGCTCCATCCTAGGGTTTAGCTGGGTGTCTCCATAGCTCACTGGCCCCTCCATCCTAGGGTTTAGCTGGGTGTCTCCATAGTTCACTGGCCCCTCCATCCTAGGGTTTAGCTGGGTGTCTCCATAGTTCACTGGCCCCTCCATCCTAGGGTTTAGCTGGGTGTCTCCATAGTTCACTGGCCCCTCCATCCTAGGGTTTAGCTGGGTGTCTCCATAGCTCACTGGCCGCTCCATCGTAGGGTTTAGCTGGGTGTCTCCATAGTTCACTGGCCCCTCCATCGTAGGGTTTAGCTGGGTGTCTCCATAGCTCACTGGCCCCTCCATCCTAGGGTTTAGCTGGGTGTCTCCATAGCTCACTGGCCCCTCCATCCTAGGGTTTAGCTGGGTGTCTCCATAGCTCACTGGCCCCTCCATCCTAGGGTTTAGCTGGGTGTCTCCATAGTTCACTGGCCGCTCCATCTAGGGTCCAACTCATAACAAAGGTGGCAAAGGTAAAACAATGTAAGTTCACATTATCTGCCTCTACCCTGCATTGGCCCTATGCTGCCACATCACAATGGGCCTCTGATGGCCTTGTTCTTCTCAAAGTGTGCAGCTTTGTCGAGTGTCGTCATCCAATATTACATCCAGCTTACTAAGCAACTTGTGGATAGTTTGTCCCGACGGTCGGTAAATGTCAGTCTGCAGCAGCCAGTGAACTGTTCACAGAAGTATTTATTTGTAGAATAATAAATCAGTATGAAAAATGTATGCACTCACTAACTGTAAGTCGCTCTGGATAAGAGCTAAAATGTAAATGTAAATATGCAAAAACAATATTAGATGACAAAATAGACTTTAATGTGTTTACAATTAATTGTACATGGTACTTGATACATTTTTATATTTGGACTATCAAATTTCACTTACTTTCCTCAGTTCAGTTAATGAAAAACATTTAAAGAAATATCTGAAATAGACCACTCATATTTACATTTGGTATTTCATTTTCCTTGATCATTATTATATATATACTATACAGCTTACTATGTGCAGTCCAGGAAGGGAGTAATTACATTATGAATAATATAGTCTTATAATAATGATATGAATAATCAAACCATAAATAAGAATAGCAAGCTATTCTCTATCCTTTTTTAAACATTACCAAATGACAGAATAAATAGCTTTATAGACAGTTCTGCAACTATCAAAGATCCTCTGACAGGTGTTAAATAGTATCAAACACATACAGTAACAGAATCATCTTGATCGGCTTATTCTGAGTAATTCTGACCAGTGACCTCCATGCATTGCTTAACACTATAGCATGAAAAACTGCACAATATACTGTACGACACATAGCCTAGGAGGAATCCTGGTCTCATACTGTATGTGCTGTTGCCAACTCTTCTGTTATGCCATACTTGTTTAGTATGACAATGAAGGAATACAGAGAGGAGTTAGCAAGAGCACAAACAGACTGTTTCACCAGGCTACAAAGGTACATTTTACAATCACAAAGAGAAGCTGCTCTATGGTTTCAGTTTCTGGCAGCAAGAAATGAAGGAATGAAGATCCAGAGATGCATGCTCCTTCGTCCTCTCACAAACAAATATTGTTATTTTGATACTGGCCAGGATTGAATCCGGACCGCGGAAGATCTGCGTTGAATGCGATATCTGCGACCGCGGTAACGTTTGCTTAAAATGGTGCATAGCCAGAAAGGAGCTATCTGATTGAATCCTGCCCTTAGTCCTTGGACTGTTCCTTCACTGGGTCTTCATCTGTCCGGGTTTCATCTGTCCTCCCTTGACAAGCAGGTGGATCCACGCCTTTGGCGCTATTGATGCTGGCAGCTCCATCCACACCTCTGGAGCTTCTGACAGAGGCAGATCGGTCTATCTTAGGGGGATCCACATCTCTGGAGTTTCTGACAGTGGCAGCTCGATTCAAACCTCTGGTTCTAGTGCCTTCAGCTCTATCAACACCTCTGGAGCTTCGGACACTAACAGATCGATCCACACCTTTGGAGCTTCGGATGCTAGCAGCCCGGGCTAACTTAGTGAGGGTCTCCTCATAGGGCGTTGGCAGGTAGACCATGAGGAAGACTCCATCAGACATATCCGTCTCAGAGCTGCAGCTGGGCATCTGGTCTCTGCGCAAGGCCAGTGAGGACAGGAAGTCAGTGCTGCTCTCTGGGTCCTGGAGGTCCTGCAGATCTTGGAGCTCCTCCAGGTCCAGGGCGATGATGTTGGTCAGAGCCAACTTGCTGGTAGAGCACCTCCTGTAGACCAGGAAGCCAACGAGGCTGATGAAAAGGAGGGAAGTTGTTGCTACGACGATGTAAAGGATTAACTCTTTGCTCATGATGTCCTCACTGGGGGTCAACTCATTCCAGTGGTCACCCTGGCGATATCAGAGTAAAAGGTGTGAACAACACTAGTTACTTCTATTTCACATACTCTTAAACATCTCATCCATTTTGTTTAACAAGTGCATCCTGTTGATCAACTCACCTGAGCATGTTTGTCGAGAGAGGGGAGCGGCGACGGCCCAGATCCAGGGACCCAGTCAAGGCTACCTCTGCCCGCTGGCCCGAACTTCATCCAACCGCTATCCAGTAACATCCGCATGATGCTGGGCTGAAAGGCTGGGCTTGGAGCGCAGAGTGGAGCGACAATCAGAGCGATTATCACTCTCGTGTCAGGGTGTACAATACTTGCAAATGAGGGCATGACAAGCATGTGTCCAGCTAGGAGATCAACAAGGACATAACAGTGTCCAATCACAGCCAGGCTTCTCCAATCTCTTTGGATTTACTCACAGCAGCTCCGCATTTGGCCTATATAGTAAATAATGGTTACGTGGGTGGTTGGTCAACTGATGTGGTGAGTGAGGCGGATTTAATTTGGAGTGGGAAAATGCACTCTTAGAAAAAAACGATTATTCTGGCTTTCACCCACAAACACTTTTAGAAGCCTTTTTTTTTTTAAAGGTTCTGAAGAACCCCTCTTAGGGCATATGGAACCCTTTTCATCTATCTGTCAAGACCAATATCAATTGTATAAAATAAATATTCAGATAAGGTAATCGATTTGCTTGTTTATTCTACAACACATAACATAAAAGCGCTTTGAAATATACTGAGTATGAATACAAACATGAATACATACAATCTGAAGACAAATGACATCAGCAAGGGAGTCCAGCCAGAATAAAACACAAACATTATAATAGTTACTTTTTATCAAAGGCAGAAAAAAGCATTTAAAAATCACTGTGACAATATTGGCCCTCTTAGTGCTCTATTCAATCTGTGTCGTTGAAGAATTACAGATTGTGTGATAGATATGTAAAGGTAATTTCCGATTGAGCTGACATATGCAGCGTTTACAGTGAATGCAGTCTCCACTAACGCAGTAACCATGCCTTTAAATTTCATGCTGTAATGCAGAACTTCCACGATACGGATCGAAGAGCCTTTAGTAAGACATTCTTCCTGGCAGGCTTGTGCCATTCAGTTTGTCCATAATACCAACCAGTCATTCAGAGGAAAATGTAAAGAACTTACAAACAGGCAAAAGTTTGACGGTATATGTACACTTAGTTGCAGAACAGTACAATTTTCATAAAACATATTAATATTAATAACAATATATTCATTTAATGTTTAATAATTTAATAATTAATTGAATTTTGTTTGCCAAACACTTAAGATCACAGAATAATAAGTCAGTCAGTTAACAAACGGTTGTCTTAGTACATGAAAACATTACAGAAACCCTCAGTCATGCTCCACACATTCCTTTCTACATTTTAGAACACTTTCTCACTCAAATTGCCTTAAATAAAGCATTACACAATACACCTCTATACCATTGATGTCAAGTGAATTTGTTGAATCATGTGCTTTTGGTTATTAAAAAGCCCCCACATTGAACTGTGTTGAAAACAATTGCCATCTCATGGGATCATACTTATGTGTTCCAAAAGATCTTCACATTTTTCTCAAATATTGTTGATAATTGTTCCAAATGAATTGCCTTGAATCTTGAGGCAATCTTGAATCCTGATCATACAGCATGCGTGTGCCATAAAGTCATGTGCTCCCACACTGCAGAACATACGGAATTTGACTATTGATGGTTTCGAATAAATGCATCAACACAGATTGGGGCAGAGGAGTAAAAATGTGGTATAGGAAGCAATGATATTGCCACAGTCCAGGACATAGTTTGATACACAAACACTCCATTGTTTTTAATATCAACATCCATCATCGCATAAACTGATCACTTTGAACAAACTGTGTCAAATAATTGGGTCACAATCTACCCACAAATGATCAACTCAGACAATAAGGAATAGTAGACAGTTTCTCTCTCTCAAAGCCGCTTTTACGCCTATGCACTCTCTCTGGGTCCTGCTTCCTTTTCATCCTCAAATCAGCAGATCGGAAGCTATGGTAGATGAGACTTTTCTTGGAAATGATCAACAGTAAGAAGATAGTGCCTCTATATAACACATTCACAAGCTGCATGCTCAGCCTAGTTTCCAGAGAGATGATGCTGTAAAAGTATATGAAGGAATTTAACTTATTAATCATCAGCAGTTTACATCAAGGGCTCTATTCAATCTGTATTGCTGAAGTTCAGCTTTACAGCATGATCAGCCTGGTCTCAGAGTAGACGTAACATAATAAACATACATTTGAGGACACTCAAATTAGTATTATATGTTATGTATGGTATGGTTACAAAAGACAGGTTAAGGCAAAAACGAAAGGAGGATGTTTGTTTGGGTGGGCGTATAACACAAACGTATACCAACCCAAAGGTTGCGTGTTCGATTCTCATCACGGACAACTTTTGCATTTTAGCAACTACTTACTATTTTTTAGCTACTTTGCAAATACTTAAGCACGCTAGCTAAATCTTCCTACAGATTTACATTTACTATGTTACCCGAGTCCAGGTTGGCGTGATTTGACATTTTAACGGCAATATTTCCGCATCAGTGGAGACTGCATTCAAGTTAAACGCTGTATGTCGGCTCAATCGGAAATTACCTTTACACTTCTATCGCGCAACCTGTAATGCGATACAGATTGAATAGAGCCCCCATACAGTGTTCATGTCTTTGGTCATTGTACAGTCATTTTCACCTCCCAAAGCTGATCATTACATTAAGACAGTAAACAAAAAAGGTACATTCTATAATAGACAGTATGTATGCAAAAGACTGTCCCAGGTAGTCAGAAGAAAATACACTATAAAGCACTGTAATCAGTAAACTTGACACTGAAAATCCTACCCACAGTACTGCAATGGAGACCAGTTGAGAATGTTCTCAACAAATTATGCAAGGAAAGCAATTACGAGGTTGCAAACTTTTCAATAGTAAAATATTACATTAACTCTCATGATGGAATTCTAACATCATAACATGTTACTTTCTAGATATCTACATTTAAATGTACTTATTTTTCAGTTTGTCTTCTATATGAACATCTTGATTAATTGTAAAAGTGTGTTACTATAATGAGCTTGAGAGTATTTCCATATAAAAATGTACTGTATTCACAAATGCATTTCGCCAACTTTAAATGTATTCTCATCTGTTTTTCAAATTCTTGCCTATTTTAGAGTACAGTAGAGCTGAAAACCTAATAAGTTATATTTATTTGTAATACCTTTTAAGCACAGACATTTACTACCAGAGATTAAACTAATCTTTGGAGGCCAGCATGAAACAATGTCAACTGGATCAAAATATTATTGAACTTCAAATGTACATGAGATGTTTTGAGAGCAGGTGCATATTATATCTACTAATAAATAGTCCACTAAAGTAACAAAAATCCAATACAAAATTGTGTGGGTGGGTGCACAAAATCTGTCCTTTGACTGTTCACATTTACACAAGCAGCAATAGCGAACATATTTTATAGTGATACATGTACTGTGTGTTCCTTTTCTGCTACTTTTCATTAATGCCCAAGCAGATGTCAGCTATTAGAGCAGGCTCAGAGAGGTCAGAGAGGGACAGCACGATAGAGGGGCTGGTGATGAGTCCGGGTGTGGTCAGGGGAAGGCGTAGTGATTGGAGAATCATCATGTTTGGATCTGACATTATCTAAGGACGACAGTTTCCAGACAGGCCAGGTCTGAGCATGGCTCCAGCCCAAACCGTTGTTGAGGTTTGAGGGTATATGAACGAAACCTAATCCTGCCTTACAGTATGTGTTGGGTTGTTTATCAACAGCTCTCTCAATGAGGATCCCCATGTGTGGATTTGCTCTCTGATTTCACTGGACAGTGATGAGTAAGACTCATTGACCTCTATGGTGAGATCATCTCAGGCGTGCTTAGATAATAGTAAGGCTGTATTTCTATAATGTGTCTAAGTTAAAGGATGGATGGATTTGGGCAGTGGTGTAGTGGAGGGCAAACGCAAGTAAAACATTTTCTTATGCCCAACAGTTTACCCACCTTTTGCAGATTTTTTTTCTCTGAAAGTATAGTTACTTTTTTCACTGCGACAGCCTATTTTTTTACCACTGCATCACTGGATTAGGGTCACGGTGGTCTGTTTACCTAGAGGGGACTGGGTCACTTTCACCAAGGCCTCGTGACTGGCTGGTGTCATCAAGGCATCTCCTCATCTCCTCTCTTAAACAACATTTGATCAGCTCAGTACTCATGTTAATTAATACTACACAGAATATTATCCCTTTAGATTGCAAAGTCACTGAGAGGGGCCTGGGCTTCGTAAATCATTTTGCCTGATTTATCGATTGGAATCTTGTCAGATGAAGAGTGCAGTATTCCAATTTACCACTGAAATGTGTAAAGCTAACTGGAACTAATAACTTCATATGGCACAATATCTGATTTATATACAGTTATTCCAATGTCAAATATAAATCAAAAAATATATATTCTTAATGTAATAGCATATCTGCAGTTGTAAAGAATTGATATAAATAATATGTAGTAAACATAAATTGGGGTCTACAATAAATAGCTATGTCAGCTAATTTAAATACATGACAATTCTATTTTTGGTAAAAAGCGAACTTCCATTTCATTCAGGAGTGACGGCGTTAAAGCAAAACCTAGCAAAGATAAACTGAATGACTTCCTGTAAATTACAATCAAACTGAATGCAGCTGAAAGTGGCAATGGAGATTCTCATTGGCTGAGCCTTTCAGTCTCCCCTTTACAAACACTGTAAGGCACGCAGCTGCTCCTCACATAGTGATGTCATACATTCTTCCTACGCGACTCAGCCACTCTCGCACTGCCTGGCGCACACGGAGGTCAGTCACGTGACAGGTCAGCTCACTAATGCAGGGGAACACAGCGGGCTGCAGGGCCAGGAAGGTAGGGTCTGGGAGGAGCTGGATCTGAGACAGGATGGTCAGAACCATGTTGGTCCATGCCTAGAGAGATAGAGAGACAGAGGCAGAGAGAGAGAGAGAACGAGGGAACGAGAGAGAGAGGATAGAGTTTTGAACTTACATTTGAGTGCAAGTGTTTATTCAATCATGAAAAGAGAACTGAATAAATGTCTTATCACCCCCCCATGATCATAGACTGAGTGATGTTTCCCCTGCATGCAGTCCTACTTGTTTCTGATCATGTTTCTCCTGTATAAGGTCCTATCTGTATCTGATCATGTTTCCCCTGCATGCAGTCCTACCTGTTTCTGATCATGTTTCCCCTGTATAAGGTCCTATCTGTATCTGATCATGTTTCCCCTGCATGCTGTCCTATCTGTATCTGATCATGTTTCCCCTGCATGCAGTCCTACTTGTTTCTGATCATGTTTCTCCTGTATAAGGTCCTATCTGTATCTGATCATGTTTCCCCTGCATGCAGTCCTACCTGTTTCTGATCATGTTTCCCCTGTATAAGGTCCTATCTGTATCTGATCATGTTTCCCCTGCATGCTGTCCTATCTGTATCTGATCATGTTTCCCCTGCATGCATTCCTACCTGTATCTGATCATGTTTCCCCTGCATGCAGTCCTATCCGTTTCTGATCATGTTTCCCCTGCATGCGGTCCTATCTGTATCTGATGTTTCCCCTGCATGCATACCTACCTGTATCTGAGCCTCTGAGTCTCTGAGGGAGACGCTATGGGAGCTTGCTGTAGAACCGGAGCGGGGTCTGATCTTTTCCTGCCTCAGCACCTCTGGCCCCGCACTGAACGAGTGTCTCATGGGCCCCGGGTCCACCAGCTGCTGGGGCCTCTGTGGGATGGAGGACTCTGGGCCCCTCATCGTCCCTGCCTCGCCCCTGTTCTCTCCCCCCTTGGTCTCCTTCACGAAGGTGGTATGGTTGTGCTGCTGCTTTCTCTTCTTGTACTCGATCATCAGCTTGGTGATGGTCTTGTCGGTGGCGATGGTGTATAGCTTGTTCCCAGCACTCTCCCACCACTCCTTCTTGCGGCCCGCTGGGTCTCTCCTCTCCCCTCTCAGGTGTGGCAGGCTGTCCATGCAGTAGCCAGCAGTAGGGCTGTGGGTGTCCTCCGATGGAGTCTCTGCCAGGTGGGAGCGCACGCCATCGTCTGAGGGTGTTCCCCGGCTGGACAGGCCTCCCGTGGAGGGAGTGGGAGTCTCGGGGGTGGAGGGGAAGAGGGGCAGGAAGAAGAGGGGGTCCCCCCGGAAGACGGGCACTGCCTCGTCCACCAGGTTCTCCTGGTCCAGGTGCATCTGGATGTAGCTGTTGCAGAGGTCCATGCAGAGCTTATGCAGCCGCTTGACCAGCCAGGCCCAGTCTGCGCTGCTGACCGGCTGGATGCTGAGCGAGGGGATGGTGGCCCTCCACTGGCGCTTCTCCTTCCCCCGCGGGGGACTCACCTGGGCAGTCTCCTCGAAGATGTCCTCGTCCTCGGAGGAGCACTGCTGGGAGGAGTCAGAGCTGCCCTCGTCCTCCTCGTAAAGGATCTTCTTCACCAGCTCAGCAGTGATGCTCTCCTGGTTGGTGAGCGTGGCACACAGCAGGGCCTGGAAGTAGATGTTGAAGCTCATGGCAGACTGGCGGAACAGGTTGGCAGCGCCACACACCCCAGACACCTTCATCAACAGGTACTTGAGGCCTGGGCGCGTGTCGAAGTCTCGGGCTGTGCGGTAGGAGTCCAGCAGCAGGTCGAAGATGATGGCCAGGTTCTGCATGGAGATGTAGCGCAGGAAACCAGCTGGTCTAGGATCAGATACTGGGGTGGTCTTCTCCTGGGTCTCAGCATCACCAGGATGCTTCACAAACTCCTCCAGCAGAATGTCATACAGGTTCTGGAGCAGCACTTGGTGGGAGAGTAAGCTAACCACTATAGTTCTGAAAGGAATCCTATAGGTCAGATGGAGAAAAAGGTTATTGAAGCCAGTTATGTAAATAGATTCCTATTTTACTGATATTTCTGTTTGTCCAATTGTCAGAAACATGCAACAACGTAATGGGATTTAAGCTTCAACAGTACATTTTCTTTATTGGGAGAATATGAGAAATGGTTGTACAGATTGCTGTACTTCTTGATTTTACACATGCAAGTACACACAACTTTCATAACGTTTAACTAAAGTTTTATGACACACTTTGCCATTGTTTCATTTAAGGACTCTAGCTTTAATCTCAGACATCAATTTCTCCATCTTTCTGGGCATCATATGAGGTTTCTGAAAAACAGTATTAAAGAAAAGGTCCTTAACTCAAAGTCGAATGCAGATTTAATAAAACCACATTGTAATCCCAAAGAGCTTGATCAAAATAATAATACTGCATCAGAGGTCAGAGGACTCTGGGAATGTTTTTATTTTATAAAAGGGAAAGAATTTCATATATACGCATGTTGGATAAGACAAAGTAAGCAGAAGTCTTCATCATCTGCACAGTAGCTTATGTCACCTGATAACAGATGTTGACATAATATGATGATGTTTACGGTCCATGACATTGAATGGATGCTTTAAAAATATAATAAGATAATGAACACAGACAGGTGGGCGTAAATGCTGCTCACAGTAAACCAGAATCATGGTATGGATGTCATCGAAGTGCTCTTACCCAATTTTTCTGTTGTAAGTCCAGCACAAGAGAGAGAAATCATCACATAAGGAGAAGGAATGAGTCTCAGAATATAATGCACATCGAAAACTACATTCTGAGAACGGGCTGTGAACCAAGACATAAACTGTAACACACTATATATAGATACGTGCGAATAGATTAGAATAGAGCAACGATTCAAAGTTGACGATGTACTGTACATGACAGGTTGAACACACAGTATACAAACGTCACACACTGGGCCAGATTCACAAAGTGTTTGCACTGCTCGTACCGTTGTAAATCTGGCCCACTGACTAAAGCCACCACACCAGCTATGTGATTGAATGTTGCCAACCTTTTCTGAGTGTGACCATTGGATTGCTGGTCTGAGGGGAGCTCGATGATGAGCACACAGGACTGGGCATGCTCAAAGCCTTCTTTGTTATTGGGGGTTTTAGGGGAGCACTGGGTGTCCAGCATAAACACCTAAAGACAGAAGGAAGATAGGAGACATGTTGAACAACTATATAGTCATACTGAACAACGTACATGAATCATGAAATGTACTGTCTACATAGAAGATTTGAGACTTAATACAAGAGGTTCGAAATGTTGTCTAATAACAGCTACACTGATGAATAGTAAGTATTTGACCCAGGTCTGACTGTGGACAGCCACACATGTATATGTAATTTCAAATCAACATGCATGTAGCCTAGGCCTAGATTCAATTCGGACCGCGGAAGATCCGTGTAATAGGGCGATTGAAATTTAAAGGTGATTTCTGATTGAGCCGTCAAATGCAGCGTTTACTGTGAATGCAGTCTAAGCAAACGAGGAAACATTGCCTTTAAATAGTGCATAGCTGAAAACGGGCGATGGGATTGAATCTAGCCCCTTGTGTGTAACATCACATCAACATGTATGTACAGTAGTCTGTGGTGGCGGAGGGTCACCTGCTGGGCCATGGCTCTGATTCTCCAGTACTCTGCCTCAGCAGAGGGGGAGTGGGACGGGGCGGCCACCTTAACCTCACAGGCGTCCCCAGAGAAGCTGTCTGAACCACTACGGAAACACGCCAGCAGGTTCTACACAAGACAGAGATGCAGAAACACACACAGGTCTGTGTGGCACTCTGGCATGTATGCTGAAGCTGTACAGTCTGGAGGTTCCATACAATGTGATCCAATCAACAGGATCTAGAACCCACAGCACACTGATCAACTGGAACTCTCCCCATCAGACACACATGGAACGTCATTCAAACAGCTGAGACAGTGGAAGTACACATACACCTAGGATGATTTTTTATCTCTAAAGAAATTAATGAATGACAGTAATCCCAACATACATTACTGTAACTAAACATCTAAAATTATAGTGGACATTTACTTTTACTAGGGAATGAATGACCTGTCCTGAATGTAGACGACCCTTTCACAACAACTATTACTATTTTATAAAGCCCTTTTTACAGTTGTCACAAAGTGCTTTACAGATACCCAGCCTAAACCCCCAAAGAGCAAGCAATGCAGAGGAGGAAGCACAAAAACAAGCCTGAGAAGGTTTGTCTTGTCCATACAGTATGCCTGAGTGCATATAGGGTCTACCACTATACACAATGCATTCTTAGGTAGAGTAATCTCTTGCAAGGTCACTATATTTAAGGTCTGTTATTGGTAGTAATGCATCATGCATTTAAGTCCTGACAAGCTTTTTATTTTATCTCTAAAAGGCTGCAGCTTTAAGCTTTAAAGAAGATTATATTTGGTCCTCTCAGATTTTGCAGGGCTGTGAATGAGAAAAACACTTGTGGTGAGAAGTACTCCTTCTAAATGTAGCCTACCTACTGTAGGAATGTAGTGGAGCTAGATGTAAACATGCATTCACCTGCTGCCACACGCCATATGTTAACAGCCATAATCAGAATGGGTTAAAGGCCCAATGCAGCCATTTTTATCTCAATATCAAATAATTTCTGGGTAACAAGTAAGTACCTTACTGTAATAGCTTTCAATTAAAATGGTAAAAAAGAATCAAAAATAGCATTCTAGCAAAAAACTATTTCTCAAGCAAGAATTTTGCTAGGACTGTCTCGGAGTGGTCTGAGTAGGGAGGGGAAAATGGGAAACTAGCTGTGATTGGCAGAGGTTTGGAACTCTCTTTCTTATTGTTCTATTAAATAATGTACCATCTGGTGTTGGAATTTTGACTGCACTGGGCCTTTAAACAAGGTGATTTTGTGTCCCATTATTGTAATTTGTTCATGGTATTAATATCACCTCATCAGATCATTACCAGGGAAAGCTTTTTTACATCCTTTTCTAAACGGGTGTGGATTATTCCACTGGCCTCAACCCTGAAGAAAGGCACTGCGTTGCCGAAACGTTGGTTCGGTTTACCCATTAAATTGTTGGGAGCATATATAGAGTGTGTGGCTATATTTTTATACAGTTTATTCCACTGGCCTAAAATAACAACAATGGAAAAAATTGAGAGGAAGTTTGCACCTTTTATTATATATATTTTTTAGATAAAACACCATTGACACAGGAAGTGACTTTTCGTAGCAGGTTAGTAGAGCATTTTCGCTAACCATAACCCTTTTCCTAACCTTAAATCTCCTAACCTGCCACGTGAATGATCCTAACCTGCATTTATAAGTCACTTCCGGTCGTAGCTGCACTCCCGCTAGTCAGAACCATGGTGGAGCACAGGTCTTTACCTTGACAGGCTCCAGGGTGGCAGAGAAGGCATCCTGCAGGGCACAGCATGCCAGACGCCACATCTCCTCAGTGAAGACAGGACCTACTGTCACCAACACGTACCTGCCACAGGAAGAGACAAACACCTGTCACCTACAGCTCAGTCATACACAGTGTGTGTGTGTGTGTGTGTGTGCGCGCGCGCAGCGCGTGGTCACCTGATGCAAGAGCAGCCCACTCTAGAGATAGTCTCAGCAGGTTCAGCCACACAGGCCACCAGCAGCTTGAAGAGGTCCTTCAGCATCAGGTTGATCAGATTCTCATAGCCAATATCTACAGGAGCACAGAGATATGAAGGATCTGGACAGAGGCACAACCACCATCTGGGGACGTGTGTACCAGGCATCTCAGAATAGGAGTCAGGATTAGGTTTTCCTTGCCCATGTAAAAATGTTCAATGTGATCTAAAAAGCAAAACTGATCCTAAATCAGCACTCCTACTCTGAGACCCTGGATACATACAGCCCCTGGGCTACATCTGTTTCACAAATACCTATTTTGACCGTTTAACTGCCTAAGTGCACTTCCATCTCTGCTTTGTGTACACTATGTTTGACCGCCACTTAGGGATAATTTCCATTGTCATTCCATGGCCACTGTACCTGAGTGGATGAAGCTTTGAATGTGCTCCACCACCAGCTCACAGCACAGCCCAATGGCGTGCTTGAAGTTGGCCGCAGCTATATCCCAGTACGCATGGTCGCCATGGCTACGCTGGAGCCAGAGTGACATCACAGGAAGAAGAAGCTGGATCACTGAGAATATGGCAAAGCCCGGTCCTATGGAGGTAGAAAAAAAGAACTGACGATTGGTTTTCAGGTAGGCTACATTCATAATGACTATGTTACTTATATAAGATAATCACCCAGACAATGTAAAACCAAACTCCAGTGGAGAGTGTTGAATCTGATCTGTCCTGTGGTGTTATGGCATCTCTTCTAACCTGGTAAGTTGGTGAGCTCTCTGAGAAGTTCAAACAGCAGTTCCAGGGTGGGGGGCTGGTGCTGCCGGGGGCAGTTAGATACCGCTGCAGTCAGCTGCTCCAGCAGCAGGATCCACACCTGGATCAGGCCTGTGTCATCGTCGAACTCTGCCAGGACACAGTCCATGCCATCCTCACTGCTGACAGACTTCTCCTGGGCCCTCATGGGCAGGCTGGCTAGCCGGGCTCCCAGGAACACTGGCTTGGAAGGCATCTTGTAGATTTTGGCAAGCAGCTGCAGAAGAAAACCTCATCATACAGTGTTGATACACTACACATAGATGGGAAAGGTCTTCCTGTAGCGTGGTTGTGTGACCCTTTATTTATCTATTTTAATAGACTTTCTGGAAGCCTGTCTGATAAGAGGACTCATTTTCGTGTGACACCCATTGAAAATAGCTAAGGTGGCCCATTGGCCAGTGTTTTCCTACCTGGGAGCACTTCCTCAGGTAGTCCAGAGCAGGGAGGCACAGGTCTGTAGAACTGTAGCCAGTGGCATTGACACAGTCCCCAATCTCCTTATAGTCCACTTCTCCTGGGAACAAGGCCAACACATTCACTGACGGCAATCAGAGTAATCACTTCCATTATCTCTTACCAAATAAAATGAACATTCAATGTCTCTATCTAAAAATGTGATGATCATGTCAATAGTATTACACATCCACAGAAAAAAATGGGTTAATCATCTCATTTACCTGACTTACCTAAACCTTTGACAAACTTCATAAGGCACATGATGTAGTCAGTTGCTGCGTTGGCGAAAACCTGAATGTTGTCTGTGTTGATAAACGCTTCAAAGACATCAAACACAGGCGCCTGAGACTTCCCTGCATTACAGACGGAGCAGAAAACAACCTCAATAAAAAAGAGTGACATACAGGAATCTCGTAAGAGAGAGGAGATGAGGCTCTGTGCCAACATACAGTATCTCCTGCTGAGACTGTCTCTCATAAGCCATCATCACAGACATCCCAAAGAAACAGAAAGTATGTGAATACAATAGAAATATTGTAGCTGTACAGTACCTTAGGGAATAAAATAACACATAGAAACATTGAGATGTTATAAATTCAAAGGCTGCCTGTCATACATACCCATGGAATATTCTCCTATCAGGTAGTCTTTCATGTCTGGCTTGTCCCCATGCACAGTCCTCAGGGCACTGAATAGAGGTCTCCAGCCAGACTGGATCTGAGGGGAACACATCTCTACCAGCTCCCCTATGGACGTGACCACCTGAGGGACAAACAATAGGACGTTTTAACTACCGGGGCAACTAATTATAAGAGGTGTGTGTGTGTGTGTATGTGTGAGGGACAACTCACCTGGTCCTGCACGTCCTCGTCACACAGCTCCAGCTGCATGATGTGCTCGAAGGGTCTGAAGAGCGCCTCATTAAAGTGGAAGTGGGGAAGCTCTGCCCAGCTGGTCAGCACCTCCATCAGAACATCATGGATGAAGGACACAGCCTTTTGGGATACATGGCGCTCTTTGTGACAGGCAGCCTAGGAGGAGCCAGAGAGAAACAGAAATGAGAACAATGCCCAATGGGCAAAAACTGGTCGAATCAATGTTGTTCCCACGTAATTTCAACAAAAAATTGATATGTAATGACATTGAATCAACTTGGAAAACTGACTGGATTTGTAAAAAGTCATCAACCTAAGGGAATTGTGTATTTTTTTCACTCAACTTTTAACCTAAATCCAATGACCGCATGAAATGTTTGTTGATTTCACGTTAGTTGACAACTCAACCAAATGTAAATCAAAACTAGACGTTGAACTGACATTTGTGCCCAGTGGGTATAGGCCTAATATAACCTGCAGAAAGGGTGAACCTGTTAGGCTATACCATAATAGTGATCGTGGAGGAGAGGACATCAGCAAAGGAGGCCACACAGTTGAGATGCATTCCCTGAGCTCCTACCTCCACCAGGTGTGGTGCCACTATGCTCCAGGCCCTCATCATGTGCAGCAGGGGTCTGGTCTTATTCCTCACGATGCGCAGCATGGCCTCCCCCAGGCGGAACAGGTGCAGGGCGCTACGCCTGTCCATGGTGGACTTGGCCTCTCCTAAGAACACACAGGCAACATTGATGACTTTTGGGACTGTTCCGTTGGTTCCATTGTGCTGGGCAAATTTTACCCAGGGTTTTGACCCAGGTCTGTTGGGGATAACCATGTGCTGTGTTTGGTACCTGGCATGGCTAAGGAGTAGTCTCCTGTCTCAGTGACTGAGTCAAAAAGCTGGGACTGAGATGCTTTCCTCAGCTGGTGCAGGAAACCCACCAGGCTAACCAGGTTCAGTTTACTGACGGAATCCTCAAACAATCTGCAAAAAAGGACATACAGAGGAATCCAAATTATTGTCAATATATTCTTCAAACAGCAGAAAGGGATCAACACAAGCCAATTAGAAAGCTGTGAGACTAGTAGGACAGGGAAACATCTGCCAGATAAGTGTTTTTATTATTTTCTCTAAAAGCGGCCCAGGGCTTATATAGTTATGTAAACACTGCAGGCAGGGCCGGATTAATGCAGGGGCTCAAGCCCAAGAGGCCAAAATGCAGGGGGCCCAAGAGGCCAAAAAAGAGAGAAACAATTTAGTTTCTATTTTTTTTATCCAACCACAGAAGCCCACTCTGATTGTTCAAAATACACCAGAGACCATAATTTAGCCACAGAGGACCAATCGTTTCTAAAAAAATTACTGGGGATTAAGTTTATCACAGGCACATACAGGTAACTTCCAAAATAAAGGAAACACATAAAATGTCTTAAAAGGGTGTTGGGCCACCACGACCTGTCCAGAACAGCTTCAATGCGCCTTAGCATAGACTCTTCAAGAGGACCTAAACCATGGCAGGAAAATGCACCCAACACATAACATACTTTATACTTTGTATCCCTCATTTACTTGTGTTTCCTTTACTTTAGAAGTTACCGGTATGCCTAAAGTTGGGAAGGTCGCAATTTGTGCTGCATGCGGTGCCAAATATAGAACAGCTTGTTGCGTTGTGGCCATAGACATAATCCATAAAAGGGTTTTGGAACCTCTTACCTTGGCAATTTCACTGTTCAACTCATGGGTACACTAGCAATGGCTGCCAGTCCTGACTTGAATGGGAACTGCCATCTATGGATTATATTTATATGGTTGGTTGCGGCTGTCAGTTTGCCTTTTGCAAATTTCAAAATACAATAGCGGGAAAAACATATAGTTTGGAAAGCAAATGCCTACTGCAGAAAAGAGAAGACTAATCTGTCTGTAGAACCAATAGAAAAAAAATGTTTCTCAACAACTCCCAATGTTTCATGAACAGCAGCTCTGTTTTTCAAAGTAGGTTGTCGGGAGATAGGCTATTGCCCAGACGAGTGCATCAGCCATCACCGGTGAGTAGCCTACGGCTTCATCTTCATCATTAGGTGAGTCAGTGTGCCACTGGAAAGTTTATTTAGTCGCCTACTGTAGCCTATAATATACAGTATATATTTCCTCAGAATATTGTACAATCTGTGTGTTGCTTCATGATGATTTCTTAATCTGGCTATAGCTTATCCATGTGGAATAGGCCTAGGTCCAGAAGAGAAAGTGCTGCATGAACATGTGACTCTTAATTTGTACAATCAAGAGTACCAAATCACATACTGGCCTGGTTCAAATACACAGTGAAATGCTGAACACTGGGATGACGGCTCAACTTGGGATGGGGAGGGGCTTTAGCGGGGGAATTAATGGAGAACAATTGGAGGGTTACTTAGTAGCAATGTAAATATCATGGTACAGCTATATGGACAGTCAATCGCTATGGTATTTTTTATTGGTAAATTTACAAACATATACACTGCTCAAAAAAATAAAGGGAACACTTAAACAACACATCCTAGATCTGAATGAATGAAATAATCTTATTAAATACTTTTTTCTTTACATAGTTGAATGTGCTGACAACAAAATCACACAAAAATTATCAATGGAAATCAAATTTATCAACCCATGGAGGTCTGGATTTGGAGTCAACCTCAAAATTAAAGTGGAAAACCACACTACAGGCTGATCCAACTTTGATGTAATGTTCTTAAAACAAGTCAAAATGAGGCTCAGTAGTGTGTGTGGCCTCCACGTGCCTGTAAGACCTCCCTACAACGCCTGGGCATGCTCCTGATGAGGTGGCGGATGGTCTCCTGAGGGATCTCCTCCCAGACCTGGACTAAAGCATCCGCCAACTCCTGGACAGTCTGTGGTGCAACGTGGCGTTGGTGGATGGAGCAAGACATGATGTCCCATATGTGCTCAATTGGATTCAGGTCTGGGGAACGGGCGGGCCAGTCCATAGCATCAATGCCTTCCTCTTGCAGGAACTGCTGACACACTCCAGCCACATGAGGTCTAGCATTGTCTTGCATTAGGAGGAACCCAGGGCCAACCGCACCAGCATATGGTCTCACAAGGGGTCTGAGGATCTCATCTCGGTACCTAATGGCAGTCAGGCTACCTCTGGCAAGCACATGGAGGGCTGTGCGGACCCCCAAAGAAATGCCACCCCACACCATGACTGACCCACCGCCAAACCGGTCATGCTGGAAGATGTTGCAGGCAGCAGAACGTTCTCCACTGCGTCTCCAGACTCTGTCACGTCTGTCACATGTGCTCAGTGTGAACCTGCTTTCATCTGTGAAGAGCACAGGGCGCCAGTGGCGAATTTGCCAATCTTGGTGTTCTCTGGCAAATGCCAAACGTCCTGCACGGTGTTGGGCTGTAATGCACATTTGTGGCCTGCTGGAGGTCATTTTGCAGGGCTCTGGCAGTGCTCCTCCTGCTCCTCCTTGCACAAAGGCGGAGGTAGCGGTCCTGCTGCTGGGTTGTTGCCCTCCTACGGCCTCCTCCACGTCTCCTGATGTACTGGCCTGTCTCCTGGTAGCGCCTCCATGCTCTGGAACTATGCTGACAGACACAGCAAAACTTCTTGCCACAGCTCGCATTGATGTGCCATCCTGGATGAGCTGCACTACCTGAGCCACTTGTGTGGGTTGTAGACTCCGTCTCATGCTACCACTAGAGTGAAAGCACCGCCAGCATTCAAAAGTGACCAAAACATCAGCCAGGAAGCATAGGAACTGAGAAGTGGTCTGTGGTCACCACCTGCAGAACCACTTCTTTATTGGGGGTGTCTTGCTAATTGCCTATAATTTCCACCTGTTGTCTATTCCATTTGCACAACAGCATGTGAAATTTATTGTCAATCAGTGTTGCTTCCTAAGTGGACAGTTTGATTTCACAGAAGTGTGATTGACTTGGAGTTACATTGTGTTGTTTAAGTGTTCCCTTTATTTTTTTGAGCAGTGTATGATGATAAATAGATTTGAAACTTGTATCCCATTATGGTATGTGGTGAAATAAGTATAGCCAGTTATAATTGTAATGGCTTAGCAGATAATAACAAAAGAAGAACAATATTTACATGGCTCCAAGAGAAGGAATATAATATCTATTGTTTACAGGAAACTCATTCAACAATTCTAGATGAAGTTGCGTGGAAAAAGGACTGGGGGGGCGAAATATACTTCTCCCATGGGCAAAGAAACTCAAAAGGGGTGATGATATTAATTAACAGTAATTTCGATCTGAATGTGCAAATTGTCCAAACAGATACGCAAGGTAGACAGATTATTTTAAATATGTTATTGGACCATAAACAGATATGGCTCATTAACCTTTACAGAACAAATAATGATGATCCACACTTATTTGACAATTTATATAATAAATGATCAACTCTGCAAGCAATTCAAGACTCTATTATTATGGTGGGAGATTATAATACCGTTTTAAATAGCTCAATGGACCGTAAAGGAAATCACACTACAAACAATCACCCTCATGCTCTTAAGGAAATCGTGAATGTCATGGATACATTAGAACTAGTAGATATATGGAGGCTTAAATATCCTGATCTAGTGAGATATACATGGCGGAGACTCAATCAAGCTAGTCGTCTTGACTTCTTTCTTATGTCATTTTCGTTGGCACCAAAAGTTTAAAAAGTGTTGATAGGGGAAAGAATGCGGTCGGACCATCATTTAATTGGCATACACATTACTCTTACTGAATTTCCACGTGGGCAAGGATATTGGACATTTAATCAAAGCCTATTGGATGATAACTTGTTTTTAACTAGGACAGAGGAATTTATAACTGATTTTTTCCGACATAACATAGATACAGCAAATCCCCCTATTGTATGGGACACCTTTAAAATGTGCCTATAGAGGCCATGCAATTCAGTACTCATCTCGAAAACAAAAGCAATTTAGGTCAAAAGAGTCCACACTAACAAAGGAAATAGAAGGTCTAACAGAACAGATATATAGCAATAAAAACTGTAACATAGAGGCTCAGAATAAATTAGAGGAAAAACAAAAATAAATGAAGAAACTTATTCAAGAAAGATCAAGTGTAATATATTTTAAAAATAAAGCAAACTGGATGGAATATGGGGAAAAATGCACCAAATTATTTTTTAATCTTCAACATAGGAATGCTACCACAAATAATGTATTGAAACTGGTTACAAATGACGGAGTCACCCATGATTCACCAAATGATATTTTGAAGGAGGAAACAAATACTTTAAGCGTATGTTTTCGTTTCAATCGCCTCCATCTCCTCTAACTGAAGCAAATTGTAGAGATGTTTTTCTATTGATAATGTAAAATTAACAGCCATACAGAAAGACTCATGTGAAGGTGAAATTACAGAGGAGGAACTTCTGGATGCAATTAAAGACTTTAAGTCCGGGAAAACTCCAGGGTTGGATGGCATACCAGTCGAGGTATACCAAACCTTTTTTGATATACTCAGAGGACCGTTATTAGCATGTTTTAACCACTCCTATGTAAATGTTAGATTATCAGACACTCAAGAAGAAGGTCTGATTTCATTATTACTGAAACAGGATACAAGTGGAAAATATAAAGATCCAGTCCATTAAAAAAATTGGAGGCCCCTTACACTTCAGTGTTGTGATGCAAAAATTCTAGCAAAATGTCAAGCGCAAAGAATTAAAAAAGGTATTGTCGGACATTATTCATTCTAATCAGACAGGTTTTTTACATGGCCAATATATTGGAGATAATATAAGGCAAGTACTGGAAACAATAGAACACTATGAAAAACCTGGGAAACCAGGCCTACTATTCATAGCAGACTTTGAAAAGGCATTTGATAAAGTACGACTGGGGTTTATATATAAATGCCTGGAGCATTTCAATTTTGGACAATCTCTTATAAATTGGGTTAAAATCATGTATAGTAACCCTAGATGTAAAATAGTAAATCATTTCTCAGAAAGTTTTAAACTGTCAAGAGGAGTGAAACAAGGTTGTCCACTATCGGCATATCTATTTATTATTGCCATCGAGATGTTAGCTATTAAAATCAGATCCAACAATAATATCAAGGGATTAGAAATCCAGGGCTTAAAAACAAAAGGTGTCATTGTACGCTGATGATTCATGTTCTTTTAAATCCACAACTTGAATCCCTCCACAGCCTCATAGAGGATCTAGATACATTTTCTAACCTCTCTGGATTACAACAAAATTATGATAAATGTACTATATTACGTATTGGATCACTAAACAATAAACATTTTACATTACCATGTAGTTTACCAATAAAATGGTCTGATGGTGATGTGGATATACTCGGAATACATATCTCAAATGAAATAAATGATCTCACTCCAATACATTTTAATAGAAAGTTAGCAAAAATAGATAAGATCTTGCTACCATGGAAAGGTAAATACCTGTCAATTTGTGGAAAAATCACCCTGATTAACTCTTTAGCATTATCCCAGTTGACCTATTTGCTTATGGTCTTGCCTACGCCTAGTGAACAGTTTTTTTTAATTAAAAAACGGCAAGCCAGACAAAATCAAATGGGCCTATTTATATAATGAATATGAATTCGGAGGACAGAAATTATTAAATATTAAAGCATTAGACCTATCATTAAAAGCTTCAGTCATGCAAAAGTTAAACTTAAATCCGAACTGGTTCTCTAGCAAATTAGTAAGATTGTCTCACCCAATGTTCAAGAATGGCCTTTTTCCCTTTATTATTTGAAAAGGAAATAATCTCCCAAATATCACTATTTCTAAAACAATTTAATCCTGCAGAAACGACAGAACAAATAATGCAACAAATATTGTGGTTAAACTCAAATATACTAATTAATAAAAAACCTTTTTTTTGGAGAAAATGTTTTAAAAAGGTATAATCTTCGTAAATGATATTATCGGTAGGACTGGTGGAGTTATGCAGCTAACAAAAACATATGGAAATGTCTGCTCTACCCAAAATTACAACCAAATACACTGCTCAAAAAAATAAAGGGAACACTTAAACAACACAATGTAACTCCAAGTCAATCACACTTCTGTGAAATCAAACTGTCCACTTAGGAAGCAACACTGATTGACAATAAATTTCACATGCTGTTGTGCAAATGGAATAGACAACAGGTGGAAATTATAGGCAATTAGCAAGACACCCCCAATAAAGAAGTGGTTCTGCAGGTGGTGACCACAGACCACTTCTCAGTTCCTATGCTTCCTGGCTGATGTTTTGGTCACTTTTGAATGCTGGCGGTGCTTTCACTCTAGTGGTAGCATGAGACGGAGTCTACAACCCACACAAGTGGCTCAGGTAGTGCAGCTCATCCAGGATGGCACATCAATGCGAGCTGTGGCAAGAAGGTTTGCTGTGTCTGTCAGCGTAGTGTCCACAGCATGGAGGCGCTACCAGGAGACAGGCCAGTACATCAGGAGATGTGGAGGAGGCCGTAGGAGGGCAACAACCCAGCAGCAGGACCGCTACCTCCGCCTTTGTGCAAGGAGGAGCAGGAGGAGCACTGCCAGAGCCCTGCAAAATGACCTCCAGCAGGCCACAAATGTGCATGTGCCTGCTCAAACGGTCAGAAACAGACTCCATGAGGGTGGTATGCTTACAGCCCAACACCGTGCAGGACGTTTGGCATTTGCCAGAGAACACCAAGATTGGCAAATTCGCCACTGGCGCCCTGTGCTCTTCACAGATGAAAGCAGGTTCACACTGAGCACATGTGACAGATGTGACAGAGTCTGGAGACGCCGTGGAGAACGTTCTGCTGCCTGCAACATCCTCCAGCATGACCGGTTTGGCGGTGGGTCAGTCATGGTGTGGGGTGGCATTTCTTTGGGGGGCCGCACAGCCCTCCATGTGCTCGCCAGAGGTAGCCTGACTGCCATTAGGTACCGAGATGAGATCCTCAGACCCCTTGTGAGACCATATGCTGGTGTGGTTGGCCCTGGGTTCCTCCTAATGCAAGACAATGCTAGACCTCATGTGGCTGGAGTGTGTCAGCAGTTCCTGCAAGAGGAAGGCATTGATGCTATGGACTGGCCCGCCCGTTCCCCAGACCTGAATCCAATTGAGCACATCTGGGACATGTCTCGCTCCATCCACCAACGCCACGTTGCACCACAGACTGTCCAGGAGTTGGCGGATGCTTTAGTCCAGGTCTGGGAGGAGATCCCTCAGGAGACCATCCGCCACCTCATCATCAGGAGCATGCCCAGGCATTGTAGGGAGGTCATACAGGCACGTGGAGGCCACACACACTACTGAGCCTCATTTTGACTTGTTTTAAGGACATTACATCAAAGTTGGATCAGCCTGTAGTGTGGTTTTCCACTTTAATTTTGAGGGTGACTCCAAATCCAGACCTCCATGGGTTGATAAATTTGATTTCCATTGATAATTTTTGTGTGATTTTGTTGTCAGCACATTCAACTATGTAAAGAAAAAAGTATTTAATAAGATTATTTCATTCATTCAGATCTAGGATGTGTTGTTTAAGTGTTCCCTTTATTTTTTTTGAGCAGTGTAATTGCAGCATTACCGCAAAAATGGAAAAGGAAAGTGGAAGGGGGAAAAAGTAAGGTACTTGTCTGTCGGCCTTGCATTAAAGAATATAATTGGTTAAAGAAAATTGTGATAAATAAAAAAGTATACCAGTTTCATTTAAGGACCAAAGGATTGACAGCCGTCCCATATAGATAGCAAAATAGTTGGGAAGAGATTTGTGACGTATCGATTCCATGGCATAGTGTTTATGAATTGATACACAAAACGACGCCGGATTCAAAACTTAAGAGTTTTTCAATTTAAATAATTATATAAAATTCTTGCTACCAATATAATGTTATTTATATGGGGGATACAATCTTCCCAGCTCTGCAGATTTTGCTGCGAAGAGACAGAATCATTAGATCATTTGTTTTGGTACTGTCCATTTGTAGCTTGTTTTTGGACACAGGTCCAGGAATGGCTAAAGGATTGCAATATTTACCTGGAGCTAACCCTGCAGATAGCACCACTGGGTGATCTGAAAAGTCATAGTCAATCGATCAATAATATAATAATACTTTTAGCAAAAATGTTTATTTTCAATTTACGATCTGTAGAAACAATGAGAATATGTATGTATATATGTACAGTGAGGGAAAAAAGTATTTGATCCCCTGCTGATTTTGTACGTTTTCCCACTGACAAAGACATGATCAGTCTATAATTTTAATGGTAGATTTATTTGAACAGTGAGAGACACAATAACAACAAAAAATCCAGAAAAACGCATGTCAAAAATGTTAGAAATTGATTTGCATTTTAATGAGGGAAATAAGTATTTGACCCCTCTGCAAAACATGACTTAGTACTTGGTGGCAAAACCCTTGTTGGCAATCACAGAGGTCAGACGTTTCTTGTAGTTGGCCACCAGGTTTACACACATCTCAGGAGGGATTTCGTCCCACTCCTCTTTGCAGATCTTCTCCAAGTCATTAAGGTTTCGAGTATGACGTTTGGCAACTCGAACCTTCAGCTCCCTCCACAGATTTTCTATGGGATTAAGGTCTGGAGACTGGCTAGGCCACTCCAGGACCTTAATGTGCTTTCTTGAGCAGGGGGACCTGGCGGGCGCTGCAGGATTTCAGTCCTTCACGGCGTAGTGTGTTACCAATTGTTTTCTTGGTGACTATGGTCCCAGCTGCCTTGAGATCATTGACAAGATCCTCCTGTGTAGTTCTGGGCTGATTCCTCACCGTTCTCATGATCATTGCAACTCCACGAGGTGAGATCTTGCATGGAGCCCCAGGCCGAGGGAGATTGACAGTTATTTTGTGTTTCTTCCATTTGCGAATAATCGAACCAACTGTTGTCACCTTCTCACCAAGCTGCTTGGCGATGGTCTTGTAGCCCATTCCAGCCTTGTGTAGTTCTACAATCTTGTCCCTGACATCCTTGGAGAGCTCTTTGGTCTTGGCCATGGTGGAGAGTTTGGAATCTGATTGATTAATTGCTTCTGTGGACAGGTGTATTTTATACAGGTAACAAGCTGAGATTAGGAGCACTCCCTTTAAGAGTGTGCTCCTAATCTCAGCTCGTTACCTGTATAAAATACACCTGGGAGCCAGAAATCTTTCTGATTGAGAGGGGGTCAAATACTTATTTCCCTCATTAAAATGCAAATCAATTTATAACATTTTTGACATGCGTTTTTCTGGATTTTTTTGTTTTTATTCCGTCTCTCACTGTTCAAATAAACCTACCATTAAAATTATAGACTGATCATGTCTTTGTCAGTGGGCAAACGTACAAAATCAGCAGGGGATCAAATACTTTTTTCCCTCACTGTAAGTGTATGTAAACATCCGACTTCAACTGTATATATTTGCGAGAAAAAAAACATATGGGCGATTGGAAGTGAAATATTAAAGCTGATCTACCCTCTAAAAATTAAATAAAAATACACTGTGAAATACTTTCATGTACTTGAGCTGTGCTTGATCCACACTGCCACCAGGTGGCCACTTAAATGCTGTTTTTTTTTACTAACTTAAATTACAACTTTTATATTTCAGCCTAGTCAGTCAAAAACAACTATATTGTTTGTTTCATATTTCTATTCTGGCATGAAAGTCAATGAAAAAGAGAGAGAAAGGATAATATGAAATGTAGTATGTGATTCAGACACAGTCCTGTAGCCTATAATGCGGTACCTGTCTGCCTGTGTAGATAGGGTGCAGACAGCTTTGGACGCGCTGGTCCCCGTCATCAGGCTACGGTCCAGGCCTTTCCCCCGCCTGCCCTCCCTCAGCAGCTCCTGGATGGACTGGGGCTGGATGACCGGCTGGCTGCTCAGGGCCAGCTCTCTGTCCGGACTGGGCTCGCCACACAAATCCAGCCCCAGGTCTACGGCCTGCTGGGCCTGGGTGATTGTCATGGTGGCCTGGGAGCTGCCGTCGCTGAAGTGGCTGTGCTCCAGAGAGCTGACATATTCGCTCACCCTGGGTAGACAGAGACAGGTACGCCACTGTATTGTTCAGTGTGTCGTTACAGATGACAGTTCACATTATACTGTAGATGAGTGTTAGTAACCTGTGGCTGAAACTGTACCAATAATCCAATGTCATATGCTGTCATGAATGCATGTCTTGTGGAGAGGGTTTCGACTTCAATCTCTGCATCGCCTGCCCTGCCACAGCTTGGCTGTATTACCTGAAGACGTGGGGCCAGCAGTCCTGGTTGTGGCTGCCCATCTCCAGGCCCACGTTGAGGATGGCCTCCATGCAGAGCACGTGGGCCGTGTGCAGCCGAACCCCCTGAGGACGCCCCATCTGCTCCAGCTTCTGCTCCACACGCTGCTTGACTGGGAACACACACACCCAACAGACACAGGATCAGAACAGATCCCAGCACTCCAGCTAGCACCGCATCAAAAACTAAATGTGGCCATATAACAATGGGATCTTTTCTGAAATGGAGGGATTCTTTATCCTGTATGCATATTGCACAGTAATGACAAATCAAAGGTCATCTTTGGTGTATACAGTAGTTTAATATTACAGTAGGTGTCTTTGTTTGAAAAAGTCAATTGAATCCCTGTGTACAGTATGTTATGTGGGGGGCTGCAAGTACCTTGTGTGATGGCATCTCCAGACTCGCCCACCTCCCTCTCCTCCTTCTCCTCCTGCACACACGAGGCTGCTGCCATCTGGGCCAGAGCCGAGGCACAATTGGCAGCCACACCTAGAGAAACCATGAATATTCATATTCATTAGAGCTGATGGTAATCAAAGACAAGCTGGGCTGTGAGGGCCTACGGCACCTGTCACAGAATGCCAGGCCAATACTTTATCATCATATGGTCCTAATTCATTTCTGTTTTCAGGGACATTTCAATAGCTACACAAATATACCTATAAAGTATTCAGGTATTGATCAAAATCTAGGCAAAACCTTTGCTTGTGTTTAATTCTCTCAAAACGTGATGTTTTTGTACTTTATGGACACACATCTAAACAGGACCTGGGATCAAATCGCTTTTGTTTTCTTTCAAATATTTTGAGCCTTTGACCCAGCCTGCCTCTTGTCTAAACACACTAGCTAATGGGTTTACTTGAGTAAAAGTAAAGATACCTTAATAGAAAATGAAGTAAAAGTGAAAGTCACCCAGTAAAATACTACTTCAGTAAAAGTCTAAAAATATTTGGTTTTAAATATACTTACGTATCAAAAGTAAAAGTATGAATCATTTCAAATTCCTTATATTAAGCAAACCAGACAGCACAATTTTCTTGTTTTTTTAAAATGTACAGATAGCCCAGGGCACACTCCAACACCCAATACAGCATTTGTATTTAGTGAGTCCACCAGATCAGAGGCAGTAGGGATGACCAGGGATGTTCTCTTGATAAGTGTGTGAATTTGACAATTTTCCTGTCCTGCTAAGCATTCAAAATATAACGAGTACTTTTGGGTGTCAGGGAAAATGTATGGTGTAAAAAGTACATTATTCTCGTTAGGAATGTAGTGAAGTAAAAGTAAAAGTTGTCAAAAATATAAATAGTAAAGTAAAGTAAAGTACAGATACCCCCAAAAAACTACTTAAGTAGTACTTTAAAGTATTTTTATTTAAGTACTTTACACCACTGACTAAACCCTTCCTGTTTAAGGATTATAGTCAGGCAGGCCTTATCCACGGTCACCATGATGTTGGGTCCTGTTACCTAGAGCACAACTGAGTCCGGCTGCCTTGCGTAGTCCATCCAGGCTAAGGCAGATGGTGTCTCTCTCCCTCTGGCTCTGCTCCTTTAGCCCCTCAGACCCCAGCATGAAGGCCAGGCCCTTGGAGCTGCCTGCCATGCGCCCCGTCAGGGGGGTGGACAGGGTGTCCATCAGGTTCTTCCAGCAGCCAATCAGGATGTAGCGGGCAAACACTATGCCTGAAATAATATCAATGAAGGTTGAGTGAGTGAGTGAGCCAGACACTTATCTGTGCATTGACCAAGACCCATATGTATGAAACAGGATCAATGGGGGTTGAGTCACACCCTTAAAGCTGCCTCTGTTTTGGTAAAAAGCTGAGGAATGTAACAACTCTCAAATTCATAGACAGTGCTAGGATGCAAGGACTGACCATCCATGATATAAACATTATAGTTTTAACCATGTGTTGAGGCTATACAGTGTTTGTTTACATCTACGTTGTTTACAAACATTGGAGTAAAAAATACATCTTTTGGGTTTTGATGGGGTGACAGTTGAACTAAGCTCATTAGGCATTTATGAGTTATATTCTTCAAGAATGGATGGGTATACAGTGCATTCGGAAAGTATTCAGACCCCTTTACTTTTTCCACATTTTGTTTTAGTATTCAGACCCTTTGCCATGAGACTCAAAATTGCGCTTAGGTGCATCCTGTTTCCATTGATCCTCCTTGAGATATTTCTACAACTTGATTGGAGTCCACCTGTGTTAAATTCAATTGATTGGACATGATTTGGAAAGGCACACACCTGTCTATATAAGGTCCCACAGTTGACAGTGCATGTCAGGACAAAAACCAAGTCATGAGGTCGAAGGAATTGTCCATAGAGCTCCGAGACAGGCACAGATCTGGAGAAGGGTACCAAAACATTTCTGCAGCATTGAAGGTCCCCAAGAACACAGAGGCCTCCATCATTCTTAAATGGAAGAAGTTTGGAACCACCAAGACTCTTCCTAGAGCTGGCCGCCCAGCCAAACTGAGCAATCGGGGAAGAAGGGCCTTGGTCAGGGAGGTGACCAAGAACCTGATGGTCACTCTGACAGAGCTCCTCTGTGGAGATGGGAGAACCTTCCAGAAGGACAACCATCTCTGCAGCACTCCACCAATCAGGCCTTTATGGTAGAGTGGCCAGACGGAAGCCACTCCTCAGTAAAAGGCACATGACAGCCCGCTTGGAGTTTGCCAAAAGGCACCTAAAGGACTCTCAGACCATGAGAAACCAGATTCTCTGGTCTGATGAAACCAAGATTGAACTCTTTGGCCTGAATGCCAAGCGTCACTTCTGGAAGAAACCAGGCACCATCCCTACGGTGAAGCATGGTGGTGGCGTCATCATGCTGTGGGGATGTTTTTCAGCGGCAGGGACTGGGAGACTAGTCAGGATTGAGGCAAAGATGAACGGAGCAAAGTACAGAGAGATCCTTGATGAAAACCTGCTCCAGAGCGCTTAGGACCTCAGACTGGTGCGAAGGTTCACCTTCCAACAGGACAACGACCCTAAGCACACAGCCAAGACAACGCAGGAGTGGCTTTGGGACAAGTCTCTGAATGTCCTTGAGTGGCCCAGCCAGAGCCTGGACTTGAACCCGATCGAACATCTCTGGAGAGACCTGAAAATAGCTGTGCAGCGACGCTCCCCATCCAACCTGACAGAGCTTGAGAGGATCTGCAGAGAAGAACGGGAGAAACTCCCCAAATACAGGTGTGCCAAGCTGGTAGCATCATACCCAAGAAGACTCAAGGCTGTAATCGCTGCCAAAGGTGCTGCAACAAAGTACTGAGTAAAGGTTCTGAATACTTATGTAAATATAATATTTCCGTTTAAAAAACCTGTTTTTGCATTGTCATTATGGGTTATTGTGTGTAGATCGATGAGGGGAAAAAAGGATTTAATACATTTTAGAATAAGGCTGTAACGTAACAAAATGTGGAAAAAGTCAAGGGGTCTGCATACTTTCCAAATGCACTGTTCATCATTAATATAAAGTTCAAAACTGTGTGTAGCAACTAAGGATTCTAGCTTTAAAGACAGCATAAGTAGTACATCCAGCTGTGTAGACTATTGATCAAGAACCATGCATAATACAGTATGAATGAAGGTTTAGTGAGCCAGACCGTCATCTTTGTATTGACCAAGACCTATGCTACAGCACAATGGGGTTGAGTCAGACCCTTAAAACAGGATATGGGTATTGACAAAGACCCCATGCCTGAAAAAGCAGTAATGGGAGTTAAGTCAGAACCGACACTACATCCATCTGTGTATTGACTCAGCAGCTCTGTAATGTGCTGTTGCCTTATTTGCTCAGAGGCAGTGAACAGACAGGCAGTAAACAACAGTCCCGTTAGACACCTTGAGAGATTTAAGCACTCTAAAAGGCACTCTGTGTGACAATAACATTTCATACAGGAAATAAGTAGAACTGACAACGGTCCCTTTTTTCTCTGTTCCATGTTAATATAGTCGGCCCTGTTGATTATGTGTACATAGCTAGCTTATTACATGAAAGCTTTGAAAGTCTAATGGGAAACTCAGCAGCTGTTGCCATGGTAACGAGGTGGCTCGAGTGCTCGGTGGTGCATCTTTTGTTCTCAGTGGTAATAAAAGAGGTAGGCAGATGCTGGCAGCTCTCCATTCTCTCCCCTGTGAAAGACACAATGAGAACAATATATATCTCTCTCCATGTAGAGAGTACAGCATCTAGGCCAGCGTTCCCCAAACTTGGTCCTCAAGACCCCAAGGGGTGCACATTTTGGTTTTTGCCCTAACATTACACAGCTGATTAAAATGATCAAAGCTTGATGATTAGTTGATTATTTCAATCAGCTGTGTAGTGCTAGGGCAAAACCAAAATGTGCACCCCTTGGGGTCCCGAGGACCGAGTTTGGAAAACCCTGATCTAGGCACATGTATGCAACCCTGGAAACCAGGGTTCAGTCCCTGTCTCCACCCTTCCCACTTTGGCTCCTCCTAATCTATATCCCCCGATGTTTGAATAAAGCAAAAATGCCGCACCAAAAATACACAATACATTATGACTAAATATCGACGCAAAATATAGTCAAAAACTATCTTGGATAAGCGACTCAGAAAGGACAGCTTGGGGTGTCAGTACCTGGTGGTGTCAGTACCTGGTGGTGTCAGTACCTGGTGGTGTCAGTACCTGGGGGTGTCAGTACCTGCCATGAGGGTGTCACTGCCACTCTTGTCACAGCTGAAGGGGGACTGTGTGTTGGCCTTACGGATCAGCTGACCTCCGATGGCACTACTGCCCAGCCCATCGATGTCTGACCAGAGACAGACAGAGAGAGAGAGATAGAGGACACAACGTGATGAGAGCCGTCAGAAAAACATAGCAGAACATTTCAAAGACCCAAAGGAGCATTATGTTAATATTTTTATGTCGACATATAAAGAATCCTCATGAATAAAGCAGTGTGGGAGAGCTGTGTCCCCTCCTACCAGTGAGCATGGTGATGAGGGGTAAGGAGTGTTCCTCTGGTGAGCCCCAGTAGCCAGCCTCCCCCAGCAGGTTCCTGTCCAGCACCTGGAGGTAGAGCTCCTCGATCCAGGCCTGAGACAGCACCACCAGCACCCCACTGCTCTGGATGAGACGAACAAACTCTTTCTGCAGCAGGAGAGAGAATTCAATTGGGATACCAGGAAGCCTGGTGGGATCGCTTCAAAATATATAAACCCCATAAACAAAATAATTGGCTACAGTACTATATGGTGTTCAGCTGATCACAACACTTGTCTTCAGGAATCCTCTCTACCATACACAGGGGATTTCAGCTTTAGTGCACCAACAGATTGACTCCACCACCACTCACCAGGCTGACCAGCACGGGCATGGGCCTCCTGCGGTAGCAGTCCTGGCAGCAGAGTTTGAGGCTGAGGAGCAAGGCGTAGTAGGAGACCAGGTAAAGGCCGTCTGCGTTCATCAGGGCCTGACAATTCAGGTTCTCACTGCCCTCGTAGCCTGGTGAATGGATGCCACCTGGAAGAGAGGGTCAGATACAGGGTCAAATAGAAACCATTGATGAAACTAGGACAATTAAGACAATTATCTTACCTCGTATCCCCATCAGAAGATTTAAAATACTAAATCAGATACTATAATTACAATGGGACTTTCAATGACTTCTCCACGGATATCTGAAGTTCTCACTTCCTCTCTTCATTATCTCATGCTATCTCCCCTCATCTCCTCTCTCTGTATCTCTTACCCGCCTGTAGGCCGGAGCAGAATGTGGAGGAGAAGTTCTGCAGGGACGTGTCCACGTCTGTCGTGCTGTGCATCCCCAGCAGGCGAGGCAGCAGGGTGGCCAGAGACTGGACAAAGAGCCGGGCACTCTGCTGGTCAGCCTCCTGGTTCTTCAGTAGCTTCAGGGACAGGGCTGCCGTTCTCAGGGAGCGATGACCGGGACAGTCCCTGGGTGTCTGCTCCTCATCGGCCAGGGAGCCGTTATCAGAGCCCATGTCTGACACATCAGAGCGGCCCGAGTCCTTCTCCGCCGCCATGGAGTACTGGTCACATGAATCAAACTCAGTGCGCGACATCTCCCCCTCGTCCACGCTGAAATTGCTCTCGCTGTAGCGCGAGCCGTGGGAGCGCGCCCGGGCATCTACGGACAGGAAGTTAGTGATGTCGGGGTAGACTAGCGCATGGCTGCGCTGCACCACATCTGGGGGTCCTCCGGGCTCCTCACCCGGTTCCCTCACACAGGGGTGTAGCTCAGGGTCAGGGTCAGCGTCCGGCCCGCAGGAGGAAGGCGAAGGCAGCCGGGGTTCCTGCCCACATTCCTCCCCCTCTGGAGTGGTCTGTCCCAGCTCCCCATCCAGAGTGGTCTGGCCCGTATCCGTGGTGACGCTGATGCTGATGTCGGGGCTGCGCTCCGTGGCGGAGGTGGCAGAGGGCTCAGAGGGAGCGTGCTCAGACGAGAGGACGTGGCGCTGCCAGCGGAAGTCCGCCTCGTTGATCTCCATGGACTCCCGTGTGGATTCTGCCGCCTCTTTCAGCTCGTCCAATCGGCGCAGCAGCATGCGGGCCTGTTCTGACTGTAGGCCACGCCCATGACTCAGCTCGTCAAGAGCTCCCAGGAGGGCACAGGCACACGACACTGAGGAGTAGCATGCTTCGATGCCCCCCTTCATACAGGCCTCTGTCATGCCATCCATCACCCTGTAGGTACACACAGACACATCATAAACACTACGTACCCGTTTACAACAGTACTACTTCCTTCTCACTATAGTACATGATGTATGGGTTACAGGCTTATACAGCAGGCAGAAGCATTTTTTTAACACAAGGTTATACTGGTAAATAAAATAAGAGAATGTGGGTCCTCACAGTTTGAGCAGGTCCAGGTGAGACTTCCTCTTGGAGAAGGACCTTTTCCTAGACTCAGGCTCTATCACACAGGGACCAGCCAGGTCAAACAAGCGCTGAGGACTTCCCAGAATCTACAAAACGCATACAAACAAAGACACTTCAGTTCATTTTTGTTCATCGCATCCCCTCTGCAACACTCAAACTGGTGCAGCAACATTCCACTGTCTAATTCAATTGATTGGTGGATCTATAAACATTATGTTAGGGGATTTGAGGTGACTGGTGAACAGTGAGCAGTCTGGGACTCTGACCACCTCCTTCATGATCTTGATGGCCTCCACGCGGTGCTGTGGCGGGGGATAGAGCAGGATGCGGTGGTACAGCGACTGCAGAACAGGCTTCATGGACTCCACACAGCCCACCAGACGCACCAGCTCAGCAGCCACGTAGCAGATGGTCCGCACCACCGGGCCGATCATGGCGGGGGTGGTGGAGGAGCAGCCGGATCCCCGGCCCTGGTCAGACACACCACCTAGAGAGGGGTCCAGCTCCTGATACCCCCCTCCGTGGCCATGGGCCGAGGTGATGGTCTTGTCGTTCACAGGGTTTCCCATGATCACCACCAACGACGGGCAAAGTTGCTTCCTGAGAGAAGGGGACAAGACATGTAACGTGTTTTATGTAGACAGATCATATGGTAACACTATACTTGAAGGAGCCTACTTTATGAAGTGCTCATATTCTGCTTATGAATGTGGTATTTACAGTGCCTTCAGAAAGTATTCAGACGCCTTGACTTTTTCAACATTTTGTTACGTTACAGCCTTATTCTAAAATGTATAAAATTATTTTTTTACCCTCAATCTGCACACAATACCCCATAATGACAATGCGAAAAACAAGTTTATAATAAAAAACAGAAATAACCTTATTTACATAAGTATTCAGACCCTTAGCTATGAGACTTGAAATTGAGCTCAGGTGCATCCTGTTTCCATTGATCATCCTAGAGATGTTTCTACAACATGATTGGAGTCCACCTGTGGTAAATTCAATAGGTCTGCTAAATGACTAAAATGTAAATGTAATGGAAAGGCACACACCTGTCTATATAAAAGGTCCCACCATTGACAGTGCATGTCAGAGCAAAAACCAAACCATGAGGTCGAAGGAATTGTCCGTAGAGCTCCGAGACAGGATTGTGTCGAGGCACAGATCTGGGGAAGGCTACCAAAAAATGTCTGCAGCATTGAAGGTCCCAAGAACACAGAGGCCTCCATCATTCTTAAATGGAAGAAGATTGGAACCACCAAGATTCTTCCTAGAGCTGGCCACCCGGCCAAACTGAGCAATCGCGGGAGAAGGGTCTTGGTCAGGGAGGTGACCAAGAACCCGATGGTCACTCTGACAGAGCTTCAGAGTTCCTCTATGGAGATGGAAGAACCTTCCAGAAGGACAACAGTCTCTGCAGCATTCCACCAATCAGACCTTTATGGTAGAGTGGCCAGACGGAAGCCACTCCTCAGTAAAAGGCACATGACAGCCCGCTTGGAGTTCGACAAAAGGCTTCTAAAGACTTTCAGAACATGAGAAACAAGATTCTCTGGTCTGATGAAACCAAGATTGAACTCTTTGGCCTGAATGCCAAGCATCACATCTGGAGGAAACCTGGAACCATCCCTACGGTGAAGCATGGTGGTGGCAGCATCATGCAGTGGGGATGTTTTTCAGTGGCAGGGACTGGGAGACTAGTCAGGATCGAGGCAAAGATGAATGGAGCAAAGTACAGAGAGATCCTTGATGAAAACCTCCTCCAGAGTGCTCAGGACCTCAGACTGGGGTGAAGATTCTCCTTTTCCCCAGTCAACAACCCTAAGCACACAGCCAAGACAACGCAGGAGTGGCTTCGGGACAAGTCTCTGAATGCCCTTGAGTTGCCCAGCCAGAGCCCGGACTTGAACCCGATCAAACATCTCTGGAGAGACCTGAAAATAGCTGTGCAGCAAAGCTCCCCATCCAACCTGACAGAGCTTGAGAGGATCTGCAGAGAAGAACGGGAGAATCTCTCCAAATACAGGTATGCCAAGCTTGTAGCGTCGTACCCAAGAAGACTCAAGGCTGTAATCGCTGCCAAAGTTGCTTCAACAAAGTACTGAGTAAAGGGTGAAATGTGATATTTCTTTTTTTTTCATTTGTAATACATTTTCAAAAAATGTCAAAAAACCTGTTTTCGCTTCGTCATTATGGGGTTTTGTGTGTAGATTTGAGGGGGGAAAACAATTTAATCAATTTTAGAATAAGAACAAAATTTAGAAAAAGTCAAGGGGTCTGAATCCTTACAGTTCAAGTCGGAAGTTTAGATACACTTAGGTTGGAATCATTAAAACTTGTTTTTCAACCACTCCACAAATTTCTTGTTAACAGACTATAGTTTTGGAAAGTCGGTTAGGACATCTACTTTGTGCATGACAAGTAATTTTTTCAACAATTGTTTACAGACAGATTATTTCACTTATAATTCTCTGTATCACAATTCCAGTGGGTCAGAAGTTTACATACACTAAGTTGACTGTGCCTTTAAACAGCTTGGAAAATTCCAGAAAATGATGTCATGGCTTTAGAAGCATCTGATAGGCTAATTGACATAATTTGAGTCAGTTGGAGGTGTACCTGTGGATGTATTTCAAGGCCTACTTTCAAACTCAGTGCCTCTTTGCTTGACATCATGGGAAAATCAAAAGAAAATCAGCCAAGACCTCAGAAAAAATATTGTAGACCTCCACAAGTCTGGTTCATCCTTGGGAGCAATTTCCAAACGCCTGAAGGTATCTGTACAAACAATAGTACGCAAGTATAAACACCATGGGACCACGCAGCCGTCATACCGTTCAGGAAGGAGACGTGTTCTGTCCCCTAGAGATGAACGTACTTTGGTGCACAAAGTACAAATCAATCCCAGAACAACAGCAAAGGACCTTGTGAAGATGCTGGAGGAAACAGGTACAAAGTATCTATATCCACAGTAAAACGAGTCCTATATCGACATAACCTGAAAGGCCGCTCAGGAAGGAAGAAGCCACTGCTCCAAAACCGCCATAAAAAAGCCAGACTACGGTTTGCAACTGCACATGGGGACAAAGATCATACTTTTTGGAGAAATGTCCTCTGGTCTGTTGAAACAAAAATAGAACTGTTTGGCCATAATGACCATCGTTATGTTTGGAGGAAAAAGGGGGGGCTTGCAAGCCAAAGAACACCATCCCAACCGTGAAGAACGGGGGTGGCAGCATCATGCCGTGGGGGTGCTTTGCTGCAGGAGGGACTGGTGCACTTCACAAAATAGATGGCATCATGAGGAAGGAAAATTATGTGGATATATTGAAGCAACATCTCAAGACATCAGTCAGGAAGTTAAAGCTTGGTCGCAAATGGGTCTTCCAAATGGACAATGACCCCAAGCATACTTCCAAAGTTGTGGCAAAATGGCTTAAGGACAACAAAGTCAAGGTATTGGAATGGCCATCACAAAGCCCTGACCTCAATCCTATAGAAGATTTGTGGGCAGAACTGAAAAAGCGTGTGTGAGCAAGGAGGCCTACAAACCTGACTCAGTTACACATTTTTTACATTTTAGTCATTTAGCAGACGCTCTTATCCAGAGCGACTTACAGTTAGTGAGTGCATACATTTTTCATACTGGCCCCCCGTGGGAATCGAACTCACAACCCTGGCATTGCAAGCACCATGCTGAGCTACAGGAGGGACAGCTCTGTCAGGAGGAATGGGCCAAAATTCACCCAACTTATTATGGGAAGCTTGTGGAAGGGTACCCTGTAGCTCAGTTGGTAGAGCATGGCGCTTGCAACACCAGGGTTGTGGGTTCTTTTCCCACGGGGGGGGGGGGGGGGGGGCAGTATGAAAATGTATCCACTCACTAACTGTAAGATAAGAGCGTCTGCTAAATGACTAAAATTTTAAAATGTACCCGAAACATTTCACCCAAGTTAAACTATTTTATGGCAATGCTACCAAATAGTAATTGAGTGTATGTAAACTTCTGACCCACTGGGAATGTGATGAAAGAAATAAAAGCTGAAATAAATAATTCTCTCTACTATTATTCTGACATTTCACATTCTTAAAATAAAGTGGTGATCCTAACTGACCTAAGACAGGGAATTTTTACTAGGATGAAAAACTGAGTTTAAATCTATTTGGCTAAGGTGTATGTAAACCTCCGACTTCAACTGTATAATACTCCGAATGCACTGTCTGTATTATGAATGCATTATTAAGGCCGTATCTAGGTTCCCCTCAAGATAAGAAATCTGACTGATAAGGAGGCAGGTATTCAGACAGGGAAGCGTGACTGTCAGTATACTATATGTGTTAGCCACAGCCAGGCCTTACCAGATCAGGTCTGTGAAGCCTCTGTTCAGGTGCATGGTAGGAGGACAGCTGCTGAGCATGGACAGGATGCACTCTAGGTAGAGCAGCTGGAGCAACTGGTTCTCACTGTGAAAACAAAGTCTCAGGCTTGTATCCCAAATGGCACCCTATTCCCTATGGGTTCTGGTCAAAAGTAGTGCACTATGAATGGAATGGGGTGGCATTTGGGATGCAGCCTCAGTGTCTCATCTTATTAAAAGCCAAGCAAGAAACATCTCTATATAACATTGCTGTAAAACTGAATCATGCTTTGTAGAGGTGACCTTTAAAACAGCTAGCAGGGTAGACAAGGTGGGAGCAATTATGTGTTTTTCGGATGAGAGAGAAACAAACAGTACAGGGCTATTAACTCTGCATAAAGCATAATTCTTACTGGTCAACCCCCTCCAGCTTCTCGCAGAAGACGGTTATCACAGTCACGACGTCCTCACACAGGGAATGTGCAGTGGGAGACACATCTAAAAACATACAGGCCAACAACCATTACCGAGACATCACACTCAGGAGAACAAATGCAACTGATAACATACCTTATTAGCCTAACTATGTTAACTACTTAAAAGTATTTGAGGTGCGATTCCAAGCTTGGCGTTTGAACTTTTGGGACAATTCCATTGGGTGCATTGTCCAGGGCAGGGCTCTCCTACCCTGTTGCTGGAGAGCTACCATACTCTAGGTTCACTCCAACCCTAATCTAGCCCACCTGATTCTAATCATTAGCTGGATGATAAACTGAATCAGGTTAGTTTCAATTGGGGTTGGAGCAAAAACCTACAGGAGGTAGCTCCCCAGGAACAGGGTTGGAGAGCCCTGCTGTACAGTATGGTGCAAGGAAGAGACATGTGTTTTTGCTTTTATTCAATTAGTTTAAGAATTCCCTTTATAGTGATTCCAAGTTTGGAGTTTGAACTTTTGGGACTATTCCATTGGGTGTATTGTCCAGGGAAAACTAAATGAAACGTAGCTCTGTTTGACAAATGTATTTGACCCAGGTCTGACAGAACAGTTGAACCACCAGACACACTGCATCACCCCCTCGTAATAGTCTCATCTCTCCCACTTTTAGACGTGGACTCTGGAGGTATGAATCACCCAGCCTTGCAGTAAAAGATGTGTGATGTCTAAACAACCTGTAATCACTGCTTCATAAAAGGGACATTATACTCCCTTGGAGGTATATTCCACCTGGCATGTGAAGGGCAGTGAAGGCTTTTGCTATATAACAGGGCTATAAAGTACCTCTGTGCTGGTGTGTGGGCACTGGCGGGTCCTCGCCATCCACTCCCTGCACAGACACACAAGACAATATTATAGACTTTCAGACACTGTATGGTGGATTCACTTCACCTATGATTATGCATTCAATGCATTCCCCTGCATATTCACAGCAGCAAAACAGTCTGCCAAAATGTATAGAACACAGTACAGGACATCTGTATTTTATGTAGCTATTTAATGAGGTGATTACAAGATCTCATATAAGCGCTCAAGTGTGAAATTAAGATGTGCCTCACTCTAGAACGCCTCCCTGCCCAACCCAACCCAACCCATCCTATATTCATTCCTTTTGCTTCTAATCTGAGTGGGTGATAATGTGAGAGGTCAAAGGTGCCTGGGGTGGCTGACCTGTCTGTGTCGGAGCTGCAGGGCGAGGTCCCCCAGGATCTGGCTGAGGGTGGCCCTCACGGCCGTGTTGATGCTGCGCTGGTGACAGCTGGACATGTACGTCTCGATACACACCTGGAAGACAGCAGGACAGGAAACAAACACATTACAACAGAGCAGGGGGCTTACCGTTACACCCAATGACTATAAATGAAGGTAAAACCTCTTTCAAGGCAAAGCTGGCTGGATTGAAGAAAGTCTGACATCAGGAGTGAATGAAAATATAATCTTTAAACACAACATCACTGTGAGATAGCAACATCAACCAAATTGAATTAAAGCAAGTGATATGCCAAGCCTTGAGGAGACAGTATAGGACACATAATTGCTTTACCGTCACTTCACTGAAAACGAATTGGCTCCCTATTTAAAAAGAAGATGGAGAACAAGCTATGAAGGAAAAATACAGGAGTTTTGGTGCAGGTACAGCTAACTAGCGCAAAAATTATATTGCGATATTGTCAATACGATACAATATATCGTAAAAAATAATATCCCGATATGTATCTGTATAAATGTTTCCCCCATCACTAGATGACACACAGCTAAAGGCCCAGCAAACGAAGCATGACTGGAACATTCTCTTAAGCCTCTCTGCTTAGTACTGGAATAATGAAAGCAGGTGTCACCATTCAGAGGTTATCAGGCAGGTGAGATAGAACAGAGAGGGAAATGTGTTTTGTCTCATCGTTCACACCTTATCTGCTGGATCCAATCTGAAATGAGACTCCCAGTCCCTCTGGCAATTAACATGCAGATTAAAATGTGAAAGTCAACTGCTATTATTCACGTCACTGTTCTGTTAACCAAGAGTCATCCTCGTGCATTTATAATCCACCCTGAGCAGTGATTCATGGTATTAATCAACTATACGACTAAAAGCAGATTTTAATAGCTTGGTCAGTCCAATTATGAGATGACCGCCCAGACCAATGACTGTATAAATTAAGTGACCAGACCAGACCAGTTCAGCTGGGTTCCAGGGACAAAGGTCAAAGGTCAGAAGGCAACTTCAGTTCCTCAAATTTGATTCCAAATATCAACTCTGTAGTTCTCAAAATAGAAATGAAATGTCTCTTTCTTTGGGGTACTGCATCATGAAGTATAGTCATAGTCAAGGTCACATCTCAAGGAGTGTGTTGACACTAGGGAAAGTGATGATCCCACAGACATGCATCTGTTAGCACTGTGAATGACAAATACTGTAAACATGCGTCACTCTTTGTATCCTGGTCAACCTGATCCCAGACGAGTAGATCTGATAATAAAGACAACTCTTCCTATCTCTCCCCCCTTCCTGGTGCTGACGTAGTGGAAAGACCACTTCAGACGTCGGTGGCCTTTAATGAGAGGTTTCCATGGCAACCAGACCAACGAGATTAAAGGAGGAAAGAGCACCTTGTTTGACCTGGTTTTTAAAGGTTACAGAGAGGAATTAGTTAGGGACTGTCAAGGTCCTCTGTCTGTCCTGTCTGTCCTCACATTGTGGCTGCAGGGCTCGCTCTGTTCCAGGGATGAGGAAGAGAGGGGCATGGAATATCTCTGTGACACGTCAGCAAAGAGCAGGATAAGAAATACATGAAATTCATCATTAAAATGTATCCCAAAATAATCACGATAATTGAGTTACCTGTAAAGATGTAGACATTCTAATGTGTTAGGAAAGAGTGGGATTTATAAGTTCTATGCATCTTAACATGCAGGGATAAAGAGGGTAATCTCCATTCAAATTAAAACCCTCAGGGTAAACAACATGATTTTACACCTTCTGTTCCCGGTGCCAGATCGACGGAGCATTACATCCAGGGCTGCATTTGGTCCAGTTATTTATGAGCTGCTGTTAACAGTACAAGAGCAGAGTTAATGGGTCTGCATACACAGACTCAGTTTGCTGCTAGCAGAACTCAGCTAGGCGAAGCGACCGTCTGGAAAACAACCTGCTGAAGACCAAAACGTCACACAAAATGTTGTCATAATATACACTGAGCATACAAAACATTAGGAACACCTTCCTAATATTGAGTTGCAGCCATTATTATGAGCTGTCCTCCCCTTGGCAGCCTCCATTGATGGAGAGCTATACTTTCATATTGATGAACTCTCTGCACTCTATACAAAATATATGCTTCTTTAGAAGTCAGTGACCGATTGATCTACATACATAAAGAATACATTAGATTACCATGACTGTTATTACCATAAACATCGAATGCATAGCAGCAACACAGAGATTCACATTTGTGATGGATGGTCCTCATTAGGCTGTTGCTAGCAGTAGCAGGGAGTTGATGCTACTGAGGTGGTGTTTTGTGGCACATTATGTCAAGAGTCAGCCTTAATCAGCAGCCTGGCACCAGGCTGAACAGATACAGACCAGACCTGGGTCCAAACAATATCCGTTTTCTTTCAAATTACTGTGAGTATTTGACTGAGCCTGCCTGGAGTGTCAGAGGGGGCAGGGGGGGGGTTGCACTTTTGGGACTATTCCATTGGTTCCATTGCCGTAGGTAAGCTCAATTAAGCGCAGCTAAAGTATTTGAAAGAAAACCAATACTATCCAGATCTGAAATAGACAGACACATCCAGCAGGTTGACACTGGCTCTCTGGCTCCCTGTCCTCCCTTCGCATATCAGTGATACCTCCATCAGGCTTACCTCAGCAATCCTCAGGATGGAGTCTCCGTTGATCTCAAAGGTGGAGGAGTATGTGATGCAGAGAAGGACCTGTAGGGCAAGGAGACAAAGGCTTGTAAAACTCCCATTGAACTGAACAGGGAAAGAAGATTGGGGGCAGCTGCATAAAGTCAAGGCTCTCTAGCCATTACAGATATCATAGAAATAATCCTCTCCACCAGGAAACAGAAACTCTGTATAGAACAAACACAATGCCTTGTGTGACTGTGGGAAAAAAATGTACTGTGGCACTGCTGTCAAAACAGACAGCAGCACTTCAAATACTCAGCATAGCACTGAGTTTAAAATACATTTAGCTAGAAGTATATATTTACTGTGTCTTTTGACAACAGTGCTTTTTCGCATTGTCATATCTGGGGCCCTGTGCCTCTCTGAGGATGAAGGAACAATAGGATCTCAGGTAAGTGTGGAGCAGAAGACAAATGACATGGTTACCCAGAGTAGTCTTACAGGGACATGGTTACCCAGAGTAGTCTTACAGGGACATGGTTACCCAGAGTAGTCTTACAGGGACATGGTTACCCAGAGTAGTCTTACAGGGACATGGTTACCCAGAGTAGTCTTACAGGGACATGGTTACCCAGAGTAGTCTTACAGGGACATGGTTACCCAGAGTAGTCTTACAGGGACATGGTTACCCAGAGTAGTCTTACAGGGACATGGTTACCCAGAGTAGTCTTACAGGGACATGGTTACCCAGAGTAGTCTTACAGGGACATGGTTACCCAGAGTAGTCTTACAGGGACATGGTTACCCAGAGTAGTCTTACAGGGACATGGTTACCCAGAGTAGTCTTACAGGGACATGGTTACCCAGAGTAGTCTTACAGGGACATGGTTACCCAGAGTAGTCTTACAGGCAGAATGAACACCACACTGATCTTATAGTAATAAATGTGTGGACACTAGAGACATATGAGGTGCAGCCCACAAACAGCTATTAGTAAAGTAGGCAGTAAAATAATCTACAGTTTTAAAAAAGTACAAAAAGTGGCATGATCATGAGAGCCACAAAAGCAATCCGCAAGAAATCAATACAGTACTGTGAATTGGTGTGCACATGGCAAAGACGACCTTTCAGTTCTCACATTTTGAACAACTTTGGCCAGATTTACTACACCTGCAAGTGTTTGCCTCAGTTCAAAATGGCCCCCAATTGAACATGTTGAAGTCCAGTTAAGTCTTGCTGTGTGACATGATTTACTGGATGCCCCATTCTGAGGTGGCTCTGTGCCCAGTACTGTACGATGCAGAGAGAGAAGTGTATGGTGGAGCATAATAACTGCAGAGTGATTTGTGGCAAACTGAGACCGCACGTACTGTATCCATGAGTACAACTGACTGGCAACAAGCCAGGGGCTGGTCCTGGCTTCATTTTACTACCTGGGGACCCTTAGTGCAATACAATACAACACAATACACCGGCAGTCTTCGCACATCGGCATCAACAGAGGTGAAAAAGTCAAATTCTTCATTGGATTATAAAGTATACTCCTTTAATCGATGTTTGGACCAGCTATAACAGAGACTAAGTCATCTGATCGCTTTAATAATCCCAGTGTGCAGAGAGGACTGACCTTCATGACCTCGACCTGCAGGTCCTCGTGGAGCATGGGGGTCACCCTCACTGCGTCCAGCATCTGACTCAACAGCTGGCTCTCCAGAGCCTCAGTCCCCACGGCCACAAACCTGTCCTCACACAGGATCTTCTGCAGTCAAACCAGGAGGAGTAGGATGGAGAACGGTACAAAATGGAGGAGAGAAAAACACAGGCAGAAAATGTATACTGTGTTTAGAACATCAGAATTCACGCCAACAAAGAATAATGCAAATTAAGCTTCACTGAAGGGTAATAGGTTGGGTCTGCACCAGTAATGCTTGTAATGAACCTACATTTCCTCTCAGAATGTACTGTAGTTTCACAAATGCATGGATAGTCAAAGCAATGACCTTTTCCTGTACCTGGTTCAACCACATCTGCTGTTTTGTACAGTACATTGTTGCTGCATGTATAGCTGCTGGACTGTACCTGCATTCCTGTGAGGGCAGTCTGGGCCAGCTTTGTGTTCTTGGACTCCAGTGCTAGCTGAAGAGGGAGAAGGCATCTTTCTCTGCAAAGGCAAACATATGATTAAGCTACCGAGAGAAAATATAAACAGAGTGGCAAAGCTTTCATATTTAGGATGGAGAAGGTTGGATTGAGGGCTCTCTGACAATATTACCTGTGGGGCTTTCCAACAAGAGATTACAGCTAACATGTACACATTAAACAAAGCAAGAGCAAACAAAGCACGCAAAAAAATCTGATGCAAAACCAAGCAAAAACAAGAACGATACTTTCACATCAACCATGTTTCAGGGGACAGGCTGGGAATTTACTATTATAAATCCCAACAGACTACAAAAAGAGACATTTAATCTCATATTGATCTGTCTGAAATCAAGGCCACAACACAATCCCTATTTATTAATGGCATTTTAAATCATATATTTTGGGAGAATTCTTGTTGCTGCTTGCACTCAAAATAATATGGCTGATGCAGAAAATCAGAGAAACTGAAAAGCTTTCCTTTTCAAGAACATTGCAGGAAGGAAGATACATTTCCTTTGAAGGAAAACAAAACAGAGGGATTGAAGATGCCAGCTTTTCCCTTTTTACAAAACGTACATTTCGTAGTGGCTACAGGGAGCAAGTGTTCTTAACTAGACGTGTTCATTCTGTTTAATAAGGAGAAGTCTTCTCTCTAAGAATCAAACTCATGCGTCATGCTGAGCAAAACTGATCTCCACAAATCAAATCAAAGTTTATTGGTCACATGCACAGGATACAGGGTGTAAACAGTACAGTGAAATGCTTACTTGCAAGCTCTCCTCAACAGTGCAATACACATTAATAAAAAAAATCACAATAGGTATCCTGCCACGTACAGTGAGGGAAAAAGGAATTTGATCCCCTCATGATCAGTCTATAATTTTAATGGTAGGTTTATTTGAACAGTGAGAGACAGAATAACAACAAACAAATCCAGAAAAATGCATGTCAAAAATGTTATAAATTGATTTGCATTTTAATGAGGGAAATAAGTATTTGACCCCTGTGAAAAACATGACTTAGTACTTGGTGGCAAAACCCTTGTCGGCAATCACAGAGGTCAGACGTTTCTTGTAGTTGGCCACCAGGTTTGCACAAATCTCAGGAGGGATTTTGTCCCACTCCTCTTTGCATATCTTCTCCAAGTCATTAAGGTTTCGAGGCTGACGTTTGGCAACTCGAACCTTCAGCTCCCTCCAGAGATTTTCTATGGGATTAAGGTCTGGAGACTGGCTAGGCCACTCCAGGACCTTAATGTGCTTCTTCTTGAGCCACTCCTTTGTTGCCTTGGCCGTGTGTTTTGGGTCATTGTCATGCTGGAATACCCATCCACGACCCATTTTCAATGCCCTGGCTGAGGGAAGGAGGTTCTCACCCAAGATTTGACGGTACATGGCCCCGTCCATCGTCCCTTTGATGCGGTGAAGTTGTCCTGTCCCCTTAGCAGAAAAACACCCCCAAAGCATAATGTTTCCACCTCCATGTTTGATGGTGGGGATGGTGTTCTTGGGGTCATAGGCAGCATTCCTCCTCCTCCAAACACAGCGAGTTGAGTTGATGGCAAAGAGCTCGATTTTGGTCTCATCTGACCACAACACTTTCACCCAGTTCTCCTCTGAATCATTAAGATGTTCATTGGCAAACTTTAGACGGGCCTGTATATGTGCTTTCTTGAGCAGGGGGACCTTGCGGGCACTGCAGGATTTCAGTCCTTCACAGCATAGTGTGTTACCAATTGTTTTCTTGGTGACTATGGTCCCAGCTGCCTTGAGATCATTGACAAGATCCTCCCGTGTAGTTCTGGGCTGATTCCTCACCGTTCTCATGATCATTGCAACTCCACGAGGTGAGATCTTGCATGGAGCCCCAGGCCGAGGGAGATTGACAGTTATTTTGTGTTTCTTCCATTTGCGAAAAATCGCACCAACTGTTGTCACCTTCTCACCAAGCTGCTTGGCGATGGTCTTGTAGCCCATTCCAGCCTTGTGTAGGTCTACAATCTTGTCCCTGACATCCTTGGAGAGCTCTTTGGTCTTGGCCATGGTGGAGAGTTTGGAATCTGATTGATTGATTGCTTCTGTGGACAGGTGTCTTTTATACAGGTAACAAGCTGAGATTAGGAGCACTCCCTTTAAGAGTGTGCTCCTAATCTCAGCTCGTTACCTGTATAAAATACACCTGGGAGCCAGAAATCTTTCTGATTGAGAGGGGGTCAAATACTTATTTCCCTCATTAAAATGCAAATCAATTTATAACATTTTTGACATGCGTTTTTCAGGATTTTTTTGTTGTTATTCTGTCTCTCACTGTTCAAATAAACCTACCATTAAAATTATAGACTGATCATGTCTTTGTCAGTGGGCAAACGTACAAAATCAGCAGGGGATCAAATACTTTTTTCCCTCACTGTATAAAGGAAATCATTAGCATGCCATATCTAACTTCACCCCAACCTTTTCACAAACCAACATATTGAACATCAAATGACAAATTCAGCATAAACTATAATTAGATAAAGAGTACGATAACTTCAGTATTACTAGATGCACTTAAATTAATCATAACCATACAAGAACACGATTATTAGGCTCCCAGTCAATTACAGTGCCAACTTATTTCAGAGTATGGACTAAGCCTCTCTGAGAAGGTTCAACTCCATGGATTACTGGTATCAAAGGGGATGGAAAGATATTTCCCTCTGAGGCTGCTTCTGGTCTGTCATGGCTATACTGTGTAAATATCTAATGTTGGTGCAGTGTAGGAGTTATGCAACCACTGGTCAGTGTGCAGGTCACTGAGCCTGAAAACCCACTGTATATGACTATATTATGAATACCCGAGGCTCAGACTCATCATACCTACTGTTAACTAGTCATGTTATTGATGTTAGGGAAGGAAGTTTCACCTATTGATTCAATTGCACGGCAGTAGAAGACGAGTGCCATGTGTTTCAAAGGGGGCAGTCAGATCATTGATGGAAGCTAACTGAGCTGACAAATTAAATCAGGCTACTGAACTTCGAATTAAAAGATCTGAGGTGAAACCTCAAAGAAGAACACAATGGGGTTAGGCAATGGGATTCTTGACAAGCTCCTGTAATAGGCTACCACTAGCACTGCCAGACTAACATCACAGGGCACACAAGGCAATGAAAAGGTCTCTACATGACCAGACAGCATTCCAAATAACAGGGCAGCAGGCGTAATATGATTAGATGGAGACAGACAGACACTGAGGTGATGGTATCACTGCCAGATCCAGATCTAACACCAGCCCAAATGAGACATATCTCATCTCCAATTTAGCCGGAAGGCATAACTGTGACACTGCAGAGACAAAGAGCGCTCACTCAGTGTAGCGAGCCGAGTCAGATCACCTCGTGGTTTTAGATTAAAACCTCATCATGACCCAATGAATATGAAGAGGGTTGTGGTGGCTCAGAACTGTCTCTATGCCTTTAACTGAGTGACTGTAATGAAGAGTTGCTCTTTGCGGAGAGAGTTGACTGTTGTCTCTATAATATCCTCCCTGAACACAAACACTAGTACAGCATCAAACAAAAGAGTCAGGGTTGGGCCAAGTTTGCTAATATCATTGTGTCAGGTCTGGATGATACTTCACTTGTATTTACACATTGGATTCATTTTCAGTTCCAGCATGTTCTGCTGACAGAAATATCACTGAGGAAAGCGGAGGGAGGCGATGCAGAGGTGTGGGTCTCTGCAGTTGCTGAGCTGGCAGAAAGGGAGTGAGCCAGATAATGTTTTTGGAGGATTAAACTGTGGAAGAAGTCATTTGGAATAAACTAATAATTGTAGAAATAAGAGCAAGAGTGAAAAAAGAAAACCTTGCTAACATGAGTAGTTACTGTTATTGGCAAAACTCTTATGCGAACTCAACCACAACAGGCTAAATCATTCATTCTGGAATTTTAGCAGCTTTGAAGAAAGGTGAATACTGCAAATGTTTAACTAATTTAGAGTGCTAGCACTCTCACAGTTCTTCCTATGATACATCATGTTCTTCACACTGCCTTCTTGCCAGTACAGCAGGTGTTGTTGTTGTGTGTGTGTGTGTGTATGTTTGTGATGCTTACGTGCCTGTGTGCATGACTGTGTTTGTGTAACAGTGTTCCTTCCGTCCCTCTCCTCGCTCCAACCTGGGCTTGAACCAGGCACCCTCTGCACACATCAACAACAGTCACTCTCGAAGCATCGTTACCTATCAATCCACAAAAGCCGCAGACCTTGCAGAGCAAGGGAAACAACTACTTCAAGGTCTCAGAGCGAGTGACGTCACTGATTGAAACGCTACTAGTGCGCACCGCTAACTAGCTAGCCATTTCACACTGGTTACATCTGCATGTGTAGGAGAGGGAGTGGTAGGACTGTGGAGGGCTTGACTTTTTGGATGTGTAACATCACACCAATCACGCTGCTGCATAATTAAGTAGTTCCTCAACACACACAAACATGACTGAAGTCAAATAAACTTTTGATGATGACTGAAGTCAGTTTACTAACTTACCTGAGCCGAGATGGTGGAATCTTGGCTGATCCATTTTGTTTCTGAAGGGTTTCTGTAGTCATATACAACACACACAAAAAAGATTAAAGTTATAACATCAAATCACATAGGACTGGACTGGACCGGACCCATGGTTCTCAGTCTGTCTGTAGAATACTCAGTATTTGTTGTAGTTCAGTATCAGAATAAGAAACACAGGTCAGTTTGGTCCAGGTGCTCTAGAAAAAACAGGAAGTTCATACAAATTAATTACCATATGATGATATTCACATTGAAATGGAAGCATGAATAATGTAGTATGTGTGTGGGAGTGGATAAGTTCTCCTTGCCCTTGCCTTTATTCATGTGCCCTATGTGCAATATTGCATTAATCTGCAATACCTGCTGTCCATTGATATGCAGTGGCAGCAATGAGGCCAGCGGTCTTCCAGGCAGCCCTGTGCTATCATGTCACTCTGTATTCCCTCAGAGAGAGAGGTGACAGGCGCCTTGCTAAAAGCAGGTTCCACCAAGGAGTGGACAATTACAGTACTCAGTAATGTCTGTCACAACAACCTTGCATTTTGGTATTGAATGAACGCAAAATGTTATTGTTGACAGTAAGTGAGCGTGGCCTGAAATGTTAATGTGAATATGCAAATGTGCTCTGTATTGATTGGGAAACTGCTGTGCTATTATTGAATCGGCCTATATGTCATATTCTGTGAATGAAAGTTCCTAAGGGAGTCAATAATATGGCACACTGTGTGTTGGGCCTAAATAATGTGCCCAGGGGCTTGTGAAAAGTACAATATATTACAATACGTCATACAACAACATTCATAAACATTAGTTGCTGCATAAATCATATTGTCCACCTGTCAATTGCATTCGGGACAATAGAAATACCCACCAGTAATGTGGCCAAATAGGTGAATTAGTGCTGTATTAGTTACACTGACTTAAAATTTAACAACAACAGCAACCCTTAGTTGCACTGACTTAAAATGTAACAACAACAGCAACCCTTAGTTGCACAGACTTTAAATTTAACAACAGCAACCCATAAGGATGCTGCCAAGCTGGCTATGGCACATAATGCTACGTTCGTTTTACACTTTCCAGTAGCATGATAATAATATTTCCGGAAGTCAACCGCAGGCATAGCAAGCCTATAATCAAAATAGTTGACCATCTGAATGGCGAAACTATTAGCCGGTTTGTGTTGAGGGCTTTTCAGGAAGCCTGTAACATACAATAGTTTATCTTTAGCCTATCTTTGGTACATTTTCGATTACATGACAGGTCCAACATTGGCTACTGTCTGTAGCAGCCTGTTATTACAGGCTACTCACCACAGGCGAAGACGCACGAATCCCGAATTGCTTTGTGCTTATTTCCAGATGCGTCCTTCTGTAGCTTCCGTAGTATTTCTTCCATGATAAGACTAAGAGGACAAAATGAGCTATTTTCAAATAAGTGCGATGGTCCAGTTCACGGGCGCAGCATCCCTATTCTCTTATGATGATTCACTCCCAGGCCAGTGATGTAAGACGGAACGTGAGAGGAAGCGTTTATTTACAGCGTCGCATAGCCATTCCAGGGTTTTCGGACTGTTATATATTTATGCGACCTGATCATTCTCATAATGAAACACCTGCATTTTTTGAAAATTACATGCCATTCTTTCTACTGGGCTGTCTTGATTTGAGTATGTATTGGCCATATAATTTCCCCTTAATTCGTTCTGGGAAATCTGAAACTGTGGCCATGGATCTGCTTTGACGGCGGACGCAGGTGGCCTGCGAGAGTGGCTTGCGATTGTGTTTTACAGTTTTAGACCTATGCATGGTAATATTGTTGGGATGAAGATAGTAATATTTCAGAATAAACCATCTATCCCCGAGCCTGAGTTAAATGTAGACATGCAAAACACAGTCGTTCGCCACCCGATCGATTCCATGGAATCTGACTCCATGCATTATATTCCTTCTCACCCTCCATTCAACCGCACCGGCTTCACGGTCGTCACTAGTTACCACAGCCACAAAGTCATAATTATGGCTAAACCCAATGATTTCTATTTACACTAAATTACTAATAGGGGGCGCTGTGTTGAAGCTATCATGCCTCCATCTTGGCACTCCCAGACCATCGTAAAAGCTATATTTTGGAAGCTATAGAAATGAATTAATTCATGTCTACATTAGTTTTTGCCACATTTATTCTATTACAGACACCTTAATGCACACCTTTAACTTTTATATTATGTGAGCTAAACATTAAATAAAAAATGAAAAAAATATATACAAATGTTTTCCTTAAAGAATATTTTTTGGAGTTTACTAATCCCCATACAACAACAAAAATACTTAAATACATATAATTTTGTCCTTAAAACATTTAATTGAAATACTGTAGAATTCCATTCATTCCTATGGAGGACTCCACAAGAGTGCAAGTATGGCCGACCAGTGGCTTCAAAGCCTCTCAATGGCCAATACATAGCATCAGCAATCCAGGAGTGTATTCATCACGGAAACCGTTTACCGTTTAAGAACAAAACGGAAGCAAACAGAGCAAACGGAATTAAACGGGAAGGACCTACCTGAATTTGTCCAATAGAAACTCTCGTTTGTGTTTTCCATTTGGAGAATATTGTTTCTGTGCAACAGAGTCAGCGAAATGTTTACACCCCAGGGTTTATATACATCATTGGCTAAACCCAGCCTATTTCTAAATGTATCTTCTTAAAGATTTTAAACCTAACACTTACCTTAACCCTAACCGTAACCCAATTGCTAACCTTATGCCTAACCCTAACCATTGTTTTCATGAATTCTTACCATAGCACATTTTGACTTTGTGGCTGTGGTAACTAGTGACAACCGGGCTTCACAGTTGCTACCCCCAACACAACGCAAAACAGGACATTTGTAATCCTGAAACATTTTATGGAGTAGCTGCGTGACCTGACCCGCTCGGCGACATTCTATAACCCCGCAGAATGCAACATTGTACCGAAAAACACTATCAAGAAGTAGCTTATTTTGATTTTGGACTCAATGTTGCGTTCTGCATTCACAAACTTGTCATTAAAAAGCAGCCTTATCCACATAGCAAAGGTAAACTCAAAATCTGTATAAGGTTTAGAATAGGCCTATAATATACATTATAGTATAGCCTAATATACAGTGAACAAAAATATAAATGCAACATGTAAAGTGTTGGTCCCATGTTTCATGAGCTAAAATAAAAGATCCCAGACATTTTCTATACGCACAAATGTGTTTACATCCCTGTTAGTGAGGATTTCTCCTTTGCCAAGATAATCCATCCACATGACAAGTGTGGAATTTCAAGAAGCTGATTAACCAGTATGATCATTACACAGGTGCACCTTGTGCTGGGGACAATAAAATGCCACTCTAAAATGTGCACAACACAATGCTACAGATGTCTCAAGTTTTGAGGGAGCGTGCAGTTGGCATGCTGACTGCAGGAATGTCCACCAGAGCTGTTGCCAGAGAATTGAATGTTCATTTTATACCATAATCCGCCTCCAAAGTTGTTTTAGAGAATTTGGCAGTACGTCCAACTGGCCTCACAACCGCAGACCACATGTAAACACGCCAGCCAGGACCTCTACATCCGGCTTCTTCACCTGCGGGATCGTCTGAGACCAGCCACCCGGCCAGCTAATGAAACTGTGGGTTTGCACAACCAAAGAATTTCTGTACAAACTGCCAGAAACCGTCTCAGAGAAGCTCATCTGCGTGCTCATCGTCCTCACCAGGGACTTAACCTGACTGCAGTTCGGCGTCATAACCGACTTTAGTGGGCAAATGCTCACCTTCGATGGCCACTGGCATGCTGGAGATGTGTGCTCTTCACGGATTAATCCCAATTTCAACTGTACCAGGCAGAGGGCAGACAGCGTGTATGGTGTTGTGTGGGCGAGCGGTTTGCTGATGTAAATGCTGTGAACAGAGTGCCCCATGGTGGCGGTGGGGTTATGGTATGGGCAGGCATAAACTATGGACAACGAACACAATTGCATTTTATCATTGACAATTTGAATGCACAGAGATACCCTGATGAGATCCTGAGGCCCATTGTCGTGCCATTCATCCACTGCCATCACCTCATGTTTCAGCATGATAATGCAATGCCCCATGTCGCAAGGATCTGTTCACAATTCCTGGAAGCTGAAAATGTCCCAGTTCTTCCATGGCCTGCATATTCACCAGACATGTTACCCATTGAGCATGTTTGGGATGTTCTGGATCAACGTGTTCGATAGCTTGTTCCAGTCAAAAACGTGACTTTCCTGTGTTTTATATCCACACTACGAGGTTGGAATAATACTATGAAATTGTGAAAATGATGATAATGCCCTTTTAATGAAATAACTTTTTGAAAAGATGGCCTGAAATTTCAGCCTGTTTTGGTGGGATGGAGCTTTGGTCTGCCTGGTGACCTATTAATTAGTTAATAGACCAATAAGAAAGAAAGTTCCAAACCTCTCTGCCAATAACAGCTAGTTGTTTTCCTCTTGCTTGAGGAAATGTCTCTTTACCAAGAAGCTATTTTTGTTTATTTTTTACCATTTTATTTTAAAACAATCACAGTAAAAAAAAAAATAATATTTAACCTTTATTTAACCAGGTAAGCCAGTTGAGAACAAGTTCTCATTTACAACTGCGACCTGGCCAAGATAAAGCAAAGCAGTGCGATAAAAACAACACAGAGTTACATATGGGGTAAACAAAACATAAAGTCAAAAATAGAATAGAAAATATATATACAGTGTGTGCGAATGTAGTAAATTATGGAGGTAAGGCAATAAATAGGCCATAGTGCAAAATAGTTACACTTTCGTATTAACACTGGAATGATAGATGTGCAAAAGATGATGTGCAATTAGAGATACTGGGGTGCAAATTAGCAAAATAAATAACAATATGGGGATGAGGTAGTTGGGTGGGCTAATTTCAGATGTAATTAGGGCTGTGTACAGGTGCAGTGATCGGTAAGCTGCTCTGACAACTGACGCCTAAAGTTAGTGAGGGAGATAAAAGTCTCCAGCTTCAGAGATTTTTGCAGTTCGTTCCAGTCATTGGCAGCAAAGAACTGGTACTTCATTGTTAACCAAAAATGATTTGATATTGAGATAAAAACGGCTGCACTGAGCATTTAATAACCTTCATCATTTATCATTGCCATACTGATTGTACTACTACTTCAACCAATGTGTTTCCTGAAAGAAAGTAGCCTACAGTAGACCTTCAGGTGTCACAAAGAGTCCATACAGTGACTACACCACACTTTATAGCCTGTGTGGCACTGAAGGTGTTACAGTGCGCTGGGTAATATGAAACCGACTCTCAATGGGTTGGGCTTGGAGTTGCTGGTTGGGTTGACTCTCGCCCTTCATACATGACCAGTTTTACAGGTTTATTAAACAGGTTTACTGTGACCTGATTACGTTGCAAACTCGGGTGTGGCTTTTAGATTTGATCAGTAAAAAAGGTGTACACAGACCCAGACGTTATCTGGACGCTCGACCGCTTCTATCTGAACTGTCTTTTCTGTTTGTCGAATATGTTTCGCTGTGGAATTGCGTATCCAAGATGCAGGTGGATCGTACCACTTCTTTTGCTTTTTGCGATTATATTTGATATTATTGCCATTGCTGCTACCTCGGGATGGGTTGAGGACAAGGACGCAAAATCCCACTACGCAAGTATGTGGAGCCAATGTCGAGGGCGGAATGACAACTGGGACTGCAAATCTCTCATGGAATTGTGTAAGTATCATATTGTGGGGGGATTCACTCAACAGCCCTAATCATCGTGACAAGGGAAATACATGTATAGCCTACTGTACAATGGTGTACATGTATTCAGACATGGATTTAGAGACTATTGTGCTGACAGTTACAGGGCTGAATATCATAACTAAAAGCCTACCTATACAGAAAAAATGGGTATTCCACGGATGTATTTAATTAGTTGTTCATTGTTTATAGGGCAATTGCATAGGCCTAGCCTACTTAATAAAAAAGTCCACCATTTGAACAACCTAGTTATTTATTTCTGTCCACATTTTATTTACAAAAAGTCCACCATTTCTTTACAACAAGCAAAGGAATGCTCTGCTGGGAGTTTTTCAATGGCAAAGTGGCAGCCAGCCGGAGTGAACTTTGAACAACACTTTATTTATCCTGGCTGTTTCCCATTCTCTTTAGCCTGTCATTTTCCTAGATAAACCCAACCCGGTAGCTGTTTATTTGTGTTGGTGTTTTCCTCAATTGTACAGGTACTATAATAGATCAACCCTTACATCTCAACTCATGATGGTAATCAGAAAATATTTCTGATCAAGCAAATATCCACGCAGATCCTTTTCTCATACTAAATTACAATGTTGGCTGTAATAAATATATTGTAAGAATAGAAATCATAGCCAATGGCAGGATGTGTCAAACTTTCAACATGAAAGCAATTTTCCCATTCCTAACAATAGAATAGACTAGAACCAAATAGAATAGAATAGAGAATTGCCTTTGAATATTGATGTTAACAGGCAGGATTAATTAATATCAAGATGGCTTTCTCAGTCATGTTCTCAGGGCTATTTTTAGAAGTGTGATGAGTGCCTTTACCAAGCTGGAGAGGTCCTGCCAGACAAGCTGTGGTGAGAAAAGAGAAGTGAGAAAAATTTATCTTTGTCTTCACTGGACAGTGAAAAATATCCATGTCTGGTACATACTGAACACATGCTCTTTCTTACTCAGAACTCAGGAAGTACTGCTGCAGTCAGTCAGTTAGAACAGCTGTATTGTCAATCAGGTAGTAGTCCAAATGGACTAGTAGTTTCAGCCCTCAGTAAACAATGGTTACTTATCAGGAGAGGATAAGGTGGTCACACTTATCCCAGTGTCCTTGCTCAATAAATGGGTTCCTTCCATAAAGACAACCATTCACTTACCCTATACTGTGGGAATGCATAGCCCAGTAGTGAACAAAGCAGACAGGTGGAATTGGACTCATAGAAATGCAATTGGTATAATTGTACCATTCATTTTCATACCATACAAATCAAGGGGAATGATATATTCCTTTTTATTGTGCAGTGTATGTAGAGTCAGTGCTGCTGGTCCAACGTAAACAATGTTTGGGTGAGTGCAGTTGGCTATAATGTCGCATTCTGACTGTTGCCATCAAGGTGAACTAGTATTGGCATATTACCACTGGAACACAACTTTGTTGTGATTAAACAACCTCAGCAGTATGTTGTCAAATCTAAGGGCCACTCCCTGTCCCTTCTTGGGTGTGAACATAGCATGGATGGAGTCTCTGGAATTAGTGGTGTCATGCTGGACTGATGGTGTTATGGGATTTGTTTGTCTTCAAAACCAAACCAGTGTGAACACTTTTCGTTGTATATTGTGTAATAACAAAGTAATTACTACCGTATCAACATTGTATTAACATTGCATCAACATTGTATTAACATTGTCACACAATTTATTAATTGCTTTGAAATTGTATACCATAGTAATGGAGTTGAGCGTTTTTGTGTGATTATTAGTGTTACCCAAATCAGTAGCTGTCATTTAAAACGCATGCTGCATGAATGAAATAAACAACACTCAAAAGTGCACGTATGAACAAAACAGTGCCAAAATGAATTCTAATCGCTGTAGATGACGACTCAACTGATTTAAGCACTTTAAGTTCAGACCCATACTTATTCTAACTAACAGCATTTGATAGCCATTGGTTGTTTATTTTGAACTTGATTCGGAAAGACACAAGACAGATGTTCCCCATCTGGAGAGTATTAACACTGTCCGGTCTATTTGTCAGCTACCATCGGCCCTGTAAGCTGTCCACACCACACGGTTTGGATTGGATTTGCTCACTGACACTAACATTTAAAGAGATCCTTTGCAACAGTCACACAACGGTAACAGTTGGCTACTAATACACCAAAATTGTTATCAAACATGGACTTGAGATCCAGAAATGCACATCACTGTGAGTGTCTCTGTGTGAGAATACTTACATTTTCTGACCACAAAAAACATGGCTACTATCCATTCTCACACCACCGCTCTGTAGTTCTATTAAATGTTTGAATGATACTCTCTACAATATGTTTTAGTACACATGGAATAAAACTTGATAGACTAGGACCCCATTGTTTGTTAGAGGCAAGTTAGTGCATGACTGCAGTGCCTGAGGCTTAGGTGTAGGCTGCCTGCCATTTGACCCTGAAGTCAGAGAGAGAGAGTGAATAATTTAAGGTGTGAGCTCTGCATGTGCATGCAACAGATGTGAACATGTCAGTTAATAACCTACCACCTATAATTAATTACATTAGACATTTTAGTAATTTATCCAGAGCAACTTAATGTGTGTTGAAATACCATACAGTTGTGATACTGTAGAACAAATGTTTGTTGCACATTGCAATGAAACCTATCAGTGCAATGAAACCACTTTATCTTCCTGTGGACACTCCTTCATTGTGCTGAAGGGCTGCAGTTGTTCTTGGGAGAATGTGATGTTACGTAATAGAAAAAACAGTTGTTACAATTTCTGTTTATTGAATGTACCTTTATCAGTTTTCAAGATATTTCAAAATGTAGGGCTATGTGTAAAGAGTTATTTGTGTCAAGTATAGTCAAACCACGTGTGTACAACTGGAAATGCATTATGCAATTGCATGTCAAGTGCTTTGCTAAAAAAAATCCACTTTCCCAAAAATCACTCCAATATCTCCGAACCTCTTATCCTTCAAATTCCAAAACACATTTAATTCTAGCTCCATAATATACAGATGTAGGATCTTAATTTGAGCCATTTTGCTACAGCAGGAAAATAATTATTCAACAACAGGAAATGTGAATTATTATGTGGATTATAATTAATGGACATTTTTGTAGGGGTTGATACATGTTTAGTAAGGGAAAATCAAGTCTGAAATTTCAAAGTGGAAATTACAAATTTCAGAAGCCTTTTAAAATCTCAAATACACTACAAGTTTTACATTTCCTGCATTGCAGGAAAGTTCTCCTGCAACAGGGTGATCAAATTAAAACCCTACATCTGTACTTACCAGCTCAAAAGTATATAGGGATTTAACAATCTTTCTAGAAATATGTTTAGAGTATTGTCTATAGATACTAAACACTGTTTGTTGATGTGTTTTCAGCTTGGGCCCAGGCTGTGGCAGCTCTTATGATCATCGGCCTCATCATCCTCATCATCGCTTTCATCATCTCCTGTATCGCCCTCTGCTGCACCCTCAACATCAGCCTGCTGCCTGTCATTGGGGCCCTGCTCTTCATCACTGGTAAGATACACAAAACGTTTCTGTTGTTCTTGGGGCAGTTTTCCGGATTAATCTTACTCCTGGACTGAAAAGCAATCTCCATTGAAAATGCTTTTTAGTCCAGTATTAGGCTTAATCTGTGTCAGGGAAACCGCCCCCTTATGTTTTCTACTTCAAGTGTCTGGGCTAATGGAGGACAGGTTAGTTATTGAAGACAAGAGTAGTGAAATATTAACAACTGCCTTGTCTTTGTGAATTCGGCCTGCCTCAAAATGTCTGGCTTCAAGCCTCAAACTACAAACACTCTCATACTTTATTGTGTTCTATGCTCCTCCATGTTCAGATGGTGCTCAAGTAGGATGCCAACCATAGCTACTGTAGAGTTGGAGAGTCCTAAAGCTAGTCTTCCTCTGATTTCAAATCAAATCAAATCGTATTGGTCACATACACATATTTAGCAGATGTTATTGCAGGTGTAGTGAAATGCTTGTGTTTCTAGCTCCAACAGTGCAGTAATATCTAACAATTCACAACAATACACACACATCTAAAATTTGAACCATTGCCAAGGACAAGAGGGAGTGGGAGTTGTTTGTGTCCCTACTCTGCTCTGAGGTTCAGGGAAGAAGGGCTGTGGTATGGCGTTGCCATGGAACCTGGGAGAATGTTCAACGTCTGGCTGAGTCACAGCACTGATAGTGAGATCATAGGGCATTGAGAATGACCACTCCCCACCCTCACCACTCCCCCTGCCCCCCTTCTGCAGCTGTCACCCTAGTGTGAAACCTGATAGCCCAGCCCTGCCTATGCCTAGAGGGAAAGAGAGAGGCTACACAGTCAGTCAGAATTACACTGAAACTTTCTGTCAGACATAGCTGAATCATAGAGCTGTCTGAGTATAAAGCTGATGCATAGTCCTATTATGGGAATTATTGTGTTTTGCTAGTGTTTAGAGTATAGTAAATAATTATTACTATTTAGAACTAGTTCTGACTGGATCATTACTACCTGTGGACATAAAATAGTAACAGTAGTATCATCGCTATGTGTGATACTTTGTTTGATCCCACTTTGTTTGTGATTCGCCATCCATACAGTGAAAGTGTAAAAGATGAGTCTCAGTTTCTCAACTTTACCTCACAGTACACTTTTTACCGATTTCCTTGACTTAGTTACCCAGCTTCTAATTTAAATGACACAGATCTGGTGGTTTTGTCTAAGCCCATTAAGCTACAGTACCCACGTACAAAACTATTTCACACACACACCTAAACGCTAGTTTTGGCAGGCTCTCACAAATGTATGTGTCACAGTTCCACAAAGTCAGCCTCCTCCCCTGTTCGGAATGATCCACCACTGACAAACCTCTCTGTTCTGTCTGTTCTTCACCACAGTGGTCATTCAGTTCATCGCCCTCATCATCTACCCAGTCAAGTTCAATGACCTGATCTTCGAGGGCCACTACGACTACACCTGGGCCTATGGCTTCGGTTGGGGGGCCACCATCCTCACCATCGGCTGTGGGATTCTCTTCTGCTGCCTGCCTCGCTACGAGGACGAGCTCACAGGCCTCGCCAAGACCAAATACATCTATACCTCAGCTTAGAGGAACCACGGACACCCGCAGGCTACATCTCAATAGTCTGAAGTGGCTTCCCTTCTCCGCATCTCCTTCCCTTCATCTACACTGATGAAAACACAGGATAGGTGAAAGCAAAATAGTGGACACCTGCCAGGTTCTTTCACATCAGTGCAGATGAAGGACAGGAGACAAGGAGACAAGGAGACAAGGAGAGGAAGCCCACTTTAGACTATTGAGATGCAGCCCCAGGACAGAAGCACCTCTGCCACCACAGAGGACAGAGGACACTGACACTTAGACATATCATTGGACGTTAATTTAGTCATTTCCAACAACGCTGAATGCCCTCTCCGTTGGAAGGATCCCATAGATGTGTATCTCTGTCTAACGCCCTATTTCCGACCCTATACTGACCCCCATATTGATTTGAGTGGCCCACATGTTACCAAGGGAGGCTGCCAAGTATGGCTATTCCAGAGGCTTTGTTTCTATCACATTGGATGTTTTCCACGTTTTACGTTTGTGTAGAGTAGTTGAAGTGACCTAGATGCAATATTGCAGATTATACATAAAACATTTACATAATCCTCCACAACCTTATCCAGACCCTTGCTATAATTCTCCATTGTAAATTAGTTCAATGCAAAATCACAGAAGTGCACTTAATATCAATGTTAAGGAGTCCATCGTTTAGAGTTTATGGATTATGTCAAGTGTTCTAACCAGCTGAGTGAGAGGGCGTATGTCCTACACACAATGCTAATGTATTTGACTGCAGGATTGTTATTTGGTCTCATATGGATGTTTTAAGATGTTGCTTTTGATAGCTTTATTCACTTTAATTCTAATTTGAATTGTTGAGGCCATTGAATGGCTAAACTGAATTATTGTAAGTATAGTAGAGAAAATGGACTGCAGGGCTCTCCAACCCTGTTCCTGGAGAGATACCATCCTGTAGGTTTTCACTCCAACCCTAATATAGCACACCTGATTCTAATAATTAGCTAGTTGATAAGCTGAATCAGGTTAGTTACAACTGGGGCTGGAGCAAAAACCTACAGGAGGTAGCTCCCCAGGAACAGGGTTGGAGAGCCCTGCTGTACAGTATGGTGCAAGGAAGAGACATGTGTTTTTGCTTTTATTCAATTAGTTTAAGAATTCCGTTTATAGTCATTGTATTATGCAACACAAAGCTGTATCTTAATGCAAGATATTTTGTCCTTTTTTCTATTTTAGTTTTCTTACTCCAACAAGGACAATTTTCTTGATTGAATATGAATGGGTATGACAATGGGTATTGCTGTATTGTATTGTTAGTGACACCTTTTGAAACCTAAAACACAAATAAAGGGAAAAATACAACGTTATTAAAACATCATTTTATGTGCTGTTAATGGTAACCAACTTGAAGCACCCAACCACAGATTGACGTACAGTTCATTTAGCATTTGACTTATTAAGTCTTGTAGGAGACAATGTAATCTCTTTCAACAGCATCAAGAGAGCCCTATGAGTCTGCTACACAAGGCTAGTAGTGTAATGTCATACTAAGACGTGCCTTCATTTTTCATCAAATGTGTTGTTGACCTATTGAATAGGACTTTCTATGGACTCATAACTCATCAAGTCATATATCAATTGAAATAGAAAAGGTCATATCGATATTCAATAACATTCTGGTAACCATCTTTGTTTATTTAGTAGTTTAAATATACAATTTTCAGCAGTGTGTCCTTTTAATGCAATAAATAGTTTTTTTTCACAAGTTATATCTTCAGACTTCTTGTATGTGTGTATGTGCGTGTCCATGTGTGTGTATGTACAGAACCAGTCAAAAGTTTGGACACACCTACTCATTCAAGGGTTTTTCTTTATTTTTACTATTTTCTACATTGTAGAATAATAGTGAAGACATCGAAACTATGAAATAACACATATGGAATCATGTAATAACCAAAAAAGTGTTAAACAAATCAAAATAGATTTTAGATTTTAGATTCTTCAAAGTAGCCACCCTTTGCCTTGATGACAGCTTTGCACACTCTTGGCATTTGCTCAACCAGCTTTACCTGGAATGCTTTTCCAACAGTCTTGAAGGACTTCCTGTTCAAATATTTTTTATTGAACACACACAAGAATGGTGTATAGGTATGAAAGACATGTGTACAGTTCTTATCTAAACATAAGAGAACAGACATGAACAACAAGACCCAGAGTTCTGGACACAAAACAAATATTACAAAACACGACATACAGAACAGGGACAGGTAGAAAGAAAAAGGGTAGATGTAACCCCCCCACTTATACCCCCCTTTATCCCCCCCCCCCCCCCCCCCCCCCCCATTCCACCCTATTCCCCTCCCGACTGCTCGAGTGTCGGGGCCAGCACACGCTGCCCAAAGATAGATTACAATATGACAATTGAGAGTGCGTTAAAAAGTACAAATTCACAGCACCGACTGGTCCAGGTAAGAGAGGAAAGGCTGCCAGATTTGATCAAATGTTGATAATTTATTGTTCAGAATATATCTAATTCTTTCTATGTGTACAGTTTTTGCCACTTTGCTGAGCCATAATTTGGTAGAGGGCGCTTCCCTCCTTTTCCAAAACAACAAGATTAATTTTTTTGCCGAGATGAGACTGTAAGAGATGAGTTGTTTTTGGGAGTTGGTTAATCCGTTTAGGGAATCGGACACTCCCAGGATTATCAAAAGCGGGTCTGGGTCTATTGAAGTCTCCAGAACTTCAGAGAGGACCCCAAATATTCCACACCAATAACCATACAGACTAGAGCATAGGGCAAAGCAGTGGAGTAGTGTACCCTGCTCAGCCTGACATTTATCACACATAGGGGATGTATCAGGAAATATCCTATGCAGTTTAGTTTTGGAATAGTGTAATCTGTGTAATACCTTAAATTGTATGAGACGATGTCTGGAGTTAATGGAGCAGGTGTGGATATACTCCAAGCTATCCTCCCAGTCTGCCACCGAAATATCAGTCCCTAGTTCTTCCTCCCATTTTGCCTTAATGGCATCTGTAGAGGGTGCGCTAACAGATTGAAAAGCGTCATATAGACGAGATATCAGTTTGTCTGAGGTGGGGCATATTTTTATGCATCCGTCAAACATGGAAGGTTTAGCATTCTCAAATGTTGGGAGGTGTTTTCTAACATAGTCTCTAATTTGTAGGTATCTGAAAAAGTTACTTCTGGGAAGGTTATAAGTTTCCCTCAGCACTTCAAAGGAAGCAAAGGTCCCTCCTATATATAAATCCCCTATGGTACTTATCCCCAACTCTCCCCATCGCTCAAAGGTGTTATCAAGGTTAGAGGGGGCAAAGGAGGGATTCCTGGCAACAGGGAGCATGAATGATATTGGTCTAAGCTCAAAGTGGACTTTAATTTGCTTCCAGATTCGGACTGTGCTATGTATAATAGGATTGTTATGGTAAAGTGACATCTCCAGATTAACAGGTGACAAAATCACGGCACCAATAGAGAAGGGGTGACACTCCTCCCGCTCCATGCTAAGCCAGCTGGATGGCGGGGTTGCGTCATCCAGCAAAAACGTAACAGCGCGGAGGTTAGCGGCCCAATAGTAAAATATAAAATTTGGGAGAGACAATCCTCCTTCCATCTTGGATTTACATAGGTGTTTTTTACCTATCCTGTGTGTTTTATAATCCCAGATGAAAGGATTGATAATAGAGTCCAGTTGTTTATGAAATGATTTAGGTATGAATACTGGGATGTTCTGGTATAGGTAGAGCAGTTGTGGGAGGAAGACCATTTTAATGGCATTAATTCTTCCGAGCAGAGAAATTGGGAGAGTCCTCCAAAACTGTATGTTTGCCTTGAGATTTTGCATCAGAGAAGGGAAATTCTCTTTAAATAGTAAGGAGTATTGTTTGGTAACTACAATTCCAAGGTAGATACATTTTTCTGAAGATAACTTAACTGGAAGATGTTCTAGCCAGGAGGTGTTTTGCAACCGTATGGGCATTAACTCACTCTTGTTCCAATTTATTCTGTATCCCGAGAAGGTACCAAACAAATTAATCACCTCAAGAATAGCTGGAATACTAGCTTGGGGTTATGTTACATAGAGGAGAATATCATCTGCGTATAGGGAAATCTTATTTAGAGTATCTTTAGTATTATAGCCGTGTATTGCTGAATGAGATCTGATCGCTTGAGCGAGAGGTTCAATAATTAGGGCGAAGAGCATAGGCGACAGCGCACAACCCTGCCTTGTCCCTCTGTGAAGGTTAAATCGGGGCGACATTGATTGGTTAGTGAGTATTCTCGCACAGGGGTTCCTATATAGAAGCTGGATCCAATTTATGAACCCATCTCCAATATTAAATTTCTGTAGGACCTTGAATAGATAGGGCCACTCAACTTGGTCAAAGGCCTTTTCGGCGTCAAGAGATATAACGGCAAGGACCACGTTAGGTAACCTCTGAGAATACATAATGTTGAAGAGGCGCCTGAGATTGAAGAATGAGTTTCTATTAGGGATAAAGCCGGTCTGGTCCGAATGGACCAATTTGCCAATTAAAGTGCTAAGCCTGTTAGCCAGAGTTTTTGCTAAAATCTTTTGGTCTGTATTAAGGAGGGATATTGGTCTTTATGACCCTACCTCTTCCGGATCTTTACCCTTCTTATGTATAACTGTAATAAATGCCTCATCCAAAGTAGATGGGAGAGCTCCATCCTCATTGGCCCGAACCAACATTTTGTGCAGGTAGGGAGATAGCATGTTGCTGAATGTTTTATAGAATTCACCAGGGTATCCATCTGGGCCCGGGGTCTTGCCACTCTTTAGAGATTTAATTGTTTCTCTAATTTCTTCAAGAGATATTTCCTTATTCAGGAAGTTAGAGTCTTCCTGGTTCAGGGCAGGAAGATTACAGTCCTCCAAAAAGTTTTGCATAATTAAGGGGTTAGGATCCGCTTTAGATGTATATAGAGTCTCATAAAACTGACGGAATCTGTCATTGATGTCTTTGGGGGAGGAGAGTAATTCCCCAGATGCAGATTTAACTTTGTGAATCATTCGGTCACTCACGTTTTTTCGAAGTTGTCTGGCGAGTAATTTGTGTGGTTTGTCACCAAACTCAAAATATTTTTGCTTGGCATAGAGAAAAGATTTAGCAATTTTAGCCGAGAGGATCTGATTGTATTTAAATTTTAAAGACATAATTTGTTTATGTTTCTCCATAGATGGATGTCTAGCATTCTCCCTATCCAGTAAGTGAATTTGTCCCTCCAGTTCTACCAATTTTTTTCTGTTTTGCCTACTCCTGGCAGCAGTGGCGGCTCCTGAAAAAATTCTCAGGGGGGGCAATTTTTCTGATGATTTAGGTGACCTACACACATTTTAAAAAAGATATGTCCAGCAACAACATGAAGACAGGGGCAGCATATAAGTCAATACCAGAAGCATTTATTGACTGATCTCAAAAGTGTTGGCTTACCAGGGTTGGTGGAGCCCTCAGTTTCATCTTTGCCTCGCAAAGCTAACTCAAACACTCCGCAAAACTTCACACACTGGATTAGCCGGCTGAGGATGTGGCGGTTCTTGCTAATGTCGTAGTAAATATATTTGTTATAGTGAATATGGAATATGATATGTTGAGTAAAATGTTGTGCTAAGATCTATTTAGGTCAGGAGCTGGTTATAAGTTCTGTTCCTATCCAATAACAATGGACAAAAGGGTCCTATCTTGTCAGCCTTGTCAGCAGGTGGCCAAGGACAACACCCACGCCATAGGCCTCTCAGTTCTTCCAACTCAAGAGTTCTTGCTCTGAGGACACACACACACACACACACACAAACACACACACACACACATCATCACTGTTAAACACACACACACACACACACACACACACACACACACATCATCACTGTTAAACACACACACACACACACACACACAAAAATCCCCTCTCTTAGGCTGAACATTTG